GTTTGTCTGCAGCTTTTCTGGGTCATGTATCCAGCGTGACTAAACCGCTTCTGGCGCGTGGAACACCATGACAAGTGCCAGAGTGTACGGAAATGCCATTTACCTTCCCATTGCAGTGGTACTTATCTGTCACGCTGGTATGCTTTTGAACTGCTAGGTTGGCAGGAGGTGGGACAGAGCAATGGGAGCTCACCCCATTGTGCAAATTTGAACTGCTAACCTTACCATCAGCAAGTCCAAAGAGGGTTGGTGGTTTAGACCACAGTGCCACCCGCATCCTATCTTTATTAACATTAGCATTAAAATGTAAAATATTTTGGCAGAGAAATACAATATCTTTTTGGGTTAATATATTATTGTGTCTCTTTAATTTAAAGGAAAAACTGAAGCTAAGAGATGGCCCCAATGATGTTGTGTTCAGCATTACAACCCAGTATCAAGGAACTTGCCGTTGTGCGGGGACAATATATCTGTGGAACTGGAATGACAAAATAATTATTTCAGATATTGATGGAACAATAACCAAGTAAGCTGTAGTGTAGTTTTACCTCTATTAAATCACTGCACCAGTGTGTTCAAAATCTATTTGTGTCTGATGAACACTACTCAGCGACTTGGTTCTGAAAACCAATGCTTTTCCTTAAATCCTGGTAAGAAGTAGGGAAAAGTAAATTAGGAATTCAGCTTTCTGACACCTGGTAAGAGCCAGAACTAATGTGAGTTGTAGTCCAAAATATTTGGACTGCTCCTGGTTTGAGAAGGCTGACTTAGTTACTAAAGAGAGGTAGGCTTTGAGTTGTTGCGAATATTTCTTTGTTTAAAGAAATAATTATACACTGTCATGTCATAAAATGTGGTTTACATCAATTAAACACAAAGCTGTACAATAAAAAACATACAAAAAAGTTTTAAACAGGCATCAATTAGCTACTGTTGAATTATGTACAGTGGTACCTCAGGTTAAGAACTTAATTTGTTCTGGAGGTCTGTTCTTAACCTGAAACTGTTCTTAACCTGAAGCACCACTTTAGCTAATGGGGCTTCCCACTGCCACCGCACCGCTGCGGTACGATTTCTATTCTCATCCTGAAGCAAAGTTCTTAACCCGAGGTACTATTTCTGGGTTAGCAGAGTCTGTAACCTGAAGTGTATGTAACCTGAAGCGTATGTAACCTGAGGTACCACTGTATTGTTAAATTGCCTGCATAGGCTTGGCAGAATAGAAAGGTTTTCAGCAAGTATTTAAAAATTGGCACAGAAAAAACTCTGGAGGGTCTTTTAATACCTAATGTAGAAAGCATCAATTCACACTCTTACTTCTATTTCTAACCCTCGTTCCTGGTTTAGGTCTGATGCTTTAGGCCAGATCCTACCACAGCTTGGCAAAGACTGGACACATCAGGGTATTGCAAAGCTCTATCATTCCATTAATGAGTAAGTACCTTGCTTGTAAAAGTTGCGAAACATAGGAATAATTGATTATGCTAATTCAACTAAACTAAAGATCTAAAGTTTTGAATTCTTGCACAACACTTTTCACTTTTAACCAAAGGTGCATTTCATGATCCTGTATATTCTGTATTTGTATTCTCATTGCCTTCCTATTTAGAAGTTACATTTCAAACTCAAATAACAGAGGAATTAAAGTTAGACATGTGACATGAGGCAAATGTAGGCCCATTCAGCACATTATCATTATTTTCTTCAGTATGCTGCAAACCCCTAGCGTTCATGAGCAGAGCTTGTGGTGCACAAAAAAAGACCAAAGGAAACTTCAGTCAAATGACTCCAGAGGGAAGGTTCCAGCTTCCTCTTTCTCCTCATGTCAGCCAAAAAGAAATGGGCATGCCTCTAAGTGGCTGCTACTGCTGAAATTTGTGGGATTGAGCAGCAGCAACAACATTGTCCATCTTCAGATTTTCTGCCTTCCATTTCTCATAGCCGCCTGCATGTTCCAGTAGTGGAGGCAGAAGCAGCCTGCCCATGGACTTTCTCTTTTGTGCATCCCTTCTTCGTCCTGTGACAGCTACTGCTGGTATCAAAGACTTGCGTGCTCCTGGAAGCATACTACTAGCATCACTAGCAGATTAAGGCTGTACCAAAAAGATGGAGTCAAGTCTAGGATCCTGGTTCATATTGAAGTAGCTATGAGTTGTGGTGGTAGTGGCAAAGCAGATTACATATAGGAGGAGTAGGAGAAGCAGCAGCAGTAGCACAAGGGGCCACACCCTATGGACAGACTACCAGCTGGAGGATATGGAATAATAAGTGGAAGTCAAGCAAGTAGATGAATACCACAGAAAGGGGGATATGGAAAAGTGAAAGCCTATGGCAGCAACATCAAAAGCTTCAAGGTCTATCTGTTTTTGAGGGAGACTAAAACAGCCCAATCTTAATGTGTGTATACAGTGGGCGTTATTTCCAAGTAAGAGTTGCAGCCTAAATGCTTCAGGGAGTGTGGGGAAGAGAATAAAAGTTGAATTAGTAACCAGAGTTTTGAGAAGTTGGAACCATCTAAAGATTCAAAACCAGTTCAAACCATTTTTGTAGAGAACATTAAATACACTTGAAAGTGTTGTTGTTTTGTTGTACTTTGTCTTTTACCATTATATTTTCCACGCACACCTGTCCCCTGCTGAAAGCAGGGCTTGCAGTGGATCATTACCACCTGCAAAGCCATGCCTCTTTGCCCAGTTTGATTTCATATCATGTGGACAAAGGAAATGGGTCACAGGACATTGCAGTGCCTCACCCATTTGCCAAAGTTGGCCCCCAGGTGGTGGGGAAGGTTGCCAGCTGGCTCCAGTATCCCACCCCTGGAATATAGTCTTAAAGATGTCTGCACTGGCGCATTAGTTTCTGATGTGACCTTGGGTCAACACACCCTTCTCCCTTCCAGTTGCTTAAATGCTTTATAAAACATGAGTAGCTGCCTTCTCTTTTTCAATTCAGTACGATCTGACTGTGACTTCTTGGTGTGAATGGTCTACCACATCAAGAGAGATCTTCCTAATCTAGAATTTCATTCTTAGGAATGGCTACAAGTTTCTGTACTGCTCTGCTCGTGCCATTGGAATGGCAGACATGACAAGAGGGTACTTGCACTGGGTTAATGACAAAGGAACGATCTTGCCCAGGGGTCCCTTGATGTTGTCTCCTAGCAGTTTGTTCTCTGCTTTTCATAGGTATGTAAGCAAAAACACCCTAACAATCTTTGTAAGGGGTGAATTTTGAAATATAACTTAAGAAGCTGAGTGAAACAAGTGTTTTTGTCATCATTTATGGTACCTTGCTTTTTATCATAGCACAATCTGTGATGGACGTAAATTGAAACTTCTAAATATTTCACTTGTATACAGTCACATGGGACTTTGTAGTATTAAAAGCCTATATATTTGATAGAGCTGGAGTGGTCCACTGATGCACACCCCTTGTTTGCTAGACCTTAGTCTGATCTTATAAGAAAGTCACTATATTCTATTGAAGTGAGTGGCAATTTTTCACTTTATGTCAGAGAAAGTGAAGGGATGGTGAAGTCAGGGCGCCATTGCAGCAGAATTTAAAAGCTGCTTTTGAGCTTCCCTTTACTACACTGCAGGAGTTGCTAGCTTCTGTAGACTGTATCTGTGTTTAGCCTAGTTCATAATGGGTTTTCTGCCCCCCTGTGCAGGAATAAATAAGTAGCTGGATTGAATATGAACATATGAAGCTGATTTGTACTGAGCCTGACCATTAGTTCATCTATCTCAGTATTTTGTACTCTGACTAGCAGCAGCTCCCCAGGGAATCAGACAGAGGTTCTTTCAACACCTTCCAGATTCTTTAATTGAGAATACCAATAATTATACCTGGGCTCTTTCACATACATATGCTCTGCCACTGAGCCCCTTCTTCGAAATGAATATGTTAAACTGTACCATCTTTACAGCTTCATTGCAAGGCAAAAGCTGGCACACGGCAACAGCATTTCAGGAGGAGGCAATAGCTGTAGTTGCACTGATTTAGATCAGTGCCTAGCTGTCTTCATATATTGTTTTGTTTTCATCTGTTTAAATGACCATTTTAGGAAGAGCAGAACTAAAACTTATAACTTTGTTAAGAACCTGGACAATATTTTTTAAAGGTATTCTCTTAGGCCACAGAAAATATCTGATTTTTTTTTAATGTTTTGCCCCCAGGGAAGTGATAGAAAAGAAACCAGAGAAATTCAAAATTGAGTGTTTAAATGATATCAAGAACTTATTTTCTCCATGTGAACAACCCTTCTATGCTGCTTTTGGAAACAGACCTAATGTAAGTCTGCACCATCCAACAATTAGTTAAAATGTTCTGCTGTTTTACATGAATATGCTAAATGCACAAATAGTTCTTGAAACTTAGGAAGGAGTTTGAGATGATTTTTCACGTATCTCTATATGGGTTTCGGAATGAGTACATGCATATGAATTTTGTAATATGACATTTTCTCAATTAAAAAAATGGCACTATGGCCTCTAGTCTAAAATGTAGTTGTGTTGACTGCAGGATGTGTATGCTTACATGCAAGTTGGAGTTCCAGACTGCAGAATATTCACAGTCAACCCAAAGGGTGAACTAATCCAGGAACAAACAAAGGGAAACAAATCTTCGTAAGTATAGGGTTTTTAAAAGCAGTGGGAAGAATAATTGTTGAATTGATTTGGGTAACCATGCTGCCTAGTATGTGCAATTTTAGGAAGGTGCCTAAAATCATGACTATCTGCCAGTGTATTAAATGATTTGACTATGGGCAGAAGTCAGTTGTGGGGGTGATTAAACCTGGCAAGGTTTATATCCCATTAAACACGCCCAGAATCAGACAAGCATTGATTTTTAGCACTGCTGTTTGGCTATATTAAGCCTTCAATCCTATAGATGTTTACCTGTAAGTCCCACTGAATTTGGTGGTCTTGCTTCTGAATAGGCATGTACAGGATTGCACTGTATAATGAGTAACCCTTCCTATTTATTTCTGCATACAGGTATTACAGGCTGAGTGAACTAGTAGAACATGTGTTTCCACTTCTTAATAAAGAACAGAGCTCTGCTTTTGTATGCCCAGAATTCAGCTCCTTCTGCTATTGGAGAGAACAGCTTCCTGAAGTGAACATAGAAGACTTAGCTTGAACAGCACTGATCACAGAGAACCTCCTTCCGCAGAGGCTCCTTTATCCTTTGGTACCATGTGTCTTATTAAATACAGGAAGCGCCAAAGGTTTGGCATAAGCAAATGAAATGCAAGGCTGATCTCTCTTTGTTCTTTTAAGATGTCCTTACTGTTTGATTTAAGGCATTAGAAAGATAGCAATCCTTTGAAATAGCAGACCATCCAGAGGATAGAGGACAGAAAATGAAAATTTAGTTGCAGATTTGCATCTTCATATATACAAACCACAGTGGATGTGTGTGATGTTATGTATGTTAGCCTCCTTGATATATCATCTTAAAGGAAAAGAGAAAAAAGTATGTAAAATTGATAGCAGAGATTTAATAGGCCCACTATAGGAATTATATTTAGTACTTAAACCAGCACTTAGGCTGTTTGAGATACAATGTCTCTCTCATTATTAATTTCTTTAAAAATATCTTAAGGATTCATGAGTTCGTGTGTAGTGGTCACTCTGTTTTGCTACACTGTTAAAGAACTGAGGATTGTAGTGGAAATGGTACTTCTATTACCCACTCATGGTTGTGTTGCCTTTAAAAAAAAAAAAGAACAAACAACTACTATACAGTGATTGGGGCTGTCTGAGATGCTTTTTCTTTCTTGCAGCAATTTTGCTTCCCTAAGCTGCTATGTGAAATTAGAATTCTAAAGAACAGTAAGAACATCTTTGCTGCAAACAGCTGACATCTCTTAATTGCACTTAGCATGGGTACTGTATAGATCAGCAGGCAACAGATTCAGAAAATATTCAGGGATAAATTCTTGTTTTATAGAAGGTAATGTATATAGTCAGTCTTTAAAACTGGAACTACTATTAATGCCTTTCCAGAACTCTGTATCAGGGTTTTTCAGTTTTGATAAAAGTGGCACAGGACAAGAGCATCCAAGTGAGAAATACTGTGTGTGTCAGGTACAAAATGTTACTTCTGTTTAGACATTTAGTATCTTAGCTCCACAGTGGATCCAAAAGCAATCGAGGTCCTGATTTAAGTAGCCAGTTGTCTTACATTCTTTCACCTATTTCTATCCAACCCCTGACACAAAAATGATAGTTGATTAAAACGTCTATAAGCAAAAACATTCCAACTCCCTGCCAGGTTAGTCTAGTATGCCATAAACCAACTCAAACTGAAAGAGTTAACATTTTTGAATCATCATATAACTTGAAGCTAGGTCAGTCCTTAAGAACTGAAATGCTGACTAATGCTTTCCTGGTCACCCAAAGTATCCATGTAAACATATCAAAACTGTATTCTCTGCCAGGTATGAACTACTAAATTTAATCTGCAGGTTTGCTACCGGTGCTGGTTTTATGTTGTCAACTATGGTAGCAGCCTTTAAGGACTAGACGTAGTGCGCTCAATAAAATCTTTATCAGACTTATCGAGGAGTTTCACAACTAGTAATTTGCTCCTTTTGACTTTGTACAGGGAAAACATTTGAGACTAATTAGATCAGTTAAATAGATCAGTACAGTAGATGTAACCTTAGAAAAATGTTGGGGCTTGAAATTTCTAACTAAACAGTGATTGGGCTCTATATTGTCATGTGGTATGTGGTTTGAAACTATTTTTCAATCAGATATCTTAAAGTAATAGAATTACCTAAATCTCCACACACAAGGAAGTACAAGTTATAGCTCTAGTAAAGAAAAGCCTACTGTACTGGATAAAATTCACTCCAACATTTAGCACTTGTTCATTTTCATATTATACGGTATTCTGTAAAGCACTCTGAAAATTTGAAATATCCTAGATTAAATTTCAATTTGAGTTGAATGTTTGTTTCACATTATGCTCTTAATCTTTTTTTCCCTCTCCCTCTTTATTCTGAGGTACGGTACATTATTTCACATTTGCAGTAATAGGTTATCTTGCTCCTCATAAGGCATCAGTACTGTTAACTGGAGTGAATAATTCTGACAGTGTTTGGAGTGGAGATCTGTGTGCTGCTTTTGAATATTAAGAATTTCCAAAACTTCTGGAAGAATTCCCTTTTGCTTAATGCTGAAGAGTACTCTTGAGTCACCTTGATCCAAACACTTCCTTCATTTGAACAAAATATGCACTTCTTAAAATGATATACTATTGTTTTCTATCTCTTGGTCTCAATTTGAATGGCACTATGCAGACCATTACATGATGAGTTTGGATTTTACCTCAGTGACTCCAGAGCTGCTCATTGGTAGATGGTGGTGCCCAATATAGCTATCTGCTAGAGGTAATTTTTAATCTGTTTCCTTGCTGAACTGGAAATGGATGGTTTGGAACTGGTATTGGGAAACAACGCTTGTACTAAATCTATTTCAGATCAGCACAAGTTTCTTAGTTCTTTCCATGAAAGAGATATACATTTGTGTTTATGAACAAAGAACCTTTTAAAGGCTGTTTTTGAATATGCATTTCCTTTTACTTTGGAAGTGTATTGAACAGCATATGCTGCACCTCTCAAATCATTTACCTGGAATTTGTCATATAAAATGAATACAAGTAAAGTAAGGAGCTGGGAAATCAAAGCCTGCAAGTAATGCATGGATAATTAAGGCAATCTCTGCTTGTTTATGCAAGAAAACAGTTGTTTTCTATTGCAGTGTAAAGGTTCTAGATCTCTTGTGTCCTTGTGTTAAGACTAGTATTTGGAGGAGAGTATGTGTGTGTAAATGCAAAAATAGTCTCTATTAAGCAGGGTAAATGGGATCCTTGAAAAACAGTACTCCACTATCCATATACTTTTTCAAGAATTGTGCCCTCATCTGGAAAAATATTATATGACTCAGCATTGGAAACTTCTAAATGCATTCAATTTATGCAAATATGACTGTGATGCAGGCTGGTAACTGAAGTGCAAGATATCTCAAGTCTTTAAAGCAACTAATATGTAAGACAGATATATTAGAACTGATACCTTTGCGATAAGGCTTTCATCAGCAAAACTTTTGACACCTTTCTTTAGAGAGCGTGAGAATCTACATTGTGGTTGGTTCTGAATGCAAGATTGGAGATAATTCTTCAGTACATTCTATTTAATTGTGTTATAACCAGTTTTTTCTTTGATATACCTTTATTCACTTATTAATCATTGAACATTCCAGTACAGTGTTTTTTTTTGTAAAGACTGGTCTGTTAGGAAAAAAATGTCCACTGTGCTGTGTTAATAAAATTTACAATAAAACCTCACTACATGTGTTATCTTTATACATTTGAAATTATTCCCTGTGGTGCTCAGAACGGCCTGCAGCCTAATCACAGAAATTCCATTCAGTACAATATAGGAAAAAGTTACCTTGGGTGTAGAGGAGAATAAACACGGAAGAGACAGTCAGCTGAAAAAGCCTGTAGTTATGTTCATTTTGGACTCTACCTGAAAGTAGGCTGAAAAGGTTTTGGGTTACCATATAAGTGATTCAGAAATGCAATTTCCATAAAAATTACTTTTTTGCTGCAGAACTGGGGCTGGTGAGCCTCCTCCATGGTGGCTAAATGCAGTTGGGGGCTGGGGCAAAATTTCTGCCAACTACAATAAAGCACTAGATTTTTACTGTGACTGCCTCTTCTGGAGACATGAGGGAGACCTTCAGTAAAGGCACAACCCATTGTTTACTGAAGGGCTCCTGGCCATTCCCACAGAAGAGCAGCAGTCTTCTATTAAGTATGAGTAGATAGGACTAAGACTACAGTACACAAAACTATCTGCACTATCTGCGATAAAGAAACTCCAGTCATAACCTACAGAACAAGTACATGTAGCGCCATCTTCAGTATTTTAGGGTAGGCTACAAGTTTGTAATAACTTGGATGAACTGCAAGAGTGAAGAAGCAAGACAAGAGGAGAAATTTCACAGGCCTCATGAGGGATGTTCTTTCCTTGGCTGCAGGAGTTCCTAGCACCATTAGTAGATTACCAAGTACAGAAAAAGGAGGGTGTGGCCTATTTGGCTGGGTGTCTTTGCTTTTTAGTATTTAGTCTGCTGCAAAAACAAACACATAAGGGAGTGGTGCTATTTAGACCATGTTGTATTATGCCTGTTCTCAACTTCCACTTTTCCCAGATGAAAGCTTTTAGGACATCAGATACTTACAAGAACCGAATTCTGTGTGAACCTCGTACTTCTAGCATAGTAGTTCAAATATCACCTTTTTCCTGAATTTACTCTGTGGCCTTGGGCTCCATTCCCCCTATCTAAAATATGATGACAACATGATTTACAAGAACAAGTTAATGCACATGAAATGCTTTGAAGACTAGAAAGTGAAATACAAAAGTTATTGCTGCAACAACTGCTATAATTTTCAACAGCTAGTTCAAACTTAAGTGAAAAGGACCTCCTTTGCTGCTTTCAGCATTTTAAGGATAATGCATGAAAACAAGATAGTTTCACAAGGATAATTTTTAAATTTATTTAACTAGCTTCAATGACTCAGGATTGCAATTATAAAGTCTCTATTTCAAAAGTTAATAAACAGTGCATAATTTACTTTGAACATATTTCAGTGATACCCCCATAGTAACTACTGTTCTTTTGTAGGATGTTTAAATGTCCATAATCTAAAAGAAAGTCAACTGAGGGAAAGAAAATATAGTCATGTAAAGATTGCACTTAAAACAGAAGTATTGAAGGTGATGAAAAAAAATGAGGAATAAAATATTAAAGCTTCACCATTTATTCATTACTCCCCTCTATGCATGAGAAAGGGAAGGATATAGAAACACCCCACTGAATGTGGAGTATATTTCATCAGAGTCTGTGTAGGCCAGCTTGCCCCCAGTAACTACAATGCTTACTTCAGCTCCAGCTTTGAGGTGAAGAACAAGATGGAAAGCCCCCGTTCCACCACAAGTTCGTTTCCCTGATCGTGGTCGGTGGTGTTCGAGCAGCTCTCTCCTGTAGCCAGCTGTGTGGAGCTGAGCAATACTTGCATTGGAAACGGACAGCACAGCTTCTACGTATTCATCTCTCTCTGGAGCTAGAACAGCTGTGATCAGATAACGACCTTCATAGGGAGATGTAAAGACGCCTGCAATGAAGACACACATTAATCAAAACACACGTGTACAGTTGGCCCAAGTCCAATTCCTACCGCTTTTTCAAATAACACAAATATGTCAGTACAATAACTGGGAGGAAATAAAGGGCATTTAATCTGAACGTGTCATATTTTATTTGGCATGACAACGAAGAGGAGTTCTTCACATAAAATTCCTCTTATGAGCTCATTCTCCCTTAGCTCCTGCATATGCTTATTATACATTTTTATCCACTGAGCTGATTGTGATTTCACTTCAGTTCCCCAATGCATAGGAAAGAATGCAATGGTGTCTGCTGTTAGCAAGTTCTCCCAACATTAAATCCTTCAGTTCTGCCACTTGTATTTGTGATTTATGGGGGGAAGACAGCATGCTCAAGGACTAAACAATATTGGGTAGATTAAAAGAAATGGATGTTAGCAATGGAGTTAATGCCAGCCTCAGCAGCTTGAGGGATCTGAAAAATGTATCAGTAGTGTCTGCTCTCACACTAACTTGGACCGGAAGGGAACCTCCTATTAAGCTGCTTTATATAAGCAGGTACAAGTCGAGAAAATGCCGGAATGCATTTAAATTCTACAGAATTTAAAATTAAAAAAAATCATTCAATAGATTCTGCTCCTGTTTCCCTTTATCAATTATGAACCTTTCAATACCTGTTTTAGGGTTATAATGGTTTCCATCATTTACAAGCACTTTGTTGAAATGTACCACACCCACACCATTAGGGAAAGGTTTCTGAGTGAGACCAGCAGAGAATGACACTGGTGAAGTAACAGCTGCTCCTAGAATGAAGAAGTGATCATAATTTAGACACATAATGCAGCATTACAAGTGCTTTAGCTGGTCTTATACACAAAGTTCTCGCCATGCCCTTAATTGAACGAAAACAAAACAAGCACACCTTTTGCAGTTTCACCACTGTTGGGACGACTGAAGGTCCTCTTCTATTTACACTTTTCCTATCATCTACAAAGTGAATAGCAATATTATCCCTATCTCATCCAGCAACAAATTTTTAGGCAACACTGTCTTAGTTCTACATGATCAAAAGTGTGTGGAATGAATAAACACAATGGATATAGCTATATGCTTTACATACCACATACCAATTATGCTAAAAGAGATTACCACCACATGAAGATGACCTTCATGGCTTTAAGCCTTTGGGCTTCTCCAAGAAGGCCCAATGCAGAGAGTACTAGGCCAATCTACAGATCACAACCACCACATGGAGGCTACTGCAACATGCTCTATTTCACAACTGCTAAGGGGTAAGTGTGTTGCATAACACAAACTTGCTAAATAGACTGCTTTCATTGCAAACCTTCGATTTTAGTCCCATGTGCTGCCACAATGAAAGTGACCATTCCTTATAAGTAACTAAGTTCAAAGTGGACAAGCAGTTGTTGCAATCCATCTAAGAGTAATATATGTACAATTCTTCTACTTCATCCACCTAGCAGAGCAGTGTAGTGCATGCAGAGCCTGCTTAGAAAAACAGTCATTCTAAGGAGTGCTGTAGATGGACTTAGCTTCCCCTACCCAGTCCTTCCCACTGAAGTACTTTTCTAAATAGTCTCTGCATATTCCTTTGCTGCAACTGTTCTATACACACATTCAAAAGTGGTGTTTTAATTAACTTTCACTTACCTCCAGTTTAACATTTTTGTAGCTATTTCCTTTTATTCTTTAATTTGTGATTGTATGGAATTGACATGACTTTCAGCTAGTACAATAAACTTACCATATTTTTTGCACCATAACACTCACTTTTTTCCTCCTAAAAAGTAAGGGGAAATGTCTGTGCGTGTTATGGAGGGAATGCCTACGGGTGGCATGCCTACGGATTTTCCTCCTCTACAAACTATGTGCGTGTTATGGTCGGGTGCGTGTTATAGAGCGAAAAATACAGTACTTTGATTGATTTCTTCTTCAATCAGTGTGTCCTTCTACATAGTAGCTGCTCCTTTCTGGGCCCTGCAAACCTATTGTCCCTGGGAGGGCATGGAGCAGGACCAGTAGGGAGGGGGCATAGCCTGGGAAGGGTCCCAGGAGCCAGACAGAGGCCTGGAGGGGCACATTTGGCCTCCAGACTTGGAGTTCCTCACCCCTGCTTAACGGACTGCAGAACCACACCTCCAACTGCAGTCAGATAAATTTTCAGGTAACTATTACAGCATTTGTATATACACACTATATAAGTTTTTAAGATGTTGATACAATAGATTGCTCACCATTATCTTAATCTCCATTATTTCAGTGGCTTTTCTTAAACAGTGGAGCCACATAACAGCCTAATATGAGAAAGCTAACTTTATCCAAGTGTTAGCAGCAGTGCTATGCTCTCTGCAGTCACCTGCACACAGTCGGGTCTGGAACATGTCAACAATCAATTACTTTAAACAGTTTAAGATGACAGTAGAATAGTTTCTGATCTTTAGCTGAAGGAAGGGCTATGGTTAGCTAAGTCTCTCCATGCCTAGCCTTGCATGAAGATTGAAGGTAATAAACTACTAGATACAAATTATTGGATCTGTGTGCATGCCACAATGTATGGATTCAATGCCAGCACTCAGCCATATGTTGAAGCGTGTGTTTCACTCACGATACACCTCATTTCCCCAGACACTATGCTGACATATATGCCTATTTTCAGCACCAGCCTTTGTGCTCCTACTTGGGTAGGATGCCTGAAAGAGGAGAATATCACAAGCTTTCCTTTGTAAACAGAGGGAAAGCAACAAGGAGGTATTTAAAGATCCTCTCTGCTTATTTACTTAGTTAATAGCCTTTTACATGCATCTTGTGAACTGCCCTGAGAACTATGAATGAAGGGCTGTATACAAATTACTAAATAATGATCTCTAGGTGTCAGGGACAGGCAGGAATCTGAAGGGTGAACAGAGGAGGCAGCGGGGCAGGAGGATGATTCAGGGAAAGTAATTTATAAGTTTCAGATTTTGAAACTATACTAGAAGAAATAGTTTCTTAGTTAATATTTCAGGAAATAACTGTCATCTGAAATAGTATTTATGCTATAAACTGCTTTAGTAAATGCCACCAAGCAAGTTATGGGAATTAGCAAAAAGAAAAGAAAAAAAATCTGAAAACGTGGGATTACCTTGTTCAGTTGTAGAGGGAGGCCGTGGAAGTTTTGGATAACCTACAAACAAGTATGGAAAAGATGTGTATTTCAAGCAAATTTACAGTCTCTAATAATGAAACACCCCTCCTGTCAAATGTGATTAATTCCAGTACCACCAGCATCTGTACTATAGTACTTAGTAACTTCTGCATCTGCATTTCTCAGAATTTTTGGAGTGGTCCTTTTGAAATGAGTAGCATTATAGTAGACTACCAGTAAGTGGTCTAATTACTGCTATTTAAATGAAGAATTTAGAGGGCCATGACCCGGCACATTCTCATTCCCTTCCTGCATGTTTTAGTGAAGAAAGGAATATACATAGTGGCTCCTGCTACTATCTATACAATGTTGGTGGGAAGCAGCAATATTGTAGATAGGAATGGCTGTTATCCTCCACTGCTGTGGTGTGCAATGTTAGCAAATCACTCCTCCGAGGCTGCATTATGTGATTGGTGTAATTCACATGACTGAGAAGAAGCGTGAGAACCGGATACAGTCCTATCTGCATGTACTATGTAATGTACTTTCACTTTTACTAGTTGCCTGCCTGTTCTCTCTTGGAGCTGAATGAGAGAGAGCCATGATTCTGTGTCTGTATATAGTATAAATAAATACGTAGTTTAGATCTACGGATGGTTCGTTCTTCTTGCTGCGCTATGCCAGAAGATTAGCGTGCATCTTTCATCTGGAAGATGTCACTGAAGGGCACACTAGAACGAAGGAATGTGCCATTCCACAGTTGTGCTTACCAGGAGGACACTCGGAGAGGTCAGTGGGACTGAGGGGGCCTCTGGGTGACCCCAGAGCATCGTAAATCCCAACATGCAAAGGGAAGGAGCATTGGATCCCCCAGGTATGTTGGTATGGAACAGTCATATTTTTTACACAGAACATCTGATCACCGGATTCTGAATAAATATGCATATTTTATCAATGACAAGAAACAACAAGTAACTCAGAGATAATCTGCTCACCTGGTGCTCCAGCAGACCCTTCGGAAACCAGCATGTTATTCTGGCCATTCTGGCCATTTTTGCTTTTTTTCCGTCCTTTTTCCGACATTAAAACTGTACCAGGAGGTCCTGCCTGTCCAGTTTCCATAAATATCCCACTTGACCCAGGCAAGGAAGGTTTTGATCCTGCTTTAAATCCTGGTGATGATGGCCGTAGAGGTGTCCTGGAATCTGGTGGCTGAAGAGGTATTCCTTGCAATGGTGGTTGTACGATTATTTGTGGATCTGATGGTTTCAAAGGTATTCTTAGTTCTGGAATCTGTAGGTGTATTCTTGGCTGTGATGGCTGCACATGTTCCCCTGGTTGTGGCTGTAGTGGTGTCCTTGGCTGTGATGGTGCTGGATGTGGTTGTAATGGTTTTCTTGGATCTGGTGGTGGCAGGGGAATCTTTTCTTGTGGTTTCCTTGGTAGTAATACTGCTGGATTTTCAGCTAAAGGTTTGTAGAGGGAAGAAAATGGACCAATCAGAAGTTTTGGCTAACTTGGCTTGAATAATATTTGAATATATGATTATAAGAATGGCAAAGCCTCTCCTCTTCCGCGAGGGGAGGAGCTGCGAGCAGGACTCGCTTCCCGCGCTTTGCAGGGGGGCGTGGTTGGGCCCCCTGAGTCACAGGGAGTGCCGGGCCTGCATCACACCCTCAGCCGGCCAATCCAGCTAGCTGGGGGGCATGGTTTGCCGCATTTAAGCAGTCATGGGCCCTGCACTCTGCCTGTTTTGTTCCCACATGCACGGAACAAACCATCACAACTTTGTAAGGTTTGGCGGTCCGGCATTGGAAAATGTGTTGTGTGTTGGGGGGGAGGTTGTGGCCATCACCTACCCCTCCCTTTGAAGGGTATTCCGTTAAAGAAATCCAGTGGTCGTGGTTCCTGTCCGAAGCCCAGGTGGTGGCTAGGGCCATGGCATGACCCTCCGGTGACTCTAGGGGAAAGCTTCCAGTTGATTTGCATCAACAACCTCTTCCTACAGGTTGTTAACCCTGTCTTGTTTTTGCAGACACAGGGCTAAGGACATATCTTTCCCGATTTAACATTTCTTTCTATTTTTGAATTCAGATTGTCTAACTAGGGCCTTGCAAAGCTGGGAATATGGCCAAGCTTTTCAGTAACCTTTGCCTCTACCTAGCAGACCCAGAGCAAGCTCCCTCAAAATTGTAGGCCTATGCCAACTGGCCCAGCTCCCGCCCCAGTTCTTGCCTGTTTCTAACCATATAATACGTATTTTTCGCACCATTGGACGCACCGGTCCATAGGACGCATCAAGTTTTTTGGGGGGGAAATAATGGAAAAAATTATTTCCCCCAGGCGCTTGTGGGGCCGGCAGCGGGAGAGCGCTCTTCTCCCCGCCGCCCGCCTTCACATCAGGTCCGGGGACAGCGGGAAGGCGCGCTGCGTCTCCCTGCTGTCCCCGGAGCTTGGGGGCAGGCAGCGGGGAGCGCTCTTCTCCCCGCCGCCCGCCTTCACATCAGGTCCGGGGACAGTGGGAAGACGCGCTGCGTCTCCCTGCTGTCCCTGGAGCTTGGGGGCAGGCAGCGGGAGAGCGCTCTTCTCCCCGCCGCCCGCCTTCACATCAGGTCCGGGGACAGCGGGAAGACGCGCTGCGTCTCCCTGCTGTCCCCGGAGCTGGGGGCAGGCAGCGGGAGAGCGCTCTTCTCCCCGCCGCCCGCCTTCACATCAGGTCCGGGGACAGCGGGAAGACGCGCTGCGTCTCCCTGCTGTCCCCGGAGCTGGGGGCAGGCAGCGGGGAGAGCGCTGCTCTCCCCGCCGCCCGCCTTGATATCAAGTCCGGGGACAGCGGGAAGACGCGCTGCGTCTCCTGCTGTCCCCGGAGCTGGGGGCAGGCAGCGGGAGAAGCGCTCTTCTCCCCGCCGCCCGCCTTCACATCAGGTCCGGGGACAGCGGGAAGACGCGCTGCGTCTCCCTGCTGTCCCCGGAGCTGGGGGCAGGCAGCGGGAGAAGCGCTGCTCTCCCCGCCGCCCGCCTTGATATCAGGTCCGGGGACAGCGGGAAGACGCGCTGCGTCTCCCTGCTGTCCCCGGAGCTGGGGGCAGGCAGCGGGAGAAGCGCTGCTCTCCCCGCCGCCCGCCTAGATATCAAGTCCGGGGACAGCGGGAAGACGCGCTGCGTCTCCCTGCTGTCCCCGGAGCTTGGGGCCGGCAGCGGGGAGAGCGCTCTTCTCCCCGCCGCCCGCCTTCAGATCAGGTCCGGGGACAGCAGGAAGACGCGCTGCGTCTCCCAGCTGTCCCCGGAGCTGCGGGGCCGGCGGCGGGGTCTCCCCGCCGTCAGCCTCCAAACCACTTCGGGAGACAGCGGGATGGCGGCGTTCCGCCTCCTCTGTCCCCCCGACCTTGTGGGGCTGGCGCTGGGGCTCTCCTGAAGCCTGGAGAGCGAGAGGGGTCGGTGCGCACCGACCCCTCTCGCTCTCCAGGCTTCAGTGAAAGCCTGCATTCGCACCATAGGACGCACACACATTTCCCCTTCATTTTTGGAGGGGAAAAAGTGCGTCCTATAGTGCGAAAAATACGGTACTTGTCATTGTTGTATAAGTTCACAGATGGTTTTGTGGGAAGCATATACAAGGATTAAAAGCTGTTACATATAGAACATCATATCATGATCCATACTGCTTTAGAGCTTAGGGCTATGAGAGGCAGAGCTAAGCAAAAACATGGGTATGTTTTGCTTTGCTTTCTCCATTGCCAGCAAAGGGGAAGCCCCACTTTTATTACATAAGACTTGCTAGATGATCACAGCCAAATAATACGTCAGCAGTGCTCAGTGGGATTTATAAAGCAGTTTATGTTGATAAATATTTGTATGTTTACCATTTTAAAAATGCATAATGCACTCTGGGGACTTAAAAAAATGCTACTTAAGTGCTGAAGGGAAATTACTGCTGCACTGACTGCACTGAAAGATATTAGTTCGTATTCTAACATATATGCAGTTGCTGCAGGGTTATCTTGAATATGACAAAGGAAAATTATGAAAGAAATAGTTCACTGAGATACGAGAAGTGAACAAATCAAATGAGCAAGCTGTTTCCATGTGATCCTAGTAATTGGCCTACCCAAAATGCTTGTCAGGACCAGCTTCTGCTTCCTACTTCCCCCTAAGTCCCGTGAGAGGGAGCCCTTGCTTCTTGTTCTGCCACATGCATAGGTCCTTGTGTCCTTGGGGATAAAGGGGAAGGGGAGCCTAATGCAGTAGGACAGGCAGTCCTATAGAAGGTACAACTGCAATATATACTAGTAACTGCAGATGGTGGGGAAACAGGTCTGCTAAACCAGCCTCTCTTAGCCTTGGTTCTTGGCTTGCAAAATGACAGTAATCACCCTATTTCCAGTGCTTTTCCCCCCTGGGGGGACGCAGAGGTACGCACAGCCCTAAACATTTTGTGAATCTAAGTTTAGCCTCATTGATGGGCAGTATTTCAATATGATTAGGAAAATGAGAGTACCCCTAAACATTTTTTAAGAAAAAGAGCACTGCCTATTTCACTGAGTTACTAGCAGGGATGAATATGAAGACCTTTAGAAAAAGTGATTATTAATAACGTCATAAACAGAGCAAGTGTTATTTAGGATAATCTATGTGAATGTTGCTTAGGCAGTGCAAAATTTCATATAGAAAAAAAAAAATCCTACAGCTCCCACTGCCCTCTGGACATTCGCTATTTAAAAAAATGGGCACCCTATCAAACAATACTGTTGTATCTTCTATAGTATAAATAATTGTGCTGATAGATGTGTTAGCTAAAGTATTACTAAAGTATTACTATGTTTAGCAGGCTGAGTGAACTCTAGAGTTATGAGAGAATACAGAGATATGAGTGGAAATACATTTCTGCACCATTCTGTTCTGCTTATCTGAGGCAGATAAACTATGTTGACATTGTAAGTGTCATTGCTGAATTTAGCAATATTCTGATAAGGTGGTGCTCCAAAGGCCCTATTCCAAGGAAAGTGACAGCAAGGAGAAGATCCTGCAAACATCCCATTATCCCAACATGTTTTATTTAAGGTAGCACAATACTTCAAATTGTGCGGCCAAATTATGTGGCCTTTCAATATCATAGGGTTTTAATGACAGGAGAAGGCATACCATAACGAATTTCCATTCTGCACATCTCTTAAAGATACAGATTCCGTCCTGTGGGTGCCCCTGACAATGCTACATTCTCTTGGCTCTTTGGCACAGAATATTCTACATCCTTTCTGACAACCAACAAAATGGAAGCAGCAATTGCCAATGTTTACTTCTTCATCCCACATCCAGTGAATGTGATCAAAAGATATATAACTCCCCACCCCCAATTTGAATTGCATCTCCTTTGCATTGCAATGATGCGGAGTTACAGAATTAATTACTTAAAATTTCACCATAGTGGACAGTGAGACAAATAATGTGGTTTTGTTAGAAGCCATACTGCAGTGCAGCAGGAATAGCGCTGCATGGGATGAATATATGGTGGAATAGAAATTGATACCGTCTTATACCTGAGCTGACCAAGCCTCCTGTTACTAGGACTGGTATGAAGGTCACCCACTCAGCCAATCTAGTTCAACCACAAGCATCCTTTGCAGCACACTTTGCTCCCCCCACCCCGACCTTCCTGACAGTAATATACAGAAGGTCCACAACTTACATGGTGGTTATATTCTGGCAGAGGGCCTTCTCAGTAGTGGCGCCCGCCCTGTGGAACGCCCTCCCATCAGATGTCAAAGAGATAAACAACTACCTGACATTTAGAAGACATCTGAAGGCAGCCCTGTTTAGGGAAGTTTTTAATGTGTGACATTTTAATGTATTTTTAATCTTTGTTGGAAATAGCCCAGAGTGGCTGGGGAAACCCAGCCAGATGGGCGGGGTACAAATAATAAATTATTATTATTATTATTATTATTATTATTATTATTATTTATTAATTATTATTAATACTGGTGATCGCGCCTAAGGCCAAAATTGAGTATAGTCAAAACCCACTGGGCCGAAGGATGTGTGGGACTGCTAAAGTCATTCTTCCCAGAACACTGCCACCTTAACCATGAGACTCTTAATCTCAGGGTCATGGGTGGATGAAAGTTTCCTACAATTTAGGGGGTTGGACTAGAAGACCCCCATGGTCCCTTACAACTCTACAAGTCTGTGATTCTGTAAGGTGTCATCACCTCCTTTAGCAGGCTATAATGTAGCTTTCTTTTTGTTTAGTTATAGCAGTCTGATTCTTGAAATTTTTTTAGCTTTGTTTCATTCACAAAGGAAAAAGCTAAGTGCAATTTACTTCTGCATCTGCTTGACTGAATATCCCCCCCCCCCGAATCACAGAATTGTAGGGTTGGAAGAGACCCTAAGGGCTATCAAGTCCAACCTCCTGCAATGCTGGAATCTCAGTGAGATAGATTCTGTTCAGAGTATGCTGTGAATACAGAAGTGGCATAGAGGGTCAGAGCTTTTTCACAGAAGCTCCGAGAATTATTCTAGATACAGTGGTACCTCAGGTTAAGAACTTAATCCGTTCCGGAGGTCCGTTCTTAACCTGAAACTGTTCTTAACCTGAAGCACCACTTTAGCTAATAGGGCCTCCTGCGGCCGCTGCGCTGCTGCCGCGTGATTTCTGTTCTCATCCTGAAGCAAAGTTCTTAACCCGAGGTAATATTTCTGGGTTAGTGGAGTCTGCAACCTGAAGCATATGTAACCTGAAGCATCTGTAACCCAAGGTACCACTGTATATAATAATACTAAGCAAAGGAAGTTCATATACCAAATCAGCTTTTGGCTGCCGTCTGTCTGCTAATCATTGGCTGAGTTACTGAAGTGTCACAAAAGTCTTCATAGATACTCTAACTGCTAATGAGCAAGAGTAATTCATGGAATGTAAGAAGCTAGCCTGTCAACATGTGTTGCACTCAAATAATCAAACACACATATTGCACTAATTACGAAGACCACACACATTTGTAAGTAAGTTCCTTTCCCTTTAAATGCAAATATATGGGACCCTACATTTCCCCCAGTCTTCATTTAGATGTCTTTTTAAAAAGACAAGACACAAATATATATGGACGAACACACACATTCTTATTTGATAGCATGTGCCTATAGTGCAAAATAGTTTGTAAGAAGCAGCCATGCTAATCTTCCCTGCATAATCCCAGTGTTAAGATAAAAGTGACCCTAAAGCAGGCAAGTTTTCATTTGACACTTTGAACTCTAACAGATAATCAAGTACAAAATACATGTTCCTTGCATCATTTGTGAACAGTGCACTGCATTGAAACTGGTGTTTTTCTGCAAAATATATGGAAATGGTGACTGAAACGTGTTTCCATGTAATTTGCCAAGAAAAGCAGCAATTGAAAACATTCTTGTGACATTCACAACTGATGCAGGCCTTATGTATTTCATACTCAGAGTGTTTTTATTTAAAAACAAAAGGAAGCTCTGCCTACCTCAGTATAGCTGGTGGAAAGGAAACTAGATTGTTTGGACTAGGGGAATACATAACTCAGAGCCAAGGGCTAAGAGGGAGCTGTGTGTTCTTGACAGCTAAGAAGGAAGGCAGAAAAACAAGGGGACATAGAGTGCTAAAAATGGGGGCTGTGAACTCAGAAGCTGAGGGACGCTAAATTACTGCTTTGAATTAAACACAATAATAAGTACTAAGTATTCTTTATAAGAAAAGAACTATAATGCTGTTAGATAGAAACACAATAATACCTTTTATATTATCAGCTATGCTTTCTTAAATCTAGGGTGATCACTCATGCATTACCAAAAAAAGAGAAATTACAATAGGGAAGATTTGCAAAGAAATTTAGTATGCTAACAAATTTTAATGCAATACCTCTCATTAAACCAGGCTTCAACCAAACAGCCCTTAAATAGAGGTTTGCCACCTGAAAAATGTGGCACAAAGCTACCTTATCTCTATCACTGTACCCATATAATTTAACTTTTCTTAAATTCTTCTCATTGAAAAAAAAAGGCAATGAAAGATCTAGATGGAATCAGACGGTCCGTTGTTCCAAAGAGAAGTCAGCTTGTTTGGTGTGGCTCACCATAAATATTTCACACATGGATGCCCATGTGCTAATACTTTGCAGTACCTGATGTTTTGGCCTTTTTGGCCTTTGATACTGAGTTGCTTTTGTATCAGGGACTGCTTTCTTTAAGATCTAAAAATAGTGATAAAGGAACCACCATTTGGGCAAAGCATGTGTTAGTAATCCAGACAGCAAGGGCAAAATTCATCCCAGGTGTCACTCCACTGTAGTTAACTCAGTAAATTAAAAGGGTACGTTTAGGACAGTCTCTGTCTAACTCTTTTTTGGATAAATTATAAAGCAGGGACTTTTCTCCACAGCCTGAAAAACAGCTGGAAAGGCGAACTGCACTTAGATCATTGTTGCATTTGAAAATAGAATATCCCCAGGGCACCATCTTTTTTCAGCAGTGTTCATAGTTCTTTATTTACTATTGGCAACTTAAAATGATGACACCAAAGGAGGCAACATGCCAAGTAACGTCATTCTTTGCTTTCTGGTCAGATGCCAGGCTATGAGATAAGCTACCTTCAGATTTAAACCTCTGTTTCTTGGCCCACAACTTTTATTAATGTGATGTGGTATGCGAGGTACAAAGAAAACTGAGCTAAAATCAAAATTGTTGACTTTTTTTGTGAGTGAAAAAATACGATTTCCTTTAAGAAGAAACTAGAAGATTCAGGCGCACATTTATCCATAAAACCTTGTTCCACTATACCGCCTTAAAAAAACCAAAAACCTCTAGCCCAGGGGTACCCAACACAGTGCCATCCAGATGCTGGCCTTCAGCTGACCACTGGCCATGCTGACTAGGGCTGATGAGTGTTATACTCCAACAACATCTGGAGGGCACCACACTGGCTACTCCTCCAACAGACTGCAGAATTTCACAGCCATCTTACCTTCTGTTCCTAATTAAATATTCTTTTTCATTATGATTAGTGATTTCATCAGATTCTACACTTTGGTTCATGCAAGCAGGGATACTAGGAAGTCTAAGTTAGTAATAAAACTAAAATCTGTAACAGTACTAGGCAATCAACCAATTGTAATTTTATCCTCCATCAAAGTTCAATGTCCATCCATTTCCAGCATTACAGATGAATTCAATAAAGAGAGCATAAAGAAAAATTTAACAGCAGTAGGATCCTAGACTTAGGCTCCTCTAATGCAGTCCTATTTGCAGAAGGAACGCCAAGATGCATTGATGGTTTTCCTGACTTTCTCTACCTCAATTGTAGCCCATTTCATTTGTTATCAGAACAGCATGGGAGAGACTCCTGTTATGGTTGGATCATGGCCCTCTGGTAACGCCTACAACCATTTTGCATGGGGTTCCGTTCCTGGCTCCCGCGAACGTCACTGGAGTGCACATAAGTCTGCTCTGCCCTGTTACACCCTTTCCCGTCCCGTCCTGACCTCTTCCAGGTCCAAAAGGACCTATAAGTTGAATGCCAATTGGATATGCATAAAATGGTTGCCACATATACCATGTAATTCAGGTGAATGTCACCATTGCTTCCACCCTTTGCCTTTACTATATTGGACACAACTCTCCATGCTGTTTTATGGCCCAGGCATGATCAGAAGATAACACAAATACCTTTATTGTGCTGTGGATCCCTGCTGGTATTAGTATTTTACCAATTTAAGATGGCCTCGTTGCAATTTTGTGTTGTGAGCTACTGGAGAAGTTGACAGTAAGTTTGATCCTAGGACAAAATTGCTCATCTTGAGTAGGCTCTGACATTCTAATGCTGTTGGAGGATGTCCATAATGCACTGAATATTCTTTCTGTGTCCAAGCAAGCACCCCACTACCTTTCAGGGAAGCACTGAATAAGTTAAGAACCAAATAAGGATTTGGCCCATGGCTTATACAGCAGCAACCCATCAACATACATCTGGACTGACTCATTAAAAATGTCCTTGGCTCCATGTTGCTTAAAGTAAAAACTGATGCCAAAGCTAGAATATTCTTGGCTGCAAATTAGCACACCTTTTCCCTGCTTGAATTTCCAACTGGAATATATTATTTAACAGGTTTTATTTGATAATCAGTACGAAAATTATTATCAAAAGAAGACAATTATGGTTTGAGCCTGCCAAACTGAAGTGCAATCATTTAAGTCATATAATACGTTGTCAGATATTTTCATAAACCTATGCTTGAGGTTAAAACTAACTTATGTAAGATTAAAGGTTGCCCATTCAGATGCAGTTTATTGCAGCCATATACTGAATGCTTCAGTTTGACTTAATGATATTCAGACACAGAGAACCATCTGCTTTGTTTTTCAAGTTGATTCCCAAGGTGACAGACACAAACTCACATATACACAAGTAGGACAAGATCCATTGGTCTTTAAGGTGCCACAATACACTTTGTCATTTTTGCTGCTAACATGGCTACCTCTCTGAAAAACTTTATCAGAGATTTCCTAGTACAGTTCGTTTATTTGTACTCCAAGAATCCTTACTCAATTTTCAGTATCAGCTGTCATTTCATCTCAAAACTTTCTGAAACCTATTTGCTTTGTAAGTCTGAAATCCTTTGCACACTAACTGGCACAAGCATCATTTAATGTAGTAGGCTTTCATTCAAAGCAAACAGCATGCACATATTGGGCTGGATGTTTCCTTGCAGTCATATATACTTGGAAAGGAAAACTACAAATGTAGACCCTACACTTCTGAGCTTGAGTTGGGTAGCAATTCTGTCCAGGCAAGTAGCAGATCAACATCTCACATACTGTACTACACCACTTCCCTGGGCTAGAAGAAGCCAACAGTTAAGGATGATGGGAATTGTAGTGCAGGTTTATCTGAAGGGCACCAGATGGGGAAAGGCTGCCTCACAGTTTCAAAATGGCGTATACTTTGGAAATGCAAACAGTACTTCATTTTGTGGGGTGATAACATCCAAAATGCATATGCAAAGGGTTAATTGCAAGAGCTGTAGAACTCTGTGATGTCATACACCCTGTGGCAGTTATAGCAGTTGGTACAGTTATGGCAGTTAGAGCAGCAGGTTATGTGACATTGTGCTGCTGTCTGCCTCAGAGTCAGTTACCCTGTAACAGTTTAATCTGTGTAAGAGGTTTTAGCAATTTAAGAAACATCCACCTGCATTGTATATTTAATCTGAAACTGCAAGTACACTAAGTAAAAATTATATGCCATTTAAACTTTAAAAGAGAGTGTCTTGCATAGTTTTTATATGAGGGAAAAGAGAACTAAGTAAAGGGTCAATCGACCCAAGGCTGTCTTCCACATCTCTGTAAATGGGAACTAGAGTCTAATTCCAGCACATTTTTCTTTTCTTGCATTTGTTTGTTCTACTGTGTACCAAGTTTTTTTAAAAAAAAAACAAAAAAATTTATAATTATGACTGTACAGGAACCTTCTACTCTGATTCTCCAAGATTTAAAGCAAGTATGGAGAACCTGTGACTCTCCGGATACTGCTAAACTACAACTTCCATCATCCCTAACCAATGCCATGCTGTTTGTGACAGATGGGAGTCCAGCAAAATCTGGAGGGCCCCAGGTCCCCCACCCATGGCTTAAAAAAAATAATCAAGAATATTTATAGGCAGCCTAGGCCATGGATGAGACAGATAGTGCAGAAGGGTTATGCTTGTGCCAACACATGAGACATCTATTTATATAAATTACGAAATAATATTATATGCCTCATTTAAATGAAACCTGAAGAAATACTAACAAGACAAATACACTCACATTTTTTCACATTCGCAACTTGGTGCAGAGTAGGGGATCTGGTCCCAAATGCAAAGGATGCTGTCAGGGAGATATGTGACATGTTTGGGGCATAAGGAAATTTTCTCTGGGTGCAGAGGAATTACATTCCTATTTAGGAGTTCCACTGCCTGCAATGTTTTGACAGATTCCTCACTATGCTCTGACGGTGTGCTTGCCCTATGATGCAAGCACTTCGCTTCAGATCTGACTGAATATTCTAACAACTGTAATATGGCAGCTTATTTCACAACAGCTTGTGTGGTGTCAGTTGTGAAATGAGCAGGGCAGGGCAGAGCTATACAGTTCTGCACTACTGGACTCTAAAAGCTAAGGGATACCATAACTCTTTACTACAGATCTGCCTGAAGGGATGCCCAGCTGTGCTGAATTTAGGAGCTTTTGTCTCATTCAGTAGGGCAGAAGGGATTCACTTCAGCACTATCAGCTGTTCTCTAAATACACACACACACACACACACACACACACGGCTGTGTTTGCCCAGAAAGTAGGGCGAGATCATGTCTGAGCCTGAACACTCTGTACATGAGCAAAGAATGGTGCTCTCTGTCCGTTTGCATGCAACATTTCATGAATATGAATATCCAGAAATAGTTAAAGAAACATTTAGATTCATAGATTCAATTAATGCATCATAAACATTCCGATCAAGAACTTGTAAAAAACAGTATTACTATAAAGTGATGTCGTGTTGTATAGAGAAAAATTGTACAGCATTTGGCTCAAATTGGATTCTCCCCAAATGTTTGATTTCAGTAAACCACATTTAAAAAACAAAGGTAGAAAGTAAAAATATGAACACAATTCCGTCTGCTCTCCATGATGTACATTGTTATTTTAAAATCTGTTTAGCTTACCCCTGCTGTCACCTTGTTTAAAATTAAAAATTAGCATCTAGAAAGAGGGAGGCTAACTTACATGTAGCAGGTTTAGTTTTCATCAGATTCTGGAGGTCAATGGTGAATTTGTGGAACTGGCTGTGGAACTGCTGGGATGAATTCTTGAGTCCAGAAATATCTTTAGAATGGGAAATTATAGTTCTGTTCATCTTATTGACACAGTTCCAAAGACTGGAGACATGTTTGTTTAATCCCTCCCTTATCCTTTGGAGGCTGCTAGACACTTGATCTAGTTTGCTGCAGGTTTTTTCAACACTGGACACTCTACCCTCCATATCAGAGACACCAGGCAATTTCTCTTGGCATTTGTTCAGGTTATAATATAGCTTCGTGCTTAGCTGTTCCATCCTATCCTTTAAGTCATTACAACAATTACTGTCTGGGTGAGTTTGATTGCCCACTGTTTTCTGTATTTCATCTACCTTTCTGAAAGCATCAAGTTGTACCTTTTCACAAGTAGAATTGATACCTAGAAGTTGTTCATTGCAGCTGCTCAAACCACCCTGAAGTTTCTTAATATTTTTATCAATAGCATTCAGACCATAACGAATAATTCGTAAATCCTTTTGAAGCTTCTGAATGTCACGTTGGCTGCCTTTAATTAAATTAAATTTCTCACTTAAAGAGCCATTTAAGGATTTTAAAAGACCAGAATTACCCTCTGTTTTCAAAAACAATACATCATATTTACTGTTGCAGTTTTCTACGTCTCTCTGGAGGCCCTCCACATTGTGTGATACCGGCTGGCATTTCTGCCTGCAAAGGTTTTCAATATCTTGCAGTTTGTTCTTCACAATATTTATTTCAGAGACAAACTGTTCATTTCCAGACCCTGAATTGCTATGCAAAATTGATAATAGATCAACATTTCTCTCATCTGGATTTGTGATATTAGTAACATCTAGAAAAGTAGCACTCAGACGGTTTTCCAGTGCCTGAAGCTTTTTGTCAAATATGTCTCTCGCTTCATCTACTTCAGTAGCTATAACGCCACGAAGAGTTTCTTCAATGTAAAAGCAGTGTTGTTCAGCATTTCTCTCTGTAACATTGATCCTGGCTTCCACTTCCTCCCATTTTGCATCAAAGTTGCCTTCCAGATATGGAGTGGCTATGTATTTCATTTCATTATCTATTCTGGCATTTAAAATCCTATTTGCTTCTGCAGTTCTGTCAATCTTCTCACCCAAATGTTTTAGCTGCTGTCCAAAAGCATCAGTTTCAGCATTACTGCAACAAACTGAGTGGTTTGATGGTGCTTGGATAAGAGTCTGAAGATGTTTTATCTCCTTTCTGATGTCATTTTCTTTCTCTCCAATAAGTTCCCTTATTCCTTGGCAGCTGGCTTCATGATCATCACAATGTTGTTGAATATCCATCAGTTTGTACTCACAGGAATTTTTCAGATCTGCCATTTTCTTCTCAAATCCTTCCAAAATCTCCTGTCTCAGATCTTCAAACCTAGCATCAATGTACTGCTGATACAACTGGCTACTTGGCATCATTACGGTTGGGCCTTGGGCGGCTTCTTGGAGCTGTTTTAATTGTGCTTCATAACCATTTGCTTTCCCTTTCCCTTCTTCCACCTTGTCATCTTTGTCCTTCAATCCATCTTCTGTTGGTTCAGATTTTATATTTTCTATTCCAGGTTCCTTTTGGTCTTTATTTCCAAACACATGAATTTTCTTTGTTTCGCCCTCAGCCGTACTGTCAGGCTCTGGACGGTCATGAAGGTTGTTCAACCATGATACAAGCATCCGACTTGCATCTTCTTGAACAGAAAGCTTTAGGTTTTCATTCACACCTGTTAAGGAGGACTGAAGCTCTAGCACAGTCTGTGTAAGGCGGAATACTTCATCCTCAAGGAGCTGAATTCTTTTATCCTGTGAGTCCTGCTGTTCTTGTTTCGGATTAGTGTCTGCAGAAAGAAAAGAAAGAAAAATGTGGAAACAGCATTTGAAACTAAACTTGAAGTTACAAAACCCCAAACTGACTTAGATGGTTCAGAGGGATAAATCTTTACAACTTTCTCACCCCCCCCATGTTTTTCCTTCAAAGTGAATTACTTCTTTTATATTTGGCTCTATGCTTTAATACAAGGGTAGGAAGTCTGATGATGGATGTTGCTGAAATCTAACTCTCATCAGTCCTTGTCAAGATGCCCAGTGGTCAAGGATAATGGGAGTTGTAGCCCAGCAATATGTGAAGGGTTAGATTCCCCACTCCTCCACCAAACTAGGAATATGAGAATCAATGCACACACAAAATATGATACTGATTTGAGACTGCATCATCTGTGCTGATCTCACTATGACCCAAGTCCATCATTCTGTACTTTCATGGGAGTCAGCACAAAAAAAGCTTATACAGGGAAGCAACCTAAGCTGCCCTTTCAAATACTGAAATATGCACAGTACTTTGGGCGGATATTGCATATCAAACTGATTATCTTTTGCTACAGCTGTGCAAATTGGCCACTGCACCTAAATTCTGAACATTTTCCTGACAATGCAGGAGAAATGCCTGCAACATGACATCAAGGAAAACCAGCCCCAATTCATCCAAACTGAATATTACAACTGGCCTTGCCAAATGGAATATGTTCAGAAAGAAAGAAAGAAAGAAAGAAAGAAAGAAAGAAAGAAAGACCAGCAAAAGCTTCTAGTGCAGAAAAAAGCATGTTCACCTGCATAAACAGCCCCCACCCAGCTCTTGGTTCTAGGCTCTGTTTCCACAAAGTAGCTTAAAAGTCATCACTAACTTATCAAGTTAGTGACAAGCACCAGCATTAAAAAAAACCCTCATATTCTTATAATACAGAATCATTCCATACAACATTCTGAAAATATCACTGAACTTGTAAATATGAAATAAGCTCATGGGCACTAACAGCTGCTTCCAAAAGGGTGGCCCTAGCACTACCAAGTCACTGTTCTTTTGTTGTAAGCTGCAAATGAAATTGGAATTAAATCTCTACACTATTGGCAGTAATGCATCCTATGTTCTGCCCACACACTGCTGGGGTGAGGCCATTTTAAGTTCAGCACATATTCATTATAACTCTTGTGGTGAATGCCATTTCATCACACACACACCATTTATGAATGAATGAATGGATCTTTATTTGTGTCAGCCATTGGCCATAGCAGTAAAAAAACATGATATACAACAATACAATACACAAAGAATAGGAAAAAAGTTAATTATATAAAATACATTTTAGGGTTTTGAGTCAATAGTCAAATAGTGGATCCTATTCTAATTGCCCCAGCTAAAAACCTTGCTGTCACCTGCTCATCTTGATCTGCCAAGAGAAAGGACACTGTGGCAGTGGCTGGGCGACCTGGAATGGACAATAAAAGAGGGGTGATAACCTCACTCCTCAAGTCTTTATAAAGAGTGCAAGCCAGAAGGGCATGCGCCACCGATTCGGTACTGCCATTTCCACAGGGACATAAGCGTTTTTCGTGTGGAATCTGTTAGAATAGTCTCTCAAATACAGCTGAGGGCAATACATTCAATCTCGTGAGAGTAAAAGCATGTCTATATTTTAGAATTGCTAGGTTATGCAGATAGGGTGCCAGAGAGTCAAAATGGGTAGGTGGAAAATTGTCATACCATGGGCAAAATTTCCTTATTGTGACCAAGTTGTTCTGATGCTCGATATCATTTAGGCACTGACAAATTTGACTGTTTGCTTTGCTAAAACCCAAAGTGAGTAGCTGTTGTGGTGATAAACCACAAGAGTGAAGTTTTTGATAGACAATTTTAGTCTAGGCACTCTTGTGATAATTTTGCAGCACTGGGGATATTAGACCGGAGAGATTTAAGTTTAGGCGAAGCCAATAGTTAAGTGTCCTATGCCAAATCCATAATTCTACCAAGGGAAGATAAGCCTCTAGGCAGAATGATGTGTTTGGGACACAGGGTAGTACAGGGAAAATTTGCCTTAAGAACTTTAATTGGACAGCTTCCATAGATCTAAGGTCAGTGCCTGTCCAAATCTGAGCCCCATATAATAACTGTGCTAGGGGTTTAGCTTGGAATACTTCCAGGACTGATGGTATATGTTTACCACCTTTTGTGTAGAAAAAGCCTTTTTTAAAAAATCATTTTTTAAATTATTGCTGAAATGCTTTCAGGGCTTTTTTAATGAAAGGAAAGTAAAGTGTTATAACCCAATACTGTTAATTTGCTATACTGCTATAATACTATACTACAACAGTCAACTTAGGTTTGAACCCAACAGATCGCCATCAGTCCATTTGCTTTAATAATAATAATAATAATAAATTTTATTTATATCCCGCCCTCCCCAGCCAAAGCCAGGCTCAGGGCGGCTAACAACAAATAAATAATCAAACAATTAAATGATCCAACATTCTAAAACATTTCATTATAAAAATTAATTAAAATCAAATTAATGGCAACCGTTGAGCAAAGTTCTGTGCAGGTTGCCGGAGGTGGGAGTCAGGCTGGGCCCTGACCAAAGGCCTGGTGGAACAACTCTGTCTTGCAGGCCTTGCGGAAAGATGTCAGGTCCCGCAGGGCCCTAGTCTCTTGTGACAGAGCGTTCCACCAGATTGGAGCCGCAGCCGAGAAAGCCCTGGCTCTAGTTGAGGCCAGCCTAACCTCTCTGAGGCCTGGGACCTTCAGGATGTTTTTATTTGCAGACCGTAGGTTCCTCTGTGGGGCATACCAGGAGAGGCGGTCCCGTAGGTACGAGGGTCCTAGGCCGTATAGGGCTTTAAAGGTTAAAACCAGCACCTTAAACCTGATCCTGTACTCCACCGGGAGCCAGTGCAGCTGGTATAGTACCGGATGAATGTCATCTCGCAGCGAAGACCCCATAAGGAGTCTCGCCGCGGCATTCTGCACCCGCTGGAGTTTCTGGGTCAGTCTCAAGGGCAGCCCCACGTAGAGCGAGTTACAATAATCCAGTCTGGAGGTGACCGTCGCGTGGATCACAGTGGCTAGGTCAGGGCGAGAGAGATAAGGGGCCAACTGCTTAGCTTGGCGGAGATGAAAAAATGCCGCCTTTGTTATAGCTGTAATCTGCGCCTCCATAGAGAGGGAGGTATCGAAGATTACACCCAAACTCTTAACGGACGGTGCTGGCACTAATTGCACCCCGCAAGAGATGGGAGTTGTCCCCCAATCCCATATCGTCCCGTCCCAGCCAGAGGACCTCTGTCTTCGAAGGATTTAACTTCAACCGGCTTCCGCGTAACCATCCAGCCACAGCTTCCAAACATCTGGTCAGTGTGTCTGGGGCCGAGTCAGGATGGCCATCCATCAACAGATAGAGTTGGGTGTCATCAGCATACTGATGGCAACCCAGCCCAAAACTCCGGACAAGCTGGGCGAGGGCGCATAAAGATGTTAAAAGCATCGGGAGAGTATCGCACCCTGAGGCACTCCACACACCAAGGAGTGGCGGGATGACAATTCCCCCAAGCGCCACCCTCTGTCCCCGACCGGAGAGAAGCGAGCGCAGCCATTGAAGGACTGTGCCCTGGATCCCCACGTCGGCAAGGCGGTGGTCCAGGAGTTCGTGATCAACCATGTCGAAGGCTGCTGACAGATCTAGAAGAATCAGCAGCCCCGACCCGCCTCGATCCAGCTGCCTACGGAGATCATCTGTTAGGGCGACCAGAGCCGTCTCGGTCCCATGACCAGCGCGGAAGCCAGACTGGAATGGATCTAGAGCCGATGTTTCATCCAGAAACCTACCAAGCTGTTCAGCAACCGCTCTCTCAATCACCTTACCCAGGAATGGAAGATTCGAAACCGGGCGGTAATTGGATAGATCTAAGGGATCTAATGATGTTTTCTTTAAGAGCGGGCGCACCACTGCCTCCTTCAATTCCCTGGAAATATCCCGGTGCCAAGGGACAAATTGATGATATCCCCAGGGGCCCGCACCTCGTCTGGACACGCTCTAATCAGCCAAGACGGGCACGGGTCAAGAGGACAGGTGGTGGGCTTTCCAGCTCGGAGGAGTCTGTCCACATCGGCTGGGGATATCCGATCAAAGTGGTCCAATACTGGACCCGAGGACAGTCGAGGGGCCTCCAGTTCCTTTATTGTATCCAAATTGGCAGGGAGGTCATGGCGGAGCAACAGGACCTTCTCCGCAAAAAAGCTTGCAAATGCCTCACAGCTGTGTGTCAGATTGTTATTTAAATTTGGCTGTCCTTCAAGGGACGTTAAAGACCTAATTATACTAAATAATTGCGCCGGGCGAGAGCTAGCGGATGCAATGGAGGCCGAGAAGTAAGACTTCACCGCCATCTCATAGGTTTTCATAAAAACCCTATAAGATGTTCTTGAGGCTCCGTCACGGGCACTGCCATGTTATCAATATGGTTAACAGACTGTTCTTTAAAAATATTGGTTTTTAAAAAATATATACAATGATGCATATCCAATACTGCAGCTCCATGGACTTCTGTCCATGCAGCTATACTTGCTCTTCCTCTCCTGTCTCCTCCACAACCTCCTAGACCCTCAGAAACAGCTCTGCAAGCTTGGGGCCACCCTCCAGATCAGATTTTTGGGGTACATGTGAGATGGATCTTTGACTGGGCCCTCAAAAACCTACCTCAAAGGGTTAATGAGACTGATAAATGGCAGAGAAATAAATAAAACACTTTGGACTGCAAGTGCTGTGTCAAACATAGCAAAAAGAAAAATTATGGGCAGGGACATGCATACCAAAATTCAAAGAAAAGAATTACCCAAGCTTGGCTTCATGTCATCTGCTGGTAGCTGTGCTGGGTAAACAGCAGACCTTGGCTTTTGTGGTGTGCCTTCTTTGCAATCTATACCCATGTATCCAGGGCAACATCTCCATTCCAATTCTGTTACTGTCTTATATGTTATTTTATATTTAGGTCTGAAACTTGTACGATACCTGCAATAAATAAAATGAAAATGGTAGCATTAACATATTATGGTGATCTTTATTGGGGGGCGGGGTTCTTTCAAACAAAGCAAAATAAAAAATAAATAAAAAGAAGAAATAAAAATAAAAGGGACTTCTGATTTTCCACCTGTCAGTTATATAAAAGATATTATTCAAAACAGTCACTCTAGCATGACATCCAACTGTACGACTTTCTGTTAAGCAATATTTCCCCAATCTTTAGATCCAAATGTCTCAAATTCATTCATTTTCCTTTTCACCCAAAAGGTCCAAAAGGGGTTCTATAACTATTATCAATAAATGTCAGCAATAGTTTTTCTCTAATCAAACATATCAACTTCAGCAACCATTCCTCCATATTAAACAATAATAAATCATTCCATTTTTGTCCATGTAGGAGGACAACAATGACTACTTTTAAGAGATTTAAAGTCATTAGAGAGCTATATAAACAATCCCTGTAATGAGTAGGGGGAGAGTGGGAAAATATAATATCCTGCCCACCCATGACTATCCTGTTTCCTCCCTGTTCTCTTATGTATGTCTAACTACTTATTACTGTGAAAGCAATTTAGCTAGGATGAGTATTCTTTGAAGTCACTGCTAGAGACAGCAGTGACCACTTTGAAGTGATTTAAAGTCATTAAAGAGATATTCCAACCCTAACAGTACTTAACTGCTTTGAATTAGGCCTAGTAAATCTGATTCACATGCATTATCTGTGCCCACATTGCAACTGGGGTATCTTTGCCCCAACGCAATTCAAAGTTTGATAAATAAAACATTTTGATATTTAAAGATGTTTGTTGTATTAATTCACTGAAATTGTTTTAAGTAACTTCCATTCTTTAGTTAACATTTTTATATTAATGTTTTTATTTATTTTCCAATTGCAGTAACAACATCAAAATAACAAATTATAATCAGGTTCAACCTTAATTGTGGTCCACTGAAGTAGAAAGACCCACGTTTTATAACCAGTGCTTTGCCATTAACTACAGTTAGTAGTCATAAGTTCAGTTATTATGATCTATAGAGCTTTATTGATTGACATAGCTCTAACTTTGATTGCAGATTGCATAAAGAAAGAAGGCTAAGGAGTATGGCTAGATTACCAGGCTACCAGGATTACAATGGTCCATTGTAGAAGACAAGTAGAAATATTCTATGTTACATAACAGTTGAAGCTCTTAGTACCACTCCCTTATTTTCATCTATTTGTTACTGTTGAATCCACAGCAGTTAAAAATTCTCCAACAATGAAATCATTTGCTCCTCATGGGATTCAGCTGATTCTCTGTTATTAGCTATGCAGAACAAGAAGCTAAACACTCACAAACCCAAATACAGTGGTACCTCGGGTTAAGAACTTAATTCGTTCTGGAGGTCCGTTCTTAACCTGAAACTGTTCTTAACCTGAGGTACCACTTTAGCTAATGGGACCTCCCGCTGCTGCCGCTGCGTGATTTCTGTTCTCATCCTGAAGCAAAGTTCTTAACCCGAGGTACTATTTCTGGGTTAGCAGAGTCTGTAACCTGAAGCGTCTGTAACCTGAAGTGTCTGTAACCCGAGGTACCACTGTACTGCACCATCTAAAATGCTCAGATTTCCTAAGGTTGCTTCCTAAATCTTGCTACAGAAAGAAAGACAAAATTTGCCTTTGAAGTCACTTGGGGATTTCCAACCGTTTCCTAAATGTTTCATAAACATCAATGAATTAATTAGTTCGAAGAAGTGCTTGAACTCATAATAGCTATCACCTGCATTTTCATTTATTGGGAAATAAGAATTGAAGCTGCCTTCCTGAAATCAAGAACACGTACAAAGTCCTACTGAAATCATCTGATGGCAATCTGTTGGGTTCAAACCTAAACTGACTTGTTCAGCATGTCTGTTGCTAGCATTAACACAAATCTTTTCATTCTTCTATTATAGTAATGCATACTATCAGAAAGATGGAGAATTGTGATACATGACTACCTCTGAGTCCTAAAAACGCAAAACAAGAAAGTAGTGCTCACCTGCATTTGTATTCTTAGAGGACTTCTTCCCTCACTCCCTGCACCTTTGTATATCATAGCATAGGCTGGTAACATATACCCACATATTCAGGTCCATAGAAACAAACAGAAAACTTTAGGCAGGCTCTTGGCCTTTCTTCCTTGCCACACAGTGATGCCATTTTCAAAGTACACTTCTTGCCTTTAACCTTCCAAAGCACCTTTATTCCACATGTTCCTCTTCCCTGCTAATTAGAAATCCATTTACTGGATTAAGCCTGTCATCAAAATAGTTTCTGGCAATAGTTTCCCTTTTTTTGAAGGGACTTAGTTTAACACAATAAGAATGGGAAAACCTGACAAATGAGTCATGAAGGAAGGTCTGGAAAATGCATTACATCCAGAGATGGTGGGTCACTGGTCAAGACTTTTCAAAATGACTCTGCAGATAAGCTCCAGGTTGATTCACATGAAAATAAAAGAAACTTTTTAAACAAGGAGACATTTTTAATAGCACGGCCATTTACAGATCAACAAATAGGAGGCCACCAGAAGATACAAATTTGCATAAAGACACCTTTACCCCGGTATGGCTCCCCTTTATCACATACACAGCCCAACAAGACAATGTCAATAATCCACCAACAGCATACAAATCAATATGGCTAACCTGATCCAAAACACCCACCCACACCACTCACACACGAAAACAAAGATCACCACAGCCAATCACAAACAACCAACCACACCCTAGGCCAACCCCAACCTCTCACACCACCAAAGAAACACAAATGAACAGCAGAGAACCTGCACAGGCTGACACCAAACCCTACATACATTAAGCAAAATAGAAACATCGCCACCCAGGATACAAGGTACAACTGTATTTTATATTATTTCCCATGTCAATACCCTAGCAGGAGCCACAAGATGTTACCAGAAGACAGAAGAAGTTTGATAGGTTCTGGACCATGAGAATATGTGCTTTATGCCCTGCAGCACTGGAAATATGTTGTTTCTATTCGCCTGGAGGTACACTACATTGCATTATGAAATATAGAGAGTTTTAACATTATTTGTGCATTTGTCTAGGAATGAATACAACAAAGAGCTTGTTTAAAACTCCCATCAAGTATTATCAAAGATCAAACATTCGTACTGAGTTTTTCTGAAATTATGCAGTCAATTATGAATGTTGTATGAAATAAATATACCCCTTTGCAACCCATAGATGAGAAAGAGTCTATTGTTCACTGTTTACAGACAAAAACGGGCAATTCTAGGTCAATGATACATGGCCAGAAAAGTTCATCTCATCAGCAAACTGACACTATCAAACATGCCAAAATACTAAGGATCACTGATAACTTCTTTTTGTTTCCAATACACTGTCCTTCTGCAGCATTCCCCATGAGGTCAGCAAGATAGGGCCTCTACAGAAAAACCTTTCCCTGGGCACATCCAGGAGTCATTCCTGATTATGCAACAGCAGTGCTCCTTTTGTAAATATTTTTGAGACATCCAAAACCATTTTTTACTCTTAAATTTACTGGAACAAATTTTAGGCTACCGGCAATGACTGATGGAAATGCACACACACACACACTGCGATGAATCCAGAAGTGACCTGAAAACATTACTAAAAGAGCAGAATGGGGACGGGGCAGAATGCTTTATGTGGGGCCCGCTGACGTATGTGGGGGTCCAGAATATAACCCATGTGCAAAACAAAGATTGTCTAGACTTAAAAGTATTGTCTACATATGATGCAAGTTTTCAGCTTAGGACAGATTTCTGCATTTATTCCGCCCGAGCCATTTTTATCTCAAGACATTTAAGCCCATACAATGCATGCACTGATGAACATCCTTATACAGATTAGGGCTCTGTGTATTACTGCTACCCAGCAGCAGCTGATGCCCACTACATGTAGTAGGGCTGCTAGGGGGTCTCTCAGGGGTGTGGAGAATGAGTGGTCCCAGGGGTGTGTCCAAGTTCTTCTGATTTTCTCCCCATCCTCCTCCCTTGCAAAGCTACTGTGGAACCTAAGCATTGCAATTATACAAATAGTTGGCACCTATAAAATAGTTGACTGCCCCTTTGATTAAAAGAATATTAGTACTGTACCCAAACAGCCAGTGACAAGAGAGGAAGATTGTAAACTTAAGTCTTCAGAGCCACTGGTGTGCTTGTTTTCCAAAGGTATAGACAATAAGGCTCTTGCCAATTGGCTTACTGAGAAGGGAAATGTACAGTCAATATTCTATCCAATTAAAATGTGATGCAGATTAAGGGCACTGCCAACTGCTCCTCACAAACCACACCTTGCTTTCACAGACTTGAGTAGAGGAGACATGATTAGGAACTATAAGCCTCAGAAAAAAATAGAATGAGCATGCACAGAGTGCATCAGTCTCACCAAACCTTTGTTTGTATTTAATAATGTAACACACATATCCACCATGGTATATAATCACCACAGTAGTTCAGGATCAGCAACTGGATCAGGCCAAAGGCCCATCTAGTCCAGCATCCTGTTCTCACAGTAGCCAACCAAGCAGCACAGCGATTTTTAAAACCTAAAGAAAAACAGGAATGCAAAACATCCATACATCTCAAGCCTATGTACAAACATTAGAGTTCCAATAATACACAAGTGCTGAAAGTTACAACACACATAGAAGCCACCAACCATTTCTCCTTGCCCATTCCCAAAAATGATTTAAAAATCGATATTATAAAAAGATACTCACTGTCCACTGTTGCTCTCTCTTGATGAATATTCGTTTAAAAACACAAGCTGCTCAAACTAGCCACTGCACCCTTCTCCTGGCTAGCTACAAAGAATGGGCTTTGAGGCGTGGCTTCCAGAAACAGCTCTGAGCATGCTCAGATGGCCATTCAAGGCAGTCCTACTGAGACTTCTTGTTAGGCCTCATAACAATAGATAGAGTGAGAGCCTTCCTAGTAGGATTAACCTGGTAGGCAGCCCTATCAACCACATGGTTTTTCTGCTTAGAAAGACATGGGAGGGACCTTTTTGCCATAGCTGTAACCACATGCTGGTCTCTCTCAGGCCAGTGAAGGTACCTGCTTAGGCCACCCTAGCTGTTTTATTAATTCACAATGCAAACACATGCATACTTATTTGTAAGTAAGTCCTACTGTGTTAAGTGGAACTACTCCCAATGGGTGCATAGAAAGAGAGACCGAACCTCTCATCAGTCAGCCTAATCCAATCTTCCTCTTTCTCTCTTTAAAGTATTATAAAGTGGTCAATTAAGTTAAGATACTATGAAAAGAATCAACAGGGAACATTACAGAGAGAACATCTCACCACAACTTCCTCTAATTAAGCTGATGTTGTCAATGTTTAGTTGAATGTAAGCTTCTTTTTTGGCAAAGGCAAGCTACTTTTTTGCCAAAAGCATTTGTGCTGCAAAATTCAAGCACACAAAACAAAAACGCTGATCAATAGTTACAGCTCTAAACAAACATACTGGGGAGTATGCCCCAATGCATACAGCAGGATTTACTTACAAGTTGACTTGTATAGGATTGCACTACATAACTTGTTAAGTCCAGTTGCAGACGACTAGGATTGCGGCACTCATCCCACTTTACAGGCAGAGGGAGCCAGCGTTTGTCCGCAGATAGTTTTTCCAGGTCATGTGGCCAGCATGACTAAGCTGCTTCTGGCACAATGGAGCACCGAAATCAGAGCAGCGCATGGAAACGCTGTTTACCTTCCCGCCGGAGCGGTATCTATTTATATACTTGCACTTTTTGGCATGCTTTCGAACTGCTAGGTTGACAGGAGCTGGGACCAAGCAGCCGGAGCTCACCCTGTCGTGGGGATTCGAACCACCAACCTTCTGATAGGCAAGCCCAAGGGGCTCAGTGGTTTAGACCACAGCGCCACCCAAGTCCCGTCTTTGACTACTATCAGAATGTAAAGCCATAATTGACACACCCGAGGAGGTGACTAATCACGCGCCTCTTATCACATGATTCTGAAGAAATAGTAACAGCAAATTTGCTGGGGGCAGGGGGCGGGAATACTCACAGCATTCTTCCAGATGCAGACATACATACATTGGCAAAGGTATCTAGATTTCCAAGGCACCTGATTTTCATTTAACACAAGATGATAGTTTCAAATCTTTACAACTTATTCCAGGGTAGTTTCATGAAAGCCAATACACTATTCTGGAAGATTTCCACACGCTCTTCTTCCAGTCCTCCTCCCTTACGAAATAAACTATATAGCCCAGAAGCTTGTAGCTTGAGTGTAAGCATTCTAGACCATCAAGCAACACAGAGTCAGGGCTTTGAGCATCTGAATTGCTAGGTTTTCTCAGATTGTGAGGGAGTAAAATATTGTCCAGACCTTCAAATTGTCACCATTCTGAGAGCAGGTGATGGAATACATTTTTGCGCACCTGGCAACATCTCCTAAAGTTAGCTGGTTTGCTGAGACGGCCTATTCAAATAGCCACTTAAACGGCTGTATATTCTGTTCACCAATATTATAGCCCTTATTTATATTCCTTTTGTCCATGTGGATCACAGGGCAGCACACACTGCAAAAAAATTACGGGCTCAAAATTACTGGAACATTTTGGCTTCCACCCAGGCATTTCAAAGAAGAGGACCTGCACTGATTTACAGCAAAGTTTATGACTGCTCTGCATGACTAGAGCCTGCAGGTGATTGTAGGCCAAGGAATGTAATTGTACTCAGCAGCAGGTGTTCACAGAGCTGCCACAAAAATTGAGGTACTAATTGCTTCAACTTTAATCAGAGTTTTAAAAAAATAATTCTTAACTGATGCCAACCCCAAAGTAGTTATGCTAGGGTAATGTTTTTGCAATTTCCTTCTTTTGTCTGAATAATGTACGGTGACTTGTATTATCTGTTGACAGAAGAGTCAACATGGCTCTAATTAGTTGCAGCTGCCTCATGTTTGCAATAAAAAGAGCAAGCTCTGTTCAGCTTATACTATGGCTTAGAAATCAGATGTTAGAAAATGGTGCACATCCTCCTGAAGTACCCACATGGTGAAACGTGAAGAATTCCACAGCCGTACTAAGTTGTGTGATGAAGCAGAGGATTTTTCTGCCTACATATGGGAATACCTCACTGCTGGAAAGATGACCAAATACTTCCCCACCCACTCAGTCTCCTCCTTGTCTTCCTTTGTTACTTACACAGGAGCATGTGGGCAGGGGATCTGGTTCCAGGCACAGGAGTACTGAACTTGAACAAAACTCTCTGTGCCATCCAGCACTGAGCAGGTCACATTCTTGTTCACGATGTAGGCACACCAGTTCCTGCAGGGGAGAAGAAGAGAGGGAGACAAGAACAGGACAGACACACTGTTAAGCCATCAAACAGTGAAAGTTATTAGCCATTTCTCTGGGTCAAATATACAACCACAAAGATTCCATTCAAGAGACAGAGAAGACAGACTTGAAATTATCTGATTATTATTATTATTATTATTATTATTATTATTATTCACCTAATACATTTACGGGTTGTAAAGCCAATTTCAAAGCTGTAAGGAGATGTAACAAAAGTAGTATCTTGGAATGCTACTGTGGAACTTGAGTATTCAAAAATACCTGGCTTACTTTAAAAGAATAAAATGCACCAAGTTAAAACTTATATTCTCACTAAATATAGCTGGTGACTACAGAATAGAGGCTGAAATGGAGGAATAAAAGCATCTCATGTCAAACTGACAAGGATTGTGTTTGAACCCAGGGTATGGAACCCACTCTTCTTTCTGCTCTGTTCTTTCTATATGAACAAATGCAGATACTTTAAATGACCAAATACACATCCCAGCCCAGCAATATAGTTTATTACGAAGCAATTAGGAGGTGCTTGATGTTAGAACACAAATGTGGTACTGGCTGCTTAACATTAAACTGAAGCCACAGAATACTGAATCTGGGGTGGATAACTTTGGATGTTAAGGAATCAACCATGTTCTCTGGCCTTGTGAGAAGGGACTGGGCTAAATGGCCTCCTTTGGTCTTTTCCATCTCTTTGGTAGTAGGACACTTGGGTGACCAACCCTTTGTTGCTAAATAGATTGCTTATGATGGATGATCAGCTGTCTACAGAGGGAATTTAAAGGTTAGGATATATTTTTTCCTGAATGAGCAAGTTATCTGCAGAGTGCGGTCGGACTTCAGAGTTTTTGCAAAGTCATATGCAGTTGGCAATTGGGATTTGAAGATGGAGAGTATGCTGTAAGTTGCATGTGCACAAGCAATTGATAAGAGTCTAAATGGAAGCTGGAGGGAAATCCAAACTTGTTTTAGAGACTTGTTCGTAAGGGAGCTGCATTAATGCTTGCAGTTTTACTTCCTGGTTCTAAGGCACATTAATTCATCCTTGCTTTACTCATGTTAGTGAAACCCCAGGCATCATTTAAAAATTGGCTAAATATTGAGGACTTAGTGAGATTCAGTTATTTAAGGAAATTATACCATGCTTGAAAAGAACAAGAAACAAACTGCCTTGTCTTTATGGAAGCATGAAGCGAAGCCTGAATCTACAGTTTTGTGTAGAGGATAAAATGATGGTCATTTTGTTTTGTTCTTTGTAAACAATATAATGGAACCAGAAAGTATTTAAAAACCTGGGAAGATAACTTTGCTGTTAAGTCTCTTTGTTCTGTAAACTGTGAATGCAGTCTGTATTCTGGAAAGGAATAATGCTGTTTAGAGAGTGAATAATTTACCGGGGATGGTTATACTGACTGGAGAAAGAAATGCATTTGTAAATATGGAAATGAGTAACTATGAATCATCTTGAATGTTTTCAATTTATGTCCCTTTATCATCTTTTCCAGGGTGAGCTATAGGCTCTCTAGAGCTTTTAGAGGGACTAGGTCACCTTTTAAGGTGAATGCTGTTTGGGTGATTGCTTGCTAACAGTGATTTTTAATTGATATTTCTTCAAAAGGAGCTAATGGTTAGGATGAAGTCTGAGTCCAGGCCTTTTGCAGAGACATGTGTGCAGAGGAGTTGGCAGTGCGGGTTTGGAGATAGAGTTTTAGGTTTAGATAGACTAGATGAGGGCAGGGGAAAGACAGTAGGGATTCCAAGCTGAAATTGTCCAGAAATCAGATGAAGGGTCAGTGAGTTGTCTGCCTGTTTTAAACTGTTTACTTCTAAAAGTCTCCCTCTACTTGAATAAATAAATAAAACACTACAAAGGCAGCATAACTCTCCAGTGCTTTTTCTATCTGGAAGAAACTAAACTCTTCATTGATACCCCCTAAACTACTCACTGCTTGAGGATTGAGGAGCTTCATTTAACAATACGATTTAGTGCTACATGGGTGGAAGAGACAATTACTAAAAAGAAACAAATATCTTTCTGCTGTTACTAGTCACAAAAAGGGGTCACAAGTAAGTACCAAAAACAGAATTGGTGTGGCACAAGTAGACCGGATCTCTGAACTATGGAGCCTGAACCCCCCCCCCCAAGCTGTTTATCCTTTGGTATCTAGTCTGTGCTCAACTTGTCCATGCCCAACACACGCAAATTGTGTGTATTGTTATGTCACCCAGTGCTCAAGTAGCCAACCAAATAAGGCACATGCAGACACAGCCTTTGAAAAATGTCTTACCTACATTTTGTCAGCAGAGCTGGTCCAATACATTTGCTGCCTGAGGCAAAGGAGAATATTCCCCCCTCCCCAATTCCATGTAAAGAATCTGAGTGAGCTTGCAGTTGGATCTTCATTTAATACTGACATTGGGAAAGTGCTTTCCTCCAGTCCACAGCAGCCTCCCAGGAAGAACATCACAACAAGGGCTTGCCCATCAGTTGGCCAAAGAAGGAGCAACTGTGGAAACCTAGTTTCCTCCTACTCCCCGCTAGAAATAGCTATCGGATTCAACTGCAAATTGCCCTGGCTAAACTGAAGAGAAGCACATTATGGCTTTAATCTGTAGGGTCCACATGGCAGTACTATGGGGTGGAAATCCCAAAGGATGCCTAAATGCAGCAGGGCTGGCAATATTACCATCTAAAAGTCCACTGCCTACAAGAAGATAATTAACTTCAGAGTCTGACCCTAACTATCAGCTGGAGAACTAAGGCCTGCTGAGTTATACATGTATGGTTGTGAGGTTGTCAATGTGAAGTGTTTTCTGTTTAAATAACTGCAACTAGTGGTAAGAAGCCTTGAAGGTCATGATCCAAGGCAAGCTGTAAATCTTCAAAAGAAATAATAATAGAGACACACTGTTCAAAATCAGCCAGGCAACAGGTGCATTTTGTACCTGTCACCTGCAACCAAGTGAAGATGCCCACTAATACACATCACACACTAATAACACATCCTGTAGAATTCTGTCAATTATATTTTATCTGCACAATCAAAATGAATTTCGGGAACCAAAATGCTTTTTTTACGCAGCCTGTGCAGGACCTGTTATTGTAGATTACCCCACCCTATTGCCCTGCTCTCAGCTGTGAAGAACATTCTCACGTTATGGTCCATGTCACCATTAAGAAAAAGAGGTTGGAATAGACCAATTAATGTGTGAACTGTCCCTGGATAAACTGACTTCTTCTTTATGTTCTCAAAGTTGTTAAGCTAGCTGAAGGTTGTCATCTGATGTTTAACTGATAATCATTCACAGTCAGTCCATCATTTGAAAAATAAGACTTTAGAGCTGTCTTCTTGCCCCAAAATGGCAAGTAGGAATTCTGTTTTGGCGACTGTAACCTTGGTTTAAGCGGAGCCATTTGGCACCTAGCTTATCCTTCTGAGTTTCTAACACTGGTCACATATCAAGCACTGCAGAAAGAGCTCCAACCATCTCAAGTAATACAGATTACACCCACCCCACCCCGGTTGTGTAACATCCAATTCTGTTCTCTGCTGGGACTGAAGACCGACCATGTGCTGGGAACTCAACCTAAACTCTCATCAGAGCTTCGCAGCCGCAAAGATGAGGGGATTCCCTGGACACGCCAGACCCCCACCAATTCCCTCTTCCCCGGCCGTTTCACTTTGCTCCAACTTGCCCATTTGCAGGCAGCTTGCCGCTCTCGGCCCTGCGGCTCACTTTTCCCGGGGGGTGGGGAGCATTTCGTCAAGGGCCCGAGAGCGGAGTTTGAGGGGAGCCCAAGCTAGCGCGGAGAGAGGCCGAGGCGGGCACTTACTTGTTCCTGACGCCCGGCCGACTGGGGCGCAAGTGCGGCGCGGTCTGGCCGAGGCAGCCGGACAGAGACAGGAGAAGCAGCAGCACAGTCCACCTGAGGGGCTTCGGGAGCAGCTCCATGCTGCCCGCCACAGCTGGCGCGCCACCGGCTCGCGGGGCGCGAGGAGAGACGTCCCACAGCTCAGCCTCCGTCCTGAAGACTTCTTCTCTCTCCTGAGACCCCTTTCCGCCTTCTTTGCCTATTTAGCTCCTTACTACGTCGCCCCTCTTTGGCTCCGACGCGAACTTCTCGCTTCAGCTTCTCCACTTCAGCTCCTTCACTGACGGAAGACTCCTCAACCCCCCGCTCCCCGCCCCGCTTAGTTCTTCCCAAGTTTCCGCCCTCCGGCTCGCACACCCCGAGCCGAAGGATGACTTAGCCGCCTCCTCGCCTCACAAACATCTCCCCTGGCCAAACAGCGGCGCAGCAGCCCCCTTCCTCTTTTCCCCGCTCTTGCCCTGGACGCGGCGGGCTCAACCACTCACTTCGGGGGGCAGAGAGGATGGAATAGACGACTAAGGAACCGGGCTCGCGGCGAGGGGCTTCCCGCTGCACGCGGGTGTTCTGGGACTCTCGACAGACTCGCGCGCTGACCCCCCTCCCCTCCTCGAGGGCTCCTCTCCCCCTTTCTGCCCTGCGTGACCTCCGAGAGAAAGGCACGTGCGCCATTGTGAGCTGCAGACAGAAGAATCTCCTCTGGCGGCCGCTGCTCCTTCTCTTCCCGCTTTTCTTTCCATTCGGCGGAGCCTTCTTCTTTTCCAAGAACAATCTTACGCAACTCAGCAAGCGTTCCCCCCCCCAAAAAAATTGCTTAATAAAGGAAGGCTGCTTACTTAGGCCAAGGGAGGCGGTTAGCCGTCACAGAGGGGATGCAGGCAGCCGTGTTACCCCTACACGGGTCATTATCATAGCCCAGTACACCTGTTGGGGACTCAAATCTTCCTGACCACTTGGCAGGATGAAGCTATAGACCAGGCATGGCCAAACTTGGCCCTCCAGATGTTTTCGGACTACAGCTCCCATCATCCCTAGCTAACAGGACCGGTGGTCAGGGATGACAGGAATTGTAGTCCCAAAACATCTGGAGTAATAATAATAATAATTTATTATTTATACCCCACCCATCTGGCTGGGTTTCCCCAGCCACTCTGGGCAGCTTCCAACAAAATATTAAAATACAATAGTCCGTCAAACATTAAAAGCTTCCCTAAACAGGGCTGCCTTCAGATGTCTGGAGGGCCAAGTTTGGCCATGCCTGCTATAGACAGCCAATGCTTCTAACTACTGAACTATTTAATAACTTTTCTAGAGTGATACTATTCTAACAGGGGTCCAGAGTTGCTTTATAAAAACAACAACAGCATGCTCATTCTAATTTATAGTGTTAGAAACATATTTTAAATACTCTGCTGGGCTCTGATTTACAGCTGAAGTATATTGCACTTAATATCAGTGAACAGTTGCTGGATGCCTCAAGACCTCTTCCTGGTGAGAAAACACAATAGTGTCTAGTCTAATCCCGAAAGAGCCATAGCCTTCCCCATCTTGGTGCCCTCAAGATGTTCTGGACTCTGATTCCCATCAGCCTCAGCCAGCAGGCATGTGATAAGCAAGTTGGTTGGGACCTGATGGGAATTGGAGGTCATGGGGTTAGACAAGGCTGCCATGGACTATGACTGATGCATATACACCCTGAAAGGAAATAAAACTATTTGCATCCCTGAAGACTGGTAAATTAATCATATATCTCTCCATTACCGCAAAGCAACAAGAGAAAATAATGCATTTACTGAGGTCGTTGCTATGTTCTAATCTGAATGACTAAGTGCCAAATACTAACAGTGACTTAATCAAAATAACAGGAAACACTGACATGTCTTTATATAGAAAATATTTGGCTTGATCTAATATCACATCAAGTTACATCTGTTTCAGCTGTGCTAAAAATTACCTCGAAAACATATTTTGATTCTGCCACCAAGTTTCCCAGCTCGCCTTAGATGGCAAATGTGTTTGTATAACCAGAGAGTGAGATTAACTGGTGAACTGTCAATTGCTTCGTTTTAATGAAGTAACAAAACATCAAATAAGCCAACTGCTGCCTAAGCTTCATTCTCCACCCTTTAGGGACACAAGTGAGGAAAAAACAACACAATTTCCCCAAAGTCTATTTCAGGGGTGGGGAACATGCGACTTTCCAGATGCTGTTACACTACAGCTCCCATAATCCTTGACCATTTGCCATGCTGGTTGGGACTGGTGGAAGTTGGGGTCCAGCAACATCTGCGCTGCTACACATTCCCTAACTGCATTAGTTGACATATATATTAAAAATGCTGTTGTAGTTATTTTGTATGAGTTGTGGTTGTGCAAAAGGAAATCCCAACTTTGTACCATGACTATGCCAGTTATTTTTATACTAGTAAAAGTTAGCAAATAAAATAATTTTGCATTACTAACGTGGACATGTGGGGCAATATCCAATGTTTTGCCAGTGGTTGCAACAGGGCTTCCCCCCCTCCTGTCCTGCCACTTCAGGTCCACCAATCTGCTTGAGAGAGTCCCCCAACCCATAAGAACAGATTTTGGGGGAGGTGTTTGCGGGGACAGGGGAGGAGGAGGAGAAGGAGAGAAAGTGGAAAGTCCTGTCACAAAAGCGGAAGTCTGCTGCACCCTTAGTGTTCTTGGTAGCTGCTGCTCAATTGTAGAACCCACTGCCCATGGAGAATCCGAGAATAAATGCAGGATAATATATTTGATACAACTGACTAAATTGACATAAAGTAATGAACAAGTTCCCCAAAACCCTTCTTCAAATGTAGGGCAGAAAAGATGCTCCTGGGCATAGTAAGAAAATCCCAGACTTAGATGTCACCAATGAGCTGTTATACAAACTTAATTAGGTAAGACTATGCTAGATGTAGAGACGTGGGTGGCGCTGTGGTCTAAACCACTGAGCCTCTTGGGCTTGCCTATCAGAAGGTCAGCGGTTCAAATCCCCACGACGGGGTGAGCTGCCGTTGCTCGGTCCCAGCTCCTGCCAACCTAGCAGTTCGAAACACATCAAAGTGCAAGTAGGTAAATAGGTACCACTCCGGCAGGAAGGTAAACGGCATTTCCATGTGCTGCTCTGGTTCGCCAGAAGCAGCTTAGTCATGCTGGCCACATGGCCCAGAAGCTGTACGCCAGCTCCCTCAGCCAATAAAGCGAGATGAGCACCACAACCCCAGAGTCGTCTGTGACTGGACCTAATGGTCTGGGGTCCCTTTACCTTTACCTTTTATGCTAAATGCAATATATAAATATATGAAGATTCTTCAGAGTCTGAACCTATGTGCTGTAAAACATTTGCTGTTGTTGAGTTGGCCTTTTCCATCTTAAGTTAAGCAAGTGTGGGATCATTTTAATTTCTACATTTTATATACACATTTAGCTGGGCATACTATTTTTATTGCAATACTTTTTTGAAAAAACGATTAACAGCCTGAAGTGTAAGGAAGAGGCAAAATAGAAGCTGGAATAAACAAATGTTTACAGCACTGTGCTCAAATGGCAAAGGCTGTCTGAGAGAGAGAGGCATTCTTGGCTGCCTCACATAAGTAGAGCTCCATTTTCTGGGAGTGTTCCCAAGATCTTTGCCTAAATGTTTTCCACATGTGATGAAAAGGCTTTCTGTTTGGACTTACTGTTAAACCTGAAGGGGCATTTATTATTGTTGTGGTGGTAATGGTGGTGGTGGTGGTGATGATGAAGATACAAAATGAAAAGTTCCTATAGGGCAGTTTGGGATATGAATTTAAATACAGCATGGCTTTGGCTTTTGGCATGCATTTTGGCATGCATTGCCGTTTGGACAAATGACAGGAAAATGTATAGGCTGTGTTGGCAGTGCTTTGATTTATAAAACTGAGCGGTACAGGAGAGGTGTTAGCATAGATATAACTCTCTCCAAACCCAGATTCGGGTGGGGTGAATCAGTGGTATGTCTTTTGAAAAAGGAGAGTAACCATTCTTCTCTCCCTTTGTGGTAGATTTTTGACAGGTGCAGCTTGTTCTGCAGGGACAAGAAAAGCTGCATCTGTTGGATTCGGGGGGAGGGGGAAGGTTGCATCTGTTCACTATATGACTTTGCTAGAGCCCATTCCCAGAAATCCCTAGAGGGTGTATAGTTTGCTTCAAGGAAGGGTGGGTAGATCGGGGGCATGTTAGGACACTGGCCCTCTGTAGCAGGAGATACCCACACAAATACATTAATATGCTATTTCATATGGGCTGAGACTTGGCTCCAGTGAAGCCTTGCATATTTATATGACTGCCAAACTTATTTCTATGTTGCTATTAAAATAAGAAGTCTATCCCATGGCAGTAGGAATGCTACGTGAGTTGGTTTAATTGTCTTCTTGAATACAAGCCTGGGATATACATTGCTGCCATAAATGGCAAACTGTCTTCCGACAGAAATCATATGGACTTCATTACTCAGATGTTGTAATTCACGAGTCTCAGGAGCCCTTTGTTTTTCTGTTTTCCCTCTGAGTATTATCCCACTAAACACAAGTTTAAGCAGTCATGACTGCCTGCAAAGCAAAGCAGTGCATTTAATGACTGGTAACAACAGTGTAGCTCTATACAGAGCAAGTGCCTTAATTTAGACTAATCTATACAGATGGCTACATTTTAAGCCATTTTCCAGTAAAATCTGTCCAACCTTGGAACTTGTTTTTGGTACCAGAAATGGAAAACCCCACAGTCCTTCATTTCCAGGATACTGGAAGACTGATCTGAGCACAGAAATGAGTAACAGAAGCCTTACAGTGGTCTTAATATGATTCAGGGCTTAACGATTAATTTCAAGTGCTGTGAGACCCAGTCTAGGTTTTTCACATTCACTCATTATATTTCCCTTTGCTGTTTTGAGTGGATAATGCAAGACTGTCAACACTGGCTCTAAAGCTGCAAACTATGCTCAGGATAACAGTTTGAACTTGCAGAGAAAAAAAGTTAACATAGATATAACTTCTCTCCAGAACATATATAAATTGTCTTGACTAATATAGGTTACTAATGCCACCTCATTTGTTTTCTTAATTAAACCAGAGTGCTTCTCCAGATGTCAAAAATAATGGTTTCTGGCAGCACTAATAATATGGCATACTTGAAACCTAATGAATGCTCTGACAGTCTTCAGAATAGCTGTCTTAATGAGAGAGGTGGCATGAACAGTTAACATGCATGCAAGAGATAACAAGCATGTTCTAAAATAGACTTGCACAAATGGACTAAGAAAACCTTCTGAGAATAAAATGCACTGTTGGAAGGTTACAGCACCTGCTATGGCTCTGTCTGGGATGCAAGCTGTAGCAGTGTATATGGAGGTCCTGGGCTGCCTGGATAACAACCGCCCTCCCCATGGCCTCACTAATATGGTCCAAAGGAAAGCAGTACATCTGGGACCAGCTTGGCTGCAGGAGTTGCCAGAAGGAAGCATACAAGACTCCATCAAACCACCCTTGGTACTCCACTCTGGATTTGTGTAGGGTTTACTCCTTAGCCCTTTTCCCCATGAAGATGTCCCACAAGGCAGTGGGTAAAGCACTATCATCAAAAGAGGTCCTAAGACCATTAAGTAGAGTCTAAAATTACCTAACTGCTCCACTGCTCTCACAAATATTATCTTGAAAGATTTATGAAACACACACACATCTTTAATGTCTGGCCCTGTGTTGTCACTGTGTTGATGTAGGAAAAGCATCTTGAGTGACAACACTTTCAGAAGGCTAGTTCTTTGAACTCCCTTTGAGTTCTCCATCAGAATTTGTAATGCTAATCTTCATAGAGTGAGCGAGCAAATGGGTATATTGTGAGTAAATTAATTTTTAAGTCTTTTTAAGGAATACTTGCTCTGTGGATGATTTTACCCAGAGTCGTCATCTTTACTAAACCCAGCTTACCAGCTAAAGTTTAAACATATTTGGAACAGACTCTTGGAGAAACTCTAGAATCTCTGCCATTAGAGACCTACTCAAGTTCTGGCTTTTGAGATTTGAATAGATTTTGAACACACATTTTCAGCCTTGTATTTGTAGCAGAAAAAATAAAACATTGGATTCTTGGGATTCTATCCCAGCACGTATTTACCCAATTATTTCCTTCTATTGCATTTCCTACTTTCAATTTTTAAATTATTAGTTCCTTAAGACAGAAATCTGGTGTTTGGGCTTCTACATAAATACTTACTAAACATGTGCACCAGAAAAACAAATTGACACACTAAGCCTATTTGCGACTCACATGTATAATCTGATAGCAGATAGCCTCAGAATGGGTATAGAGGAGATAATAAAGGCCTCAGTTCAGCTCTAATTGTGCACAACTAGTGTAAAGCAGCCTTTTTTCAGAACTGTCCTCTTGGCTTTCTCAGATTGAGCAAGAAGTCCCCCAAGCTTCACATATGTAAACTATTTAAAATCTGGGACTCCATATAGTCAATGTGGTTACTTCAGCTTGGTTCAGATTCCTTTAATGGAATACTTTAATGCATTGCAGGGGTTTGGACTAGATGCCTCTTGGGGTCCCTTCCAACTCTTAAGATTCTATGATTCTATGAATTAGTACAGAGCACAGGATCACTAACAAATCGGGTCCTGCGGTGAGACCTGGCAACCAAACCCTGTGTTGTGTGGGTTTGATTGATTAGCCACAACACCTAATTGGTAGGTCCCTTGATGCTGGGTTTAATCAGGCCAATGGGATGCAAGCTAAATGAATCAAGGGACCTATATATACTTATGCACGTGACCCAGAGCTTCCTCTTTCGGTGCGTGCATTGGAACTCTTAAAAACACCAAACCCTGTAATTTAGGACAATACTACTATAGTGTGTGAAAACTATGACTCTATGAAGATCAAACTAGTAATCTTTCATAAAAATATAATAAAAATATAATTGCAGTGCAGCAAAATTCCCAACTCTTTTGAGAGGTCGTTTTCTTCCTGTCCCAGATGATATGGAACAGGATAGAACACTCCACCACTGAAAACATGGATAGAACAAATCTGCTGTTCCCAGTATATCTTCCTTTATTAGGGTGGTTAGTACATGTCTCTGCTCATCTAAGGGTTTCATTTAACTCCTCACCTTCCCCTTTCTCTCTAGTTGTTTATACACTGAATCACTGAACAATCACCCTCTCACCCTTGCCTGGCATTCAATGGCTGGGATGTGTACCACTTCCCACCAGACTGTTCTCCTATATTCTGCTGCTGTAGCTCACAGGAGAGACCCTGAAGGGGTTGCTGATTGTTCTCTTCACTCTTGACTTGGGATGGATGTGATCTGAGTCTCATAATTTTGCAGGCTTAGCTGGAGCATCTAGGGCAGTTATGCCCGAGAGAGCCTGGCAGATCCTCTCTGCTTGAGAGTTCTCTTAAAATGAACCCACTAGGCCCAGGAGTGGGGAACCTGTGGTCCTCCAGATGCCGTTGGACTCCCATCTACTCTAGCCAGAACAGCCAATGGCCAGGGATGGTGAGAGCTGTGGGTCAACATTTGAAGGGCCACAGGTTCCCCAACCTGCACTTAGGCCTTTGTTTCATCAATGCAGGAGACAGTGGTCCTTCTGCCAGATGAGACTTGTAAGCTGCGTTTTAGCATATATCACCCAGTCTCTGGAAGGTAGTGGCCAATTTAGAACAATTAACATACTCAAGTTACTTACTTTGGCAGATAGTAGTATCCATGTGTCAGGTTGCTGCTCATAGCCAATCAGTGGCATCTGTCTGCATCTGGAGTAGTAGCAAGTCTGACCATTTTTTGAAAAATGCCTCTAACTGCTTTCATACAAGTAGTGAATAAAAGCATAAGAATGTCTATCAATCATTTTAGTTCAGCTCTTCTCCACAAATTTAATGGGGGCAGTGCTTAGGGACTTTACATATGGATACAACACTTTATTTTATTTTAAAAACCCTTAGGGAACACATTCAAACAATCTAAATTGCAACCTTATATAGTAATAGAAAAATCTGTAGTATTGTAGCAATTTTATTGTAAAATCTGAATGTGTTATCATAAATAAAAAAGCATATTTATTACTTCCACATACTGAAGTCTAATAACCATAGAAAAAGCTATACAAAATAAAGCTTAACAGTTGTTACTAACAACGTTTCTCTAGAAGTATACAAGAATGGTGGTTAACATGAATTTATTTTTCCCCAGCTTGTACATATTTCAATATACAGTTACTTTTTAAGAAATCTGTTTAGTCTATGGCTTCTTTTTTCGGGCTGTTCCATTAACATCTGATGTATCTGTTGCTCTTTGCTGCTGTTTCTTCATGGGAGATGATACCCATTCTTCTGGACTACAAAAAATAAGCACAGGTCATTTTAAAAACTGCATAAATGTAATACAAATATCAGGCAAGGTTTTTGTTGTAGTTATCCTTTCCATTTTCCCTTCTTCTCTTTTTCCTTACCCTCATGCAAAGACTATATGCAGTATTACTAGCACTGTCAGGTGGAATCAGTTAGTTGTAGGATATTCCCTGTACATGCATATTCATGCAAAAACACCACAAAACTGGGCATTAAAAAAAAAACAACACCAACTACTTTAGAATCTCACAAACAAACCTGAGTGACCGTTTTGCTGTTTCTCTCCGCATTCTTTTTGGAGGGCTAGGATTGTCAAATGTATCAAGTTCTTCCATGTGAACTGAAGATTTGGAGCATTGACCAGAAGAGGTAATGCCTATGAAGATCACAAACATTACTGTTGTTTTCAAATCTATTACATATAACTTCAGAAATAAAAGGCACAAGCATACCAAGCATGAATTAGATTTTTAAAGCTAATACAAAAAGTAGCTGTAGTTCAAGGTCTGAGAGTATTATCCACAAGCAATTATTTGCAAATAAACCCACAATTTCCCTTCCTGCAGAAAGGACCTTGTGTTTGTGAAACTGGGCTCACAAGATAGGTCAGAGGGGGCACTTCCTCTGAGATCAACCTCCTTCCCTCACCTTTTTGAACCAGTGGACACATTTTGAATTTCCCTGTCTCTTACACATGCATCCTATGTACATATAGCCACACATATGCCTCTCCTTCTCCTGGGGGGTGGGGTGGAAAGAGAGTGGGCAGCCCCACAAAGACAAAGGAGGCTGTGGTCAAAAACCACTGCTTTCTGCATGGAGGAAAACTAGAAAACTGTGGGAGGAGCATGAGGTATCCTAGAAGATAGTGGCATTGGAAGGACTGCTGGAACACAGAATCAGAGTGCTCCGCATTGTAACATTTTGTTGGAGGCCCCACTTGTTTTTCCTAATGTCACCAAAGAAAAACAGAACTATACAATTGTTGTTACTTGTGTTTCCAAGTTTATATCTCATTATATATTATAAATATGTTATGTTAGAATGCTGTATCAGGATACATACATACCAGAAGAAGAAGAGGAGTTTGGATTTGATATCCCGCTTTATCAGTACCCGAAGGAGTCTCAAAGCGGCTAACATTCTCCTTTCCCTTCCTCCCCCACAACAAACACTCTGTGAGGTGAGTGAGGCTGAGAGACTTCGAAGAAGTGTGACTAGCCCAAGGTCACCCAGCAGCTGCATGTGGAAGAGCGGAGACGCGAACCGGGTTCACCAGATTACGAGTCTACTGCTCTTAACCACTACACCACATTGGCTCTCTTAAGCTTAAGCTCACATCTTTAAAATGTACTCAGAATTTTTATAAATCTGACGCAGTTAAATTAGAATTCATTTATGAAATTGTAAATTCCCAGAATGAGTTTCTGCTATAATTAGAATGGTTAACTTTTCAACTCCATCATGTAAAAGTGAATGTGTGAGTAACATACCCAATTCCTGCTCTATTGCCTTGAGTCTCTTTTCCTGGTCTGCAAGCTCTTTTTTCATTTTATTCCTTTCTGGACTATTATATAATCGCTCGTGGGCATCAAGGTCTGCCTTCTTCTTAGTAAGCCATGCAACTGCTTCCTGGTACTGCTGAAGGAGATCTAACATGTACAAGAATAATAGGATAGTAAGGCACAAGGCCAAAAGTTTTAAGAACAGTAGCAATAAATAACAGACAGTAAAGCTGTTAACAGTGCAGTACCACACATATCTACTCACAAATTAAGCCCCACTCACTGTGGCTAACTTCTAGATAAGTATGGACAGGATAACAATGAAATTGTGTGCGTAACTTTTTTTCTTATAAAAAGGTTACTTAAATATTCTTCAAACATAATGAATTTCATAAATATATATCATTGTAGTCTAGAGAAAACTGCATGTGTTTAGACTGGGTGGGGGAGCAGGATCTAGCTGGTGGGCTAGATTCTGAGCTCTACCACCCTCACAGGCATTTTAACAGGTGGGTGAGATGTCATACAGTTTATGAAGTCAGGTGCAAAGGAAGACGCTTGCAGAAAATAGCAAGTCCTTCTTTTTGGTCAGAAATGGGTGCACTCTGTAGATCCCTACAGCAAGCCCCTGCAAAGGATTCTTTGCATTCCAGGCTTAAACTCTAGCAAGCAATTCAAAGGAAGAATTGGAAATGCACTCTAAGCACACAGCCAATTCTTCTGCACTAAAAAGCCAGCACTTTTTGAATTTGGCACCTTTTTCTGTTGCTGTGCAAGGCAAAGGGATATTTTTCCTTTGCAGGCATGACTTTAGGATCTCATCACCTGGCTTGAATTCAATCGCAAAGGAAGAATCAACAATGCACTCCTGATTCATCTTAATTTTAGCCACAACTTGAAGTTTCCTGCATCTGATGTTACTATATGAAATCAGATGCAGGAAAGGTGTGTGTGATTTGCCCCAAACCACTAGGTGGGACAGTCTCCAAGGCCTGGCAAGCCAAATTAGACCTGCTGGTCAGGTTTCCCACCACTGATTTAGGAACACTTGTAACAAATGTACCCATCAACATTCACATTTTATTTATTCTGCATTTAAACTACACACAAATGGTATCTGTATAAGAACACGGTAATTTATGATATGGCATTAAAAACACAGTTTTGGAGATTAAATTGCTCTGTTCCATCACACAAACTCTATATTGTTTAAAAGTTTATTACAATCAAGAGGCCCACCCAGCTACAAAGGCACTTAGGACAATATGCTACCAGAGAACTATAATGTCATAGAAGCAGTGATACGGGTTTTCATTATTCCCGCCCCCCACAGTCTCAAACACTGATGGATTTCAGATTTAACAAGTTTATCTGTCTTAAATAAACTGAACAAAACTGAAAAGTATATCATTTTATGTGCTGTATAAAATACATTAATGTGTTTCCAGTAGCCAAAAGTAGGAAAATAATTGACTGAGGTGGGGGGATTAACAAAGTGAATCTAAGATACAGTCTTAGGAACACTTACTATGGAGTTTAAAAAGGGGAATTTTGCACAGAATTATAGTAGTGGAAATTTTTCAATCCCACATCATTGCACTTGGCAACGGGTATCACATCTTGTTGCACTGGTACAGAATCTGCACGATATCCTAACCTGGAGTCTTGCACTAGGCCATCAACACAATGCCACCAAGTCCTAGATTTGAAAACTGAGCTGTAAGCGTCACATTATCTCTAACTATGGTTATTGATGCAAATAATAATAATTTATTATTTATACCCTGCCCATCTGGCTGGGTTTTCCCAGCCACTCTGGGCGGCTTCCAACAGAATATTAAAATACAATAGCGATCGAAAATGGAAGACAATATTTCATGATTCATTTCAGAATAATTGCTTACAAAGTTTTATTTACCAATTATGTGAATACGTTTTTCATTAATCTGTGATGATTTGCCTGTACCAAAGGGCTGTGGTGCAAACTCAAACACATTTAAGAAAGCTAAAAGAATCTAATGTCACTAGATTCTCATTTAGTAATTGCAATTGTTTCAGCAGCAATATGAAATGCCAAGTATATTTAGTTAAGAGTCAGACTGAATTTCTAAAAACAGTAAAATTTTAAGAAAAGCTGTACAAATAATTATTTAATATATTATGCTTTGAACACACCTATCTGTTCAGAGAGAACTTTGCATCGTTGTGGCAAAGGTGCTCCAAAAACCATTCCTCGAAGCTTATCCATGGGAGGGGCTTTATTCTGAAGACCTCCAAACTTTCCATTGCTACGAATTCTCTCTCCGTCTCTTGTCAATAATGCTGGGCAATATGTGTTTTTAACAAGCTGTACAGATAGGTTTAATATTCATTAATAAATATGTGGCAAAGTCTGTGACATTCAACACATAATTTTAACAACACTGACACACTGAAGTGAACCCTAAAACAACATAAGGAACTTCAGAAAACGGTGCAAGGCCTGAGGTGTTTGAGACTTCTATATGTTGCATAGAAACATGGATGAATTCTATTCTGCCTCTGCCTCTCTCATGTATGTACAAAACGGAAACATTTGAAGTGGCAATACGCACCTCTTTTCTGTAATGATTGGCAGCATCCAAATTGTCAATAATAATGGCATCTCCTAAAAGCATCCCAAACACTAGAAAGGTAAATGAAATAATGAGACTTTAATGTTTAGAATTCCAACCTCTATACAAACCACTGTTTCCTTTATCATCTACCCATTATAAGGCTGAATATAAATACAGAGCACAGCGCTGATATTTTGACATAGTTCAGTGGAACCCTGAAATGCTATACTAGATGGGGAAATACTGCTACTATAAGTGCCCTTCTGGATCAGACCAAAGGCCCATCTAGTCCGGCACCCTGTTCTCACAGTGGCCAACCAGATGCCAATGTAAAGCCTGCAAAGAGTATGAGCGCAATAGCACTCTCCCCACTTCTGACTCCCAACAACTAACATAATACAAGTCAAAAGTAACAAGCATAATATACCATGTACATGGTTTCAAAACTGAATATAACAATGATAGTATCAATTGACGTGGATGAAAAAGCTTTGATGCATGTCTCAAAAATGGAATTGATATTGAAAATCTCCAGTTTGATACAGAAAGGACCATTTAATTTTGTCTAATACTTTAGTGTCATTTAAATAATGTGGCCAGATATTTGGGAAAATTACCCTTGCAAGAGGGGGTGAATTTTTAATTGTCTTGCTCTCCAAATGTTAGTTGACAGATTCCTACTTCCTAGTCACATGACTATCAGAGGTAACATTTAAACATAATTCCAGCTGGGATTTTATGGCTGGAATTTAGTAGCAAGACTGAATAAAAAAATCTGCCCTCCTGCAAGAGCACCACATTCACTTGATTCCAGCTTTGAGCAATAACACCACTAAAAATCATTCTAATGATCTGAAAAGTGTTCAGATTTATGTCTGCTTGACAAAACTACAGCCATCATGGATATCCCTCCTTTCTTTGAATTTCTTCTTTAAAACTGAAAGATTAATAAACGACTTTGTTATGAATGCCTTAAAAGCATCTCACACTAGGTTATTTTTCACTGTTCCTTCATATGTAAAAAAAAGAAAAAAAAGAATCTTTTTTCAATTTCAGTATTTCTCAAGATTAAAGTAATGGACTTCCACAAATTCTTCCCAAGTAGTGAACTCCCCCCCCCCCAACTAAAAATACTGGGGCATGATTAGAAATTTTTTAAAACCTTATGTTAATAGGGTTTTAGAGGAGTACTCAACCAAGTGCTTCCACTAACACAAGGTATTTGGATTGCGGCCCCTAAATCTATTCTGGGGTTTTTTCCAATCTTCTGGGACAGGTTTGGGAAGGGTAAATAAGACACCAAGAGACAGAAGTTCTGTTGCGCAAGTTGAAATCCTTGGGCAAGCAACAGCACTTCATTGGATATTGGCCTTAGGCTACAATTTTATCCACACTTACCTGGGAGTAAGCCCCCTTGAACTCAGTGAGACTTAGTTCTGAGTAGACAGGTACAAATTGCACATTAAGCAGCTACCACAAGAAATAAATAATCAATTGTATAATAAAAAGCAAGGTGCAAAGGCTAGAACGTGTCTTTAAACCCTGCTTAAAATAAAATCATCATTAGGGATCATTCAGTTTGTGGTTGATCATTCTGTTAATGATACCTTCATTAACTCATTAATACTCATTCTAGTCTAGATCTCATGAGTTTGAATGAACACTTTTTCAGAGAGGAAAGATGACAGTGTGTGTATATATATATATAATATTATATATATGTGTGTGTGTGTGTGTGTGTGTGTGTGTGTGTATATATGTATATGTGTGTATATATATATATATATATATATATATATATATATATATATATATGAGAGAGACAAGACTTCATACCTCTCAAAATTGCTGCCGCTAAACTCATCAGAGCACACTATAATTCCAAGTTTTGCTGTTCCCATGATGTTTACCTGTCTGGCAATTCTCTGTGTGCTCCGGAAATGTTAGCAAGTTCCTGGCAAACACAGGATTTCCTATAGCCTTGAAAGTATTTCTTCCATTTTGTAAGTGAGGTAAAGGCCTAGTTAGAAATAAGTCAAAGAAGTTATTTTCTTTTGGCATTGATGTTGGCAGCATGAGTGAAAGGCAGTCCATGCAACCAATCTTTCTCATCCCTTCCTCCTCCAGCAACCCTCAAACCTTTGGTGCAGATGGGCTGAACAGCGGGGGCTGTGTCATACAGGGGAAGTGCCCAGAATTGAGCAAAGGGATCTTGCTTCAGCAATGAGCTGCATAGGAAGAGGAGAAAGATTTGTTGCATGAGTTGCCTTCTGCTCAGGCAACCACTGAACACAACCCTTCACCAAATAAAAGTTAAGCAATATTTATAGCACAATCCTAACCACATCTCCTCAGAAGCAAATCCCACTGAATTCAATGGGACTTACTTCCAGGTATGTGGGGTTAGGATTTCAGACTTCGTGTTTAGACATTATGCTGGTGGATCTTGGTATTTCCATAAGCGATTAGGATTACCTTGTCGTACCTTGGAAGTCAAACGGAATCCGTTCCAGAAGTCTGTTCGACTTCCAAAATGTTCAGAAACCAAAGCACGGTTTCTGATTGGCTGCAGGAAGCCCTGTCGGACGTTCAGCTTCCAAAAATAGTTTGCAAACCGGAACACTCACTTCTGGGTTTGCGGCGATCAGGAGCCAAAACATTTGAAAACTAAGCTGTTCAAAAACCAAGGTTCGACTGTACAATGGAAATCGTATGAACCAGAACCATAAGAAGGGGAAGAAAAAGATTGAACAGGACAAACAAATGGACAAAACAAACAAGTCATCATCAGGGTTTTATGGATGCAACAGACACAAAATGAATGGGCCGTCAATCTATAAAGCAGGCACAGAATTTGATTTCCCAACCATACATCTATTGCTTAAAAAATCTGAAAATATTAAGAACTCTGAAAATTTGAATACCAAGCATTATTTAGACTGGGAAAGAATACAGAAACCTTACCTGTTCCAGTCTGGAAGACTCCTCCTATAAATAGAATCAAGAGGCAACACCTGCTGCTGACCTTTGGTTTCATCAAAGATACGACGAGCTGCAGCAGTAGTCAAAGTGACTACACAGTCCATGTCACTTGCCAAATGCCAAGAAATAACCTTTGCTGCTTCATTATCTTCAATTTGTGCTAAGTGTGAAATCTGACAAAATAAAATAAAATAATGAATTTGAAAGGATGAGTTTTTTCCCCTGATGGGAGGAAAAATATAGATTCCCTGTGCCCTCAGTCTAGTTAGAAAGTCAAGACATTGCTATTTTTGCTAGGCTTCAAGCCTACAGGAAATCACAGATACCGCCATTTGAAGAATTTTTGTTGTAGCCAGGAAAGGTGAGACAAGAAGCTGGACATGGAAGTAGCTGTGCACAAAGACACAGTTATGCATGGACTATCCTTCAGTGTGACATGACAGGAGAAGTTAAGGAAGAAACGAGATGGTTCCTTTGCAGTGTTAATGGCTTCCTGGGGTAATATTAACAAGTGCCCTTATGGAAGTTTTATTCACCTTTTCCAGTCTCATATGCTATAACAGACAGGCCCCAATTACAGTTCTCTAGTGCTGGTAATATTGTAAAAAAAATAAATTACAAAAATATGACATGGGTCGTATTTTTTGGTCTTGCCCTAAAATGACCTTTTTTGACAAGTATACTAAACAAAACTGAAGAAATAATGGGATACAAACTACCAGTAGATTCAACCATTGGATTACTTGGCTATGTAAAAGACCTAGTCCTATCTGAAATAGAGAAACTATAGATATAGATATAGATATAGATATAGATATAGATATAGATATAGATAAAGATAAAATTTATTCATTGCTGGGTCCATTGTAAAAAAGAGAAAAACATGTAGCTCACACTATTATGTTATATTGCATACCGCTAGTATACATAATAAAGATAACGATAGGGGAAAATGTGGGGAAAGTACTACAGAACGTCCTAAGAACTAATATTTTTCTTATTTTTAATTTTTCTTATCCACTATCTTATCTTCACACCACCATTTCATATGTAATGAAAAGAGAGAACAGTGTGTGGTATCCTAGTTTTTTTGTTTTTGTTTTTTAAAAAATAGATTATCTTATAAAGAATTAAGACAAAACTCACCTTGCCCAAAACATCTTTGTCTTTGGGATAATTGGAACATGTGCATGTTCTTCTAGGTTGTTTCATTATTCCTTCCCGCTCAGAGATTTTCTCTTTTAGTAGAGAATCAGCAAAGTCCAGCTGAAAATTAACATAAATTCTCTACTGAAGGTATGCACCATCAAGTAAAATAAATCACAAGTACTGATTTTGACGTAATGCTGAGCTAGCGGCTCTAGTCTGTATGTCATATGGCTGGCGGACATCATCAGAAGCCTTAGGGATTGCTTGCAGCTGTGAGGGTATTGGCAGTGAGCCTCTTTGGCTCGGGTGGCGGTTAGGCATTGGAATATGTTGTTGGTGTATGGAAGGGCAAGGTGTGGCCATTGCCTACCCCTTCACTTTATGGGTATTCCGTTAAAGGAATCTGGTGGTCGTGGATCCTGTCCAATGCCCTACTGACGGCTAGGGCGATGGCACGACCCCCGGTGACATCAGGGGTGAGCTTACAGTTGTATTTGCATCAACAGGCTCCCCCCTACTGGTGGTTAACCCTTGTTAGACTCACCCCTCCCTAAGGGGATGGAGTCAAGCTCTGCTGTTTATCCAATGCCTAAGCCAATACCTCTCACATGCTGTAATCAATAAAGTTGTGGCCTTTTTTAGCCCATTAACCTAATATACTGTCTCCATGTGTCTTTCTTATCCTCACGCGGATGGTGGGTCCTCGAATCACAAAGCCTCTCCTCCTCCCGGAGGGGAGGTATTGTGATCAGGAGCCGTTCCCGCGCTTTGCAGGGAGCGTTCCGGCCCCTGCTTGCCATCACTGCTGCCGCGCCACGACCCCCGGTCAGCCTACCAATTGAGGGGAGGCTTGGGGGGTGGGGTTTAGCCACTCAAATGCGGCTGTGGCAGCTCCTTCCCTCATTGCGTTGCCGGGTTTCAACGGGTTACCCACCCTTCCCTCTAGTTCATTGCTTCGTGCTTGGCCTTGCTATGGACCTGTGGTTGGTCACCTTGGTTGCCCAAGGGGCCTGGTAGGAGTTTTTATCCAATTGAAAAATTGGCACCAGCCACTTGGTCACATGCTGTAATCAATAAAGTTGTGGCCTTTTTTAGCCCATTAACCTAATATACTGTCTCTATGTGTCTTTCTTATCCTCACGCAGGTGGCGGGTCCTCGAATCACAATTAGGGTGCACATTGGATTTGATGGCGCATTTACATTCACCAGCAAATACTTTTTTGGTTTCAAGGTTTTGAAAATTGAGGTCCACATTAGAACTGATGGCACATTACATTCGAGTAAATACAGTACTTTGCATTGTATCTAGCTGGTATCCCTCCACTCACAGATAGCTCTTTGATTTAAGCAAAGCCTTCTGTCAAAGAACAGACATAAATGTGATCTTCAGCAATTTCCTCTCCTCCCTAAAGTCCCCTTGATCAATGTGCCAATGACAGAAGATTCACCTGGATCAGCGAAGGTGCACCAATTGGATATAACCTATTCGTTTTCTGATTAGAATTTTAAGTAAGAAAGTGAATTTATCACTCTTAAACATCTCAAAATAAAGTTAGGATTTTTCTGTGCTTGATGTAAAAAGCTGTATCCAACTGACAATAGTTTGACATTGCAACTTTATGCACACTTACATGTGAGTAGGCCAAACTGTAGTGAATGGTATCTGAAGAAGTGTGCCTGCACACGAAAGTTCATACCAATAACAAACTTAGTTGGTCTCTAAGGTGCTACTGGAAGGATTTTTTAAATTTTGTTTCGACTATGGCAGACCAACACGGCTACCTACCTGAAGTCAATGGAACTGACTTCTGAGCACAAGATTACACTGTAGATGCAGATTAGAAGCTTTGCTTCAAAACACTGCTCATTTGAACCAAATAGCAGAATCTGAAAGTTACTTGGCTATCAGCTGGCAGACTGCTAACTAATGGGCTCTTAAGACAGGCAACTTACATTCTACTTTTCCTGAACAATGAGTGTGTGCTCTCTCACAAATTCAGGATCACTTTATGTGAGGTCACCTGAAATTGCACCTGGGTTGTAGTTTCTTCATGTGGTGAGATTCAGCATGGCTCAGTTCCTGAAATGCACTGTGTCTCCATGTTCTCACAAAACAGTCTTACAATTAGTAGTGACTAGGGTTTTTTCCCCAGCTGGAATTTGTTGGAACTCAGTTCCAGCACCTCTCAGGTGGGGCCATTGCCATTATAATAGAACAAGGGAGGCATTCATGGTGAGTTCTGGAACTTCTTTTTCTAGAAAATAGCACTGGTGGTGACATGAACTGATACCCGAATCCCAAAGGTGAGTCACTAGATAAAACAGAGAGCCATACCAAGTAGTCACCATGAAGATACAATTTAAAGATAGTTCCATACGATTGGCAGATTGTAATAAAATGGGCGTCAGTGAGTGAGAGACCATGTTGCCCCTTTATATGCTTGATAAGGACAGGAGAAGACTCAAAATGGGGGCTGGGAAAAGTTTTAACAATGGCTGTGACAATCTTGAGAAAAAGAAACCTTAAGTGGAAACAAAAGTATTAACGAAACTGTAAGTCTTGCTTCTATCTAAACCTTGCGAGAAATTTGTCGGGTCATCTATCTAGGCATGAGGCTAAGAACTGTATGCTATAGATACTTTTGTGTAAGCCTTTCCTGAAGTCATACTCTACTTGTCCTCACTAGGATTTTGTTAGATATCTTGATGGATAAAAATGAAAGAAAATGAAAAAGGCCATACAACGTTAGTCTGAGGTATATCAATCCGAAGTCTTTTCAGTTTATCCTTCAGTTGGGCCTCTCTTGTTTCAGCCTCCTGAACTTGACCTGAAACAATGTGTTGAAGTAGTAAAAATTAGTTAAGGCTGGTCTGAGGTTAAGTTCACACAGCATGCTTAATGCTGTCATGTGGTGAGGAACCACCCACGCCATTCGTCTCATCGTCCACCGAATTAACATCAACTGTTGATTCACACGTGCAAAATAATAATAATAATAATAATAATAATAATAATAATAGAATCAGAGCAAGCACAGACAAATGTCTGATACCATCTCAAGCTTAATACTTTCAGTGGTGATAGCTTACGCACTCAGCTAAGAATTATCAAATGATTCTGGGGTCAAATCACTCTTCTGAATGTCTACACAAGAATACGTGGCCACAGAAAGAAAGATCAGCAGTACATACAGCGAGCAATCAGAATGATCTCCATGATTGCAGCTGTGTTCTCTTATCATTGGCTGCAGTCACAAAATCAGCTCTCAGCACACTATGGTCTGGTCCACGTACCACATACCTAAAGTCACTCTTGGTTTAATGTGAAGAAGTAGCATGCTGGTTGGTGCAGGATGCTGAAATTGGGGACTGTTTGCTCCTGCCTTATTCCTACTGTGTTACCAGGAAATAGGCCATGGTCTGGTTCATGTTGTCATCTGAACCAGGACTCATAGTTCCTTTCTCTCCAAACAAATCACAAGAGGAAGTCAAGAAGACAAAGAGCCCATGAGTCTAGATTTTGACAACAAGCAGACCAGATGTGGCTTGTTTCTGGTAGCATGGCTGCAACAGGAGCAGGGCAGGTGCAAAGCATCTGTGATCTCAGTAGGGTTGTGCACCAGCATTCTGCTCATTCACATTAAAGCATAGTTTATTTCAACTGTGATTAAAGGTAATGTGCAAATGAGATCTATGTGTACAGCTCAATTCACACCAAATAGCTGGATGAAGAACTTACTCACAGGGAGTGGCTGTATATTGTGAACCAGTACATCATAGCTCAGTCCAAATCCTGTGCTCATTGTTTCCTAAACACCAAGTACAGAGCTTGCAAAGCTAGCTCAGCCCTGTTGTGCCGTGCATCACAACACACCTGACAATCTCCCCTCACCTGTGACAATGTCAACCACCTGATGTCATTGCGACATTAGATGACGGATGAGAAAACAAGAGATGTATTCAAAAAGGCTTGATATCTGGACCTATTCTAATTTGCACAATCCAAAACTATACTTAAGCACTATTGAAAAGGAGTAGCACATATAAAAATACATGACAACTTTACTAATCTGTGGCCCTGCAGATGCTGCTAAACTATAATTCTTATCATCCCTCACCATTGGTAAAGCTAGCAGGGACTGACTGGAGTTGTAATTCAGCAACAACTGAAGTGCTAAAGGCTAGCAACTCTTGGTCTGTAACAATGAAAAATACATTCAAATGAAAACAGTATTTGTATGTTACTTACGCTTCATTTCAGTTAGAAGCTGATTAGTGGTGTCAAACGTATCTCTGTATACAGTTATTGACTTAGAAAGCTCGTCTCTCTCTTTTGAAAGAGTGGCCATCTGCTGTTGTTTCTTATAACCTAAACAAAAAAAAATTGCCATTTAATCCATTCTACTTTGTGGGTACTTTGGGAAAAGACCAAGTACAAAATGAAATGTTGCACTGATAACTGAAAGAATGCAAGAAAAAAAGATTTAAAGATTTATAGAAAATACACATTACATTTTAGAAAGTAAAAATTAGAAACATTTGAAACTCACCATCATAAAACATAAAAGGGAGACAATAAGGTTCCAAACGTCGATTCAAAATGGGTATATCTGGCTCAAATACAAGAATATATTCAGTACTATCTCTCCCTGGACTATTTTCTGCCAGCACAAGATCCTGAAGAAAAACAGACATATATTTTTATCATTGATTTCAGATTGCTGTATATAAAAATATTTGTGCAAAAATTAGCTATACTTTCATTCCATATTAATTCTGACATATACTAACAGAACATTTTTAGCAAAAAGTATTTTTTCAAGGTTAAAAGGTTATATGTACCATTGATCTAGCTTACCTTGTAACATAAGATATAAAATGCAGCTTCAATTTAGAAATATATCTATACCTTGTATGCTCTCTTGGTAAGCTTTTATTCATTATTCTATACTTAAAAATAGTACAAAAGGCAGCATGGAGAGAACCGAAATGAATAATACGTAGTAAAACAAAACATTCAACTCCCAATGTGGAGTTAAAGTTACGCTATTACCATGGAAGCAGACAGTAGATCCCAAGGGATCAGAGCTTGCCATAAGGAAAAAAAGAATCACTTCTCATCAATAAGCACTAAAATATAATGGGTGCCAGTTTGTAAATACTGAACATGATTGAAAGAAACCATTGGTTTCAATAAGCTTTATAGGTTTAATTCTTCGAATGTAATAAACAGGACTTAAACCTGCCATCCTATAACCTTTTCCTGGGAGTAGGCACTGTTGAACTCTGCAAGAATTTTGGTACATATATATATAGGACTGTGCTATAAATTTACTTATTTTCTATGGATCATGCCCATTAGTATCTAAAGTTTCTTAAAACACAGGAAAAACTAAATGAAAAATGTAAGGAAAAGTGACACGTGCAAGAGAATACATGGCTGCTTTCGGTTTTAGGAATATTACCTCTAAACTTACATTACAATTATGTTTAGAAGACTCACCTCAATTTCAACAATTCCTCTGTGAAATGGAAACTCAACTGTATCTGTTTTACCCTGAAACAGGGGGATGTCCTTAACTTTATCAGTTGAACTTCGAATTTTAGCTATGATTTTCCCATCCAAGTCATTGCCAGTGCAGTTTTTATATTCATCCTTAAAATTAAGAAGATATTAGAGTTGTGTACCCTGCCCATAACATGTATTTTGAGGTTGGAGTATGTGCACATATTTTGTTTGTGTGCCCTTTTTGTTTCCAGAAAGCTTTGGAAGTTTACAGCCCCATTTCCTGCAAACTGCACTGTCCTGAGCTCAAAATGCAGTTGGGCATTTCAACTTAGTTTTACTCAAAGTAGACCCACTGAAATCAATCAAATCACTCCTGCCTGAGATCACGTGCTGAGGAACAGCCCAAACCATTGGCCCTAGTATCCCACAAGGTAAATGAATAAACCTAACTAAGTCATGTTCATTAATTTTAATGGCTCTACTCCGGGTAAAACTTAGTTGAAAACCACCCAAGATCTTTTCAAAAGAAAAAAAAACACCTGGGGAGAGTGAAGTGGGACTTTGAAATGCTTTTTTATATTGTGAAATGCTTTTTTATAAATGCTTTTTTATATTGCCTAATCATGAAGACTAAAGCCCAGAAGACTAAACTTCCACCTTACAATTTAATTAGACAGAATCTTATAAAGAGCAATTGCTGGAATAACCCAGGATAAAATTTAAGGTTTTTCCTAAAACAAAATACAAGTAATGGGCTGCCAACCTTAATGGAAATGATAAATAAAATACAAGTTAACTGTTTACATGTGGGGTGGCCCTCAGGCCCAGGGACCAGCTGAGGCCCTTTAAGCCTCTCTCTATAGCTATATGGCCAAACAATCAGATGGAATTTAAAATCCACTTTTTTCAAAATATTGATTGTAAAGCAGGAAATAAGAGAACCAATGTCTATTTTATCCAGCTTCAATATACCTTTCTTAAAAAGTGAAATCCATTCCATTTTAAGTCATTTTATTACATACAATCCTACTTAATTACCATAATAACGAGAGTCAAGTCTTTGACAAGGGTCCGACTGCCAACACTCTGAGCATTAGAAACGGTAGGAGTATTTGGCAAAATTCTTGGCATCAGCTGTGTTGGTTCATTAGGCTCCACTTCAAAAACAATCTGAGGAAAAGATAATCACAATACTCAGTTCACAGTCTTAAAGGCGGTCAACAAGTACTGAAGAATGCCTTTTAAGGCAAATCAAGAATAGAAACAACCTTAATTGTAGAATACTAAGTGTCCAATTCATATGTATTCTTCTTGTGTGTTTTGCTTCCATACAGCTGGGCCCAATGCTGTAGTTTTAACAACTGCAACTGACAGCCACTGGATAGTTCCCACACTGCTATCACTGAAGGCCCCGACTACACAAAAATGGAAATCACACTTCAAAACTTGTATGAGTTGGGCCAAACTACATCTATTTCTGGATTTGTGCTTATTCACTGCAGCTTTATATAATGCATTCGAGAAAGTATTAATGCTACTAATTAGCCGATCCCTGTGGACCTTTACATGAACTGCACAACAAAGAATAGTGGAAAAGAAGTAGCTGCTGTTTTCGCAAGTATTTCCTAAAATGCTGTACTACTCTCTTCTCCACCACTGTTCCATATGACAGTGGTAGAGCAAAAACATACAGAGGAAGGCCAGAGGAAGGCCAGGTACTTTTGAATCAGGACTTGCCTTATTCATTGAAAAAATTGAGTTTGATCTAGTCAAGCACAGACACTGAGCTTATGTATGGGAGAATTCCACTATAGAATGCCCATTATAGATAGTTCTCTAGGTGGTGCTTTTTTTTAAACCCCCCAAAATATAAAGTACAACATGGAAAGCAAAAGCAAATTAAAAGCAGCATCAATCTAGTAAATCCAGCAACAGAGAAAACAGTAGTGCCAGAGAGCAAGTTTTAAAAATGGAAAAGTGGAGCGATTCTTCTATTGTCGGCATCCGTCTCAGGTGGTGCTACGGGTCAGTGTGTCTGGCTGTTAACCAGAAGGTTGGTGGTTCGGGTCCACCCAGGGATGGCTGTGGACAGGATTCCTGAACTGCAGGGCGTTGAACTAGATGACCCTTGGGGTCTCTTGCATGACAGCATGATTTCTGGGTGGCAGCAGTGTTTAGACTGTTTCTTTCTGGGTACCTCCAAATGGAGAAAGAGGGATCTCCGTGTGTATATATTTGAGCAGGAAATTGGGGGGTGGGCAGAAAAAAAAAGTCCCTTTAAGTTCTGTCGAATTTGTCTACATATGAGTGGTTATTCAGGGACTATCATTTTAAGTAGATAGATGAATTCCTTATGAATAGACTTAGGAATAGCACTAGCTCTTTGGAAGACTCTGCTCCTTTGAAAACAGACAAGTACCCAGACTTCTGATATTTTGTCACCTGCTAAAAATGTTTGTTTCACCAACTGTTTTTAGCTTGTAACTCATTCAAATCTTATGAGACAAAATAAGAAAAATGTCTACAGCAAATTACAGCATTTTATTTTATAACTGTTATTTCAAAAACAAACCTGTTCGCTGTTAAGAATGTTTATTTTGTCAATGGCAAATGCAAACTGGATGCTGTAGGTGCCCACTTTCTCTGGAACCATTTTTTGCCTAAATTGCAAATATCGGGATTTTAGTAACAAAGTAAAACTTTCAATATCTATATTTTCTAACACATATCCACCTCTCTATTAAATGAGGATACATTTTATGAGCTGAACCAAATGTTTCATTCTTTCAATGCAAGTAGATCTTGTTGAAGGAAAGACACCTCTGAATCTAACCCAAAGTTTCTTCTAAGTAATATATTTCCCCCTCATATATCTTATTCTAATTACTAATATGCAAATAATTAATTCCTATACAGTCATACCTCATGTTACGTCCACTTCATGTTACGTTCTTTCAGGTTACGTCCCACGGCCACCCGGAAGTACTGGAAAGGGATACTTCCGGGTTTCGCCGCAGACGTGCAAAATGCGCACGTCTGTGCAGAGGTGCAAAATGACGTCACACGCATGCGCAGAAGCAGCAAATCGCAACCCGTGCATGCGCAGACGTGCCGCTGTGGGCTGCGTTCTTTTCATGTTGCGAACGGGCCTCTGGAATGGATCCTGTTCACAACCAGAGGTACCACTGTATTTGAAGACTATAAATACAGACTATAAATATAGTTGCCTTGTCATATGCTGCAACAAAAATTATTATCTTAGTTAAACGCCTACAACCCCCTCAGCTTTTTCTCCAACAACTTAATTGGTCTCCTTTAAATCAAACTCTACCTTGTAAGCAAACATTCTGGATTAGTGATATGCTTAACACAGGCATTCAGCAGAGAGCTAAGTTGAAAGAATCCCTATATTCTGGATTTGACATTTTTTATCAACACAACCTCATTCTGGTTGCATTCGGCTTCAACCTCTTTGCAATATTTTGTTAGCCCTTATTTTGTTCTTTCTATTTTGAAAACTAAACAGTGCAGTAAAAAAATTCAAATAATCATTAGCTTAGTAAGGTATCTGCTACTGTGGAGAGCCGCCCCACTTTACATGTGGAAAACCAGCTTCTATTTACAACTGCTTATTCGCTGGTGGTGTGAAGGGGTTCCTAATTTATTCCCACCTTTGTGCTTATATTTCAAATCTTGTAGCTGTTGCCCCCCTATATCTTTACTATGACATTTACAAAAACCTTAATTTATAACACAGTAGCTGTGTTACTTTAGACAAGGTACAAACCAGTAGATTCACTTTGTTGTCCTTTATTATTAACTATAAAGAAAAACAAGGTAAATTCTGACTATAACAATAAATTATTAATATTGAATTTATATTCTGTGAACTGCCTTGAGACCCTCAGGTACAGGGCGGTTCACAGAATAAAGAGACTGATTGAAGGCGAATACTATACTTAAATTGGTTACCGTTTCTTTAAGGCTTATATTTGCTTTTATAGGGTTTCTCTTACTATAAATGGCAGTTACTTGCTAATACAGAAGCTTACATAAGACTGGCTTGTAAAAACTTAGTTCCTTTACCTATCAAACTCATATACCAATTATATTTAGTCATTTCTCCCCATATCAGTCAGTTTCACCATCAGGTATAGAGGACTTCTGCTGGTTTTCTCTAAGCCAGGCTTTCAGGCAGTTCTCTCTCTGGTTGGCTCCAGTAGCTCCTTGCTCCACTCCTGCTTACTGGCCTTTGATGGCCTTTCTTTCAATCTTTGACTTAATTTAGTAATTTAGCTCTTTTGGGGGAAGACTGTATTTCCAAACCTCTTGCCTGGCTTCCACCTGCTTCAACTCCAGACTTCCTTCTTCCTTTCCTCTTCTGGCCAGCAGCCTCAGACAGTTATGCTTTTTCCCTGGACAGTCAAAATTAGCCTACTTATGTTCTAGCCAGCCCACCCTTCAACCAATTAGATTTGAGTGGCTCAAAATTCTACACCCCCATCAGAACACTTGCCCTACCCAATGAGTAACAAAGAATTTCTATCCAGCAAGCCAATCAGAAGTGAAATTTTGCAATCTAACTCAGTTTAAAAATCCCCAGCTTTTCCCAGACCAGTCTTATGCAACTAGTTAAGTGACAACTGCCAGCCACCAATGGATACTTAGTACAGTGGTACCTCTAGTTACAAACTTAATTCATTCTGGAGGTCCATTCTTAACCTGAAACTGTTCTTAACTAGAGGTGTGCTTTCGCTAATGGGGCCTCTTGCTGCCACTGCGCTGCCGGCACACGATTTCCGTTCTCATCCTGGGGCAAAGTTCTTAACTCAAGGTAACTCTTCCAGGTTTAGTGGAGTTTGTAACCTGAAGCGTTTGTAACCTGAGACAATTGTAACTCGAGGTACCACTGTAGTTAAAATGTCACTGTTTACATAACCCCAAATACGCAGGAAATTTTTACACTGTATATAGAACAAATCCTGTCCCAGTAAACACATTTTAAAAGATTATTTCTACACAGCTACTACACTGCCTTCAGTGATAAAGTAACTAAAGTATTAACCTTTGACATTTTGCTTCTTCTAAGCTATGACAAAACCATTTAGAGCCCTACCAAATTTATTTACCTGAAGTAAAAAAAGCTACTGTCGTCCTCATTTGTTTTGGTACAGACATACTTTGTAACCTTAAAAAGAAATTACAAGGTATCATATATGTATAATTTTAAAGATAACTTTGTTAAATATGAAGTAGACAAGCAGAATAAATAGAACTGTGCTTTAAAGAAAGGCACTTCATTAACTAAGTAAATATGTTATTGTGCGAGTTTCCTCAATCCTTCACTCTCCTTCTACTGTACTACGAAATTCATTTATTTCTGCCATTTGGTCCTTTTACTATCAAAAACAGGCTTTCAGTAGAACATAGGTGGTATTCAAATTGATACATCCCATCAGCACAGGGATTTCAGCTTGTACAATGGGTCGCCTTTACTTGCCCTGCATGTGGTCTGTGCCCTCTCCAAATCTACCCTGCCCTGAGGAAGTTCTGTCATGCAAGCTGAAATCCTTGCATCGACAGGACTTGCTACTTAACACCACTCTGGATTAAACCCCACAGCCTAACAAAAGGAATAGAAGTTCACCTTAAGCCCTCCAAACAACAAGACTGGCTGACATGATATGGTTGCCATGCTGGAGCAGCATAGAATTGCTACCATTATGTGGTTAATAATACATGGAAGATCAATTCAAGTGGAATGGTTCACCGCATTACCATATGCTTTGATTCTTAAATATCTTCAGTGACATAGGGGAGATATCCAATCCCCATATGCTGAGTTTAAATAGCTGCCATGTATAACTATTTAAAACAGCACCAATGTGGCGCTTGTGTAAGCCATTTGTTCTATTCTTTCATATATTAAGTTATTTATAAAATATGCACTATATATCTATTAAAAAACTAAGCCGTTTACATAATATATAATCAGATTTTTAAAATCAATAACAATGTAAAAATGCAACATTATTCAAATGACTTTTAAATAATAAAGTAAAAACATAATAATATGTATAGATAGATTAAAATGAGCAGTGTATGAAAGGTGGATTTTAAAATTAGGAATCCAGGAAAGCTTGGGTAATCATATCAAGTCTTTGAAAGTTGCTTGGGGCTTTAAATGTCAACAGCAAGACCTTGAGCCTGGCTCAGTAGTTAAAAGGTAGAGAATTTTACTTACATTTTGTGGTACAGTTCTACTACCTTCCCACATTTTCATATAAATTATTCCTGGGCTTATATTTTTAATAATGTTATCAGCTTCAGAAATAACACTAATAATGAAATCTGTGGGGAGAAAAAAGCATATGAATCTTTCTTGCTAAAGTTCTGTTTTACATTTCAAAATTAAAATGTTCTGAAATATTAGGAAGCTATCTTATACCGAGCCAGACCACTGGTTCCATCTAGCTCAGTACTGTCTTACACTGACTGACAGAGGCTCAGATTCCAGACAGCTGTCTTTCTCAGCAAAACTTAGAGGAGCCAGGGGCTGAACATTCTGCATGCAATGCATGTACTCTACCACTGAATTCCAGCTCTTTCCAAGACAGGCATGCAAGTGGAAACCTGCAAGACGCTTAGATCCATTTCCTGAAAATGATTAACTGCTACATACCAGAGATGTTACTAACGACTGCTATAAACCATTGATCTTACTGCCCCACATAAATGCTTCAGCAATTAAATAATTATGAAAATGCAACATCACAGCAACTTAGGCAAGGGCCATGCTGAATTTGTAGACAGGTCTTCACAAACTGAGTTCTAAACCCATTTTATACATGAATGTTATACTTTACCAAGCTATATATAGCTATGGTTACAAAACTAAAAATGGTGAAGACCTTACATATGGTTAGATTAAAATGTCACAAACAAAAACTCACCAGGAAAGGTGTTTCCAGCTACAAGGGTAGCATTCGTGTCATACTTGACATTCAAACGTACAGGTCTCTCGGGGTCAGGCTGAACATTTAATCTGATTACTGGACAGTTTAGTGTGTTCTTGTTGTATGTAGCTTTAAATTGCAATGTATGCTCTCCCCTGCAAAATAAAATCGTGGTTAAACTCCAATATACCTCTTTGTCCAAAAAGTTTCAACAAACCTAAAAAAAAAAGTATAGATTTTCCATTACATCTGTATGAAGCCAATGGGAGAGGTTGTTCACAGTTTTAGAACTGAATGCTATAAATATGTGGATTACACTTTTCATTTTCATTGGATCTAGGTGTAGCCATGTACATTTTGAACAAGTGCCTAGAGTCAGTAATGGGTTTTAAGAGGGGAAAATATCTGAAACTCAATTCAGATAATAGCACCCTCGTTATGTATCTTTATGTGCCAGGCAAAAACATTATTTTCTCCTAGGCCGTTGGCTAATTAAATAAACTATGGCCTTTTAAACTGTGTGTTTGGGGGGTATTGTTTTTTGTTTGTATTATGGTATGTATTTTTGTGTTTTTATATTATACATTGCTCTGTGATTTTCAGATGAAGGGAGATACAGAAATTTAATAAATAACATAGTAGGCCTCAAGGGTAGCCCCACACAGAGCACACTGCAGTAATTCAGAAACAGCCACACCAACCTTACCAGCCAAAGCTGGTGAAAGGGACTCTTAGTTGCCAAGGGCACCTGTGCCTCCAATGATAGTAGGAGAAGGCTATTTCCTCATGGAGAGTGAAGAGGCACTTGAAGACATCTGAAAACTGCAACTGGTGCAGAATGCAATCATCACACTTTTAACTGGAACCAATAGCTATACATGCATTATGGCTTGAGACTTGAGGCATTTGAAATAATTTTTTTTTTATTAACCTTCCTGTTAATTAAAATTTTCACTAGACGCCCTTTTCTGGGTGCCTTCAAGGTTAGACTGGCGACTGCTGGGAAGCATATCTGAGGTGCACAAATCTTCAGTTTTTCCTCACAAGCCGTGCTGCATCGCCTTTAACTTTTTTTTTAGGAATGGCTCGCAAGGTGGAGCAGAGCTGCAGAGCTGTTGCTGCTACTTATTAGAATAGTGAGAAGGATCAGGCAAGTCCACCCTGTTCTTTCAGGCTTTTAAGGGTATATGATTTTTATAATAATAATAATTTATTAAATTTATGTACCTCCCTTTAAAGGGACGCGGGTGGCACTGTGGTCTAAACCACAGAGCCTAGGGCTCGCTGATCGGAAGGTCGGCGGTTCGAATCCCCGCGACAGGGTGAGCTCCCGTTGCTTGGTCCCTGCTCCTGCCAACCTAGCAGTTCGAAAGCACATCAAAGTGCAAGTAGATAAATAGGTACCGCTCCAGCAGGAAGGTAAACAGTGTTTCCGTGTGCTGCTTTGGTTCGCCAGAAGTGGCTTAGTCATGCTGGCCACATGACCCGGAAGCTGTACGCCGGCTCCCTCGGCCTATAAAGCAAGATGAGCGCCGCAACCCCAGAGTTGTAAGTGACTGGACCTAACTGTCAGGGGTCCCTTTACCTTTACCTCCCTTTAGGCGAAGATCCCAAGGCAGGTTTCAACAAAGAAACACATGACAAAATAGCAAAGAAACAATAACACCCCCTCCATCACACATTTAAAAGGTCATAGATTGACTAACAGCCAAAGGTGTGGTTGAAGAGGAACATTTTTGCCTGGTGCCTAATGATATGTAATGAAGGTGCCAGGCAAGCCTCCCTTGGGACAGCATTCCACAAATGGGGTCACCACAGAAAAGGCCCATTCTCATGTTGCCACCCTTCAGATCTCTTGTGGAGAAGGGCCCCATGAAGCAGGGCCTCTGATGATAATCGGAGGGTCTGGGGTGGTTCATATGGGGAGAAAACCAACGCTCTGAATTGGGCCTGGAAACGATTCCAAACATTTTCTGATGAATGTAAGAGTTTTCAATCACTTACCAAGGAGCATGAATTCTAAGAACTCCGAAATTTGCTCTGCCATTTTCATCTGTTTTATGCTGCTGGTTTGAAGGAATAATCTGACAAGAAAATTGATTTTCTCCCCATTAATGAATGACTAAGAAGCACCGATAATGATTTAACTATTACAAATCAGCAAATTTTCTATTTCAGTTTTCCATGTATTTCCATAGTTAAGATGCTTTACCCTCCCAGCATATAGCAAACACTTAAGGATTAGGGATGCCACTTCTATGTTACAATGCTATTTACCACGGGAAACTTAAAAGAATCATTAAGCAACAAACCCCTATATTTCTAGCTATTACTCTCTTTTTCCTGGAGTCAGACTGGTGTGTGGCTCCAGCTAAAGAGAAGTTGTAATCATCAGACAGACAACTGGTGGGTCAGAAATGGCCAATGGACTGTCAACTACATGTCTCTTTTTTGTAGATTGAATAACCTAGCAGCCAGCTTGTAGTCACTCAATTCCCAAGATTATCTGGCATAGAGCAATACACTAAGGGTTTTATTTCAATCCCTAAAACGGTATAAAATGATAATTTTCAAATTGTTATCTATCTATCCAAATATATTATGTGTTTTTAAACGTATTGTCCAATCACATATGCTAGGAATCTAAGCATTTAAAGAAATGAGGTGTATTTTATAAATACGCACTTCTTGCTCACTTCCTCCAAAGACCCACCTTTTCCACAGGGCTTTTAGCACAAGACCGAGTTCCTATACCCTATTGTAATTAAGAATAAATATCTAATGCAACAATTACTACATTCTTACCCTATTTTTCAGTGCCTCTGGATATCTCCTCTATGTCACATTTTAGACTGTAAGATCCCTGAGGTAAGGACTTGTCCTCATATAAAGTGCTGACACTATGCAGATGAATGCATTTTAACAACATTCTGTATTCTGGATGTCTTGCACAATGATATATTCCAGTGAGATGTATGAATTCAAAGGCAATTACCTTTAAGTTCCCAGCCTTTAAAAGGTTGATTTTGACATCAGGTTCAGAAGATGGGTTATTCCACTGATCACACAGCTGGACTATAAGTGGCTTCTGTAATTCTTTGCCATTAATCACTGACACAGGCTAGAAGCAGTTCAAAAATTATTGCTATTTAAACCTGTAGTATTATTTATTTATTTTATTTATGAAGCATTTCAAAGTGATTTAACAATACAGTAAAAACATACATATAGAATAGATTAATATATAAAAGTATTTCAAAAATGTGTGTGTGTGTAAAACATTTCAAATGCAATACAGAATCCAGCAGGAATAAAAAATCTCTACCCAGGAGGATTGTTAAAATCTTCAACAGATGCCTGTCTAATATGTAACGGGATGGAATTTCAAGAGGTAAGTGCTGCCCCACTAAAGGCCCAATTATCACATTGTGTGAAATGTACGCTTCTATTAAGATGGTATCTGAAGGATGCCCCCTCCTGCAAGCTGCAGTGATTGGTTTGGTATATAAGGAATGAGACATTTTAGGTGTGTAATGCAATTTAGCTGCAAAACATACAGTGATCAGAAGCCATTTCATCAATCGCTCACTTATGAAGAAGAGCCAATTATGAGAAACTCCAGTCAGAAATGTTATTTTCATACAAGTTACTCTTTTTGTTTCAATGTCTCCTTTCACACCAGAGACCATGTTAAAGTTTCAGAAGTATTTAATATCAGCAAAACGCTGTAACGTTATGTTCATGCCTCTCCTCTCTCTATTTCCCAGAGGTATGGAGACTATTGCTGGTATTACATGATGCAGACTTACGTTTTCTAACTCTGTCCAGTCCACAAGCACCAATTTAGCTGGAGGTCCTGCAATTAAATTTAGTCTCAAGAAATGAGAAAATTCACGCCAAGCAAAACACAGTTCTTTGGTTCCAGGAGGACCTGGTTTAAACCTGATTCCTGTGACACAAATAGTTTGTGTATCTGCCTATAAAGAAACACATAACAACATTTAAAAAACCAATAGGATCTCATAAAGTTATTTGATTATAAAAGTGGAATGATAGACATGCTTCTATTTATGGCATATGGGGTTTTGATTATTTTCTGCTCTTACAACTCTGCAATTTAAACACCTTGTCCACCTGCTCAAGCCTTACCAACTGACACTCATCCAACACAGCAGGACTAGACAGTGTTCTGGACACCCCTTGAGATGCATCTGCTGTAACAGCTGAGTAAAGGTGGATGCAAGCAATTTTACCCTCAAAAAGCTTTCCAAACAAGTTACAGCAAACTACCATCAGTTCTGCTACCTCCTTCAGGCCAGACAGGAAAAGGCCCTGCACTATCCAGAAGAGCTCCACTGTGCAGCATAATGGGGATGAAAAGGAGGCAGCATACATGTGAGTGTGCAGGCTCCCACACTCTGACTGAGCATGTTGTTTGAACCTGGGCTTCTGGCTTAGCTATCCCACCCAAACCATGAGCCCTAAGACATAGAACCTTGGTTGCTGCACATGTTTAGTCTGGAGAGCCTGGATTCAACAGACATGCAAAGCCAAACCACAGCTCAACTCAGTGTAGCCCGCAGAGGATTGACCTGGGTGCGGCTGTGATTGTCTCTCTAGGAGTCTGCACACTTTCTATATTATGTGAAGAATCTATATTATGCTGCAACATAATATATGGTAGACTTAATTGGCATAATAAATCAAAGTGGATCCATCTTTATCCTTAGTTAGATATATCCCATGTCAACCAGTATGAGTTGAGAAAACAGTAAATGAATTCAACTCAAGGTAACAACATTCCAGAAAGTTTATGAAAGCTTTGTACTATTTGAGTTCTGGATAAAGACCCAACTAGCAAGAATAATAGCACCACAAAGGTGACTATTTACTTGCCATGAAAACAGAAGTAAATAGAGGTAAATCATTTGAAGAATCTTTACAAGCTTGAAAGTAGTAACTCCCCTTTGCCTCTTATCAGTTTTATGAATGTTATTAAGCTGTGTCAGGGATAGAGGCACAAGTTCCCTCCCCCCAAATAAGATGAATTTCACTGATGCAAATCCTACATAACATGGTGTTAAGAAATACCTGCCAAACACTTCTCAATTCTGATTTATCCAGACCACTACCGTCTATTTTCAAGGAATCCAAACAAGTTGATGTCAGGTTTTGAATGTGATTTCCATGCTGATCTGTAATCATTATCTCTTTAAGGAAAAAAAAACCCAGAAGAATTAGAAACCATTTTATTTTAGAATTCTAAAGATGGCTACTGGAAGTAAACAATGCTCTGAAGATGGCAACCAGAAGTGTTCCTCCTTAAACCCAGTCCAGGTTGTCCCACTCAAGACAGCTGCCAGATGGTAAACAAATCTCCCAATATGGCCACCGAAAATGAGGTTACCAATTGACGTGATCAATGGCCAAACAACAAAGCAGAGCAGAACTCATGTCTGGAATTCCCAATATGGCAGGCGAAAGAGTAGGTGGGCAAATTGGTGGGCATGGCTGTATATACTAGTGCACCACTGCCTCTTTTCCTATCCAAGCTTTGGATGATATGGAAAGCAGCAGCCTGTGGGCCAAGCTCTGGGCCAAGTTACATGGAGCTAAGCAGCAAAGTCTCATTTATTGTACTTGAAATTGATTGTAGAGGAAAGAAAGGGAGGGAATCCAATTAACTGACAGGGTTTCATTGGTTTACTAGCTCAGGACTGAATGATGGGGAAATTGATTAGGGATAATAAAATTACAATGAATTCCTTAGAAGATCAAGTTATGGGGAAGATTAATTTGGGGTAAATTAATTTATAATTAATTTCTCAGAGGATTATAATAAGAGTAATGCCAAAGAAAATCACAATTTAAACACACACACCAGGAATAAATACACCGGAAATAAACGCAGTAAAGGAAAGACAAGTGGTAAAGCCAGCTAGAATGTGCATTAATTGCAGCGGGTTCTGATCTCCATAAACATGGGGAAACTGGGAGTCTTTCAGTTTGGAAAGCTTTAGCTGTACTTAACAAAAGTTTAGAGTGGGTGAAATACAGAGGATACTGTGACTAAAGGCAGCAAAAAAAGGCAATACAGAGTCTAAGTAGGGCTGCAGATAAGGGAACTAAAGGCTAAAAAGGCAGGGAAAATGAGTGGGAAACAACCACAGTGGGGGAAGGGGCACTGAGAAGGAGAACTAATGATAAAGCTAAACACACAGAGAAAATCATCAAGAAGTAGAAGAAGCAAGGAAATAACCAGCTTGAAAGAAGAACACCAGGAGTCTCAGGAAGAAACAACTATTTCCTGTGAGGCAAAGTAAAAAGCTGAAGGAGCAGGGAGGCGTTAAGACTGCAGTTTCCTATTTGATTTTTTAAATCTTTTAAAAGCTTGCAATGTTGCCTATTAACCACTAGGGTGGTGCCAAATCCCAATCCCAATCTGGTGGCAGGTATGCCAGGATCTCCAGAAATGAGGCTGAATGCAGGCCTTAATGCATAAAGTGCAGATGGCAGGAGAGATCTCCAGTGCTGCTGCTTTGAACAAGGTAGGAACTTGAAACTGAAAACCCTTCCAATAACATCACCAGTTAAAATTTCCTTGAGGTTACAAGTTTCTGCCCCAAGCACTAGGTGGCAGTAGTTCCACCTGAGCCAGGATGACCAGCAGAGGAGATTAAAGTTGTGATCCAAGATAATGAGTACTCGGAGTCACAATATGCACCAGTGTGGATCAGTCATCTTATATAAGCAACAGCAAGTACTGCCTTTTGCACAAATGCAACTTGTACACAATATATAAAAAATGTCATGAGACACTGTTGTCTGCTGAGACACTAATGAGTAAGGCAACGGAGGCAACAAGACTGCAACTTGTCACACTTGCTGAGCATGATATTGATGTAGCTTGCTACAAGAACACAGTATGCCATCACATGTCCAGTCAAAGGCAACTATGGGGCTGCGGCACTCATCTCGCTTTCAGGCCGAGTGAGCTGGCATTTGTCCACAGACAGCTTTCCGGGTCATGACTAAACTGCTTCTGGTGCAACAGAACACCGTGACAGAAACCAGAGAGCACAGAAACGCCGTTTACCTTCCCGCCAGGATGCGGGTGGCGCTGTGGTCTAAACCACTGAGCCTCTTGGGCGTGCTGATCAGAAGGTCAGTGGTTTGAATCCCTGTGATGTAATGAGCTCCCATTGCTCTGTTCCAGCTCCTGCCAACCTAGCAGTTTGAAAGCACACCAGTGTAAGTAGATAAACAGGTACCACTGCATCACACCTACATTTGTGTCAGAATAAAAGAAAAAAAGTAAAATACTTACCAATTTCTTCTTGTAGTTTTTCACCCATTTGTATTGTATTAGATCCTTTTAATTTGCATTTAATATGTTTTGGCTCATCAGCAAGTGGTCTACAGAAACAAATACTGACAGCTTAACAGATGTGTACTTCTAAGTAAAACAGAAAAAATGCTATAATTCTTTCAAGATACAAGTTCTTAAGATGTAAATGGTCGATTCTAGATGGAGTTGCATTCCATTTGACAGAACAGCTACGTAGTCTGGGGATGCTCCTAGATAAAACATAGTTGCTAGGAGCTCAAGTGACTTCAGTGACAAGGAATTTATTTGGTTAGCTGTGGCAGTCTGTGGACAGGAGTAGCATTGTCACAGTAACTCATGCACCGGTAATCTTCCAGTTGGATTACTATAAACTATGGCAGATCCTGAAGCTGTTTTAGAAGCTTCAGATAGGCTAGGCCACCTAACAATCTGCACTATCAAGATTGCATGATCCTGAGAGTTAATTGGTTGCCAATATGATACCGGGTTTAATTCAATGTGCTGGCAATGACACCTATAAAGCCTTACGTAACTTAGGACTTTAGTTGAAAGTGTGTCTCCTCCTGTTTCAACATTAAACTCATTAGGGGAAGCACTTCTTGCTAACAACTTGCTTGAGAAGATTAACTATGCAGCAATATGGAAGTGGGCAGCTCATTTGTAGAATGCCCTGCATGCTGAGATATGCCTGCTGTCATCTCCACTTTCCTCTGATAGCTGAGTTCCCTCTTTTTCCCTTTTTCTTTTGTCTGGAAGTGGACTTGTAGCTGCAGAGCCTGAAAGGAGTGCAGAGCACTTTAAAGACAGGAGGCTGTCTGGGCATCAAGGAAACAGGCCAGTAAGCCTTCAGATTTCACTGGCCTCTTTCCTCCATGTCACACCCCTCCCCTCAAGGTGAGACTTATGTTAAACACTTCCTCACTGTCCCTTATTATCCAACAAGATGACATTAGCTGGGTTCTTAGATGTCTTATTATGTTTTACAGCTATATATGCTTTAGAGCTAATTTCCCAACTATAAACACACATCATATATATATACGTGTGCAGATCAAATATTTATTTAGCAAAAGTGCATTTTAAGCAATATATTCCATGTATTCCTATGATTCTTCTGTATATATACTTCACACAGCACTAAGGTTATTCCATGTATCACAGCACTCAAGAGTGCGAGTATCATGAGCAACATCATTATAATGACTTATTTTAGAACTGGAATTGCATCTGCAGGCTATGCTTTTGCAGTCCACTGCCTTTGAAGCTCTTAATGTCAAATATATGCTTGACTGTATACTGATATTTACATACTTAAAAGTTGTTACCAATAACAGCGAACAAGTTTTTGTATGCTGTAACCAACAGAAACAGTCACTGAGCAAACTTCGTAACAGGACTACAACTGAGGAAAATATACAAACCTTATTGTGAATGCACTTTCCAAAGATACATGCCCATCATGGAATGAAACTACATAATAGTGCACATCATTTACAGATGTTGGTACCTTCACATCAGGTAATAAGCCATTAACCAACTGTTCTCTATTAATCTTTGGAGTCCAATTTACCTAGTAAACAAAAAAAAAATCAATAGTGTGTGTCAGGTGTAAAAATAACATGACTGCTTACTTTTGTAACAAAATTTAAAAAATAACAGGGTCTCTGACTACGTAATAAACATTATTCCACTTTTAAACAACAAATATAGATAATAGTAGTTATTTTATGGCCATTTTTTTAAGAGGATAAAATTATTTGATTGAAATACAAATTTAGCTTCTCTGCAGCTATTACAAGTGCACTAATAATAAAAAGGCTTGTTCAGTCAATGAAGTCCATACAAATTTAAATGTTGATGTGAGAGGGATAAAATAAGAACACTAATATTTTAAGCAAGAGTAGGTTTTATTCACGAGAACAAGCAGGCTGTGGAAGTGTAGTAATCAAATTGTCCGTACTGTGTTGCAAATAGATAGGACTACCAGACTCTCATTCTATCTTGCCTTACAATTTATTCAGCTTACTGTAACAGCCTGCCTTACATATCATGCCACTCGCTAGGATTCTAGGCCCTCCTCAGAAAATTTGGCAGTGACTTCCTCAAGGAATGAGTAACCGTGATTTGGTTGGAAACTGGTGTGAAAGCTTCAAATCTCCTCCTTCTGACTACACTGGAGGAAGGCGAATAAGAGCCAGTGCCTCACCCCAAGCTCATTCCTCGAGGACTAAATTCTGGTTTACTGTTACATCTGGATACAGCCCATACTTCTTATGGAGGGTGGTGGCATTTACTGGAGGACTGGAAGGGACTAATGAGAAGAATAGGATTTTGCACTAACTGTTGGCCAACTGTCCCTTGGTCTCATGAGCACCAGTCCCATTCAACTACTGGCATAGATTTAAATAGTTATTTATTTTTTGCCTCCACAAACAAAATTAAGAGATTGCAAGACCTCTTTTTTTTTCTTTTTTTTTTAGAGAAAATGTTTAAATATTTAGGTTATGGTGTAACATAAAGCTAAATACAAAATTGGTATAGTACTGACTAAGAATGAGATACCAAAATGTTGGGCTGACTTTAATAATAAAAAAAAATAAACCAGTAATTTCAGCTTTATTTACATCATTACTACTTCTGGAATTAAATACTAATTATATGTGCTGCATACAGAGGAAACAAGCCCCTCACCTGCATACAGCAATGCACAGATCTGCGGTGAGAGAAAAAAAGAAAAAAGAAAAGAGAGAGAAAGGGAGAGACTGCTTATACGGGAACCTACATATTCAAGAGAAAGGATCCAGAGAGAGGACTGGATCATTCCCATAATCTTCATTTCAAGCAAATCTATTAACTACCACAAAGTATAATAATGTTTGATTTATTTCTGTCAATGGCTGTTGCAACATCCTAGAGAACAGAAGATACATTTCAAATATGCAAAACTCAAAAAATACAAAAGCTCCAAAATATGAAAAAACCCCAAATTACTGAAACTTTTAAAACATTAAATAGCATAAATCCAAATATACTCAGGGCTTGGTCAGATTAAAACATCACCATATCAATTAACTGCTGTGTGTTAAATAGTTTCTGCTCAGGTTCTTGAAGCTGTCAGGATATAGAGAGAAATCCAACATGCCATGTAAGTTGTCATAGAGTAGACAAGATTTGAGGCAAGAGAAGATCTGTGGCATGAGCAGCCTCACTGACATTTCTACCCTCATTCTATATGTATTTTGTCTAAGCTCTGCAGAGAGACTGCACTCCTGCCCATCATCCCATACACAGCTAGGAGTCCACATTCCTCTTACATATCAAAAGCTTCTACATGCATTTCTGCCTGCAAAGATCTGGGTATTATCACTTGTGGAACAGATGATTGATTGTGGGGTGGTGGGTGTCAGAAAGGACTATGTTTAGCCTTAAAGTTCATGATGGAACATGGGCCAGTGGTCCCTGGAATGTGCTAGATGCTGACCGTTTAGCGTTTTATAGGTCAACACCAGTATTTAGAGAGAAGGTAGATCACTGGAGTAATTGTCCAGTGTTTGTTCATCTTATATGACTCTGCTGCCTAAAAGCATTCAATTTTAAAATCTCTGATATTTTACTCCCATCAGTACACTGCAAAATGTCCCTTAAATGTTCACTTTGGTTTGATATTCATAAGCATGATTGCCATGTGCACTCTTCACTGGCATACAAAAAGTAGTGGAAATGGTTGAATTATTAACATAAATAAAAGCCTTCTTCATTTGAACTCCTGTTATGCTTGAATTTCTAGTTTTGTGGCTCTCTGATCAAAGCTTAAATTCTGTGTGGAACAAAACTAGAGCTAAAATTTTAGACTTTCCACCTTGCGCAGAAAATTTTTAAATGGCCACATAGTACAGCCTCTTGTCCGCCTGATATACAATGACTTTCCCTAAGCCCCGGGATTTCTTCACAGCTATTCACTTTCAAACCATGTCAAAACATTTGGCAGATACTGCTGTATTCCGTTGGCACAATGAATTTGTGGAGCTTCTGAGTTGGCAAGACCTCCCACATTACTATAATTAAGTTATCTTTCCTCCAAAGAGCTCCAAGTGAGAAACAGTACATGCTTCTCCCCTTGTCTGTTTTAGCCCCACAAGAACCCTGTTAGGTTGAAAGGTGATGACTGGCCCAGCTAGTCTTCTATATTACACTGGCTCTCAATACATGCTATTCTTTCTATATATTTTCAGCCATAATTTAAATTTCTTAGTGTTATTTTAACTCATGGTTGAGTCCTATTCAGAAACATAGTTTGATGGCCTAGGAGCATATACATATGTCTGTTGTTACCTCCCCTGAGGAAGCCTAGAAATTTGAATTATGTAAATAAACTATGGAACAACTATGGAAAATGTGCCTTTCAGATGTCATGATATATCCCACATTCTCACACAGCTTAGGTTGAATTCCTTAAAAAAAGCAATGGAAATACTGATGTAAACAAAGCAAACATTTTCTTTTTATAGTATTTTTGTTATGGTAACCTTTCCTCTTCTCCTTAATACGGTACTGCCTGATCACAAAACTAATGTTTATGTTGAATCAAAGTTTTAACGTCCTAAAAATACCAACCTTAACTTTTTCGGCCAGCGTGGGAGTGATTAATATTTCTCTGTCCCCTTCATCATACATGTGGAAGATGAGATTCTGCATCACATCACCTGCAACCCAGTTAATTTCATCCTGGTGTTGGATCTGCATAGCTTTTTCTCCCTCGATGCTAAAAATTTGTAATCTTGCAACAGATCTACTGGGAAGCAATTTAATAGTCTTCTCCAATGGTGGTACACTTTTACAACTCTAATAATAAAAAGGAGAAAGGAAAACAGAAGAAGTAACTGGAACTGTACCACTTCACAGATACACGTACACTGAGGTTCTGCAATCTAATCTCATGGTAACTTTAGCATATTGGTCAGTATGTTTCTGAATTATTATTATTATTATTATTAATAATAATAATAATAATAATTTATACTCCGCACATCTGGCTGGGTTTCCCCAGGCACTCTGGGCGGCTTCCAACAAAATATTAAAATACAATAGTCCATCAAACATTAAAAACTTCCCTAAACAGGGCTGCCTTCAGATGTCTTCTAAAAGTCTGGTAGTTGTTTTTCTCTTTGACATCTTTGACATCTGGAGGGCGTTCCACAGGGCGGGTGCCACTACCGAGAAGGCCTTCTGCCTGGTTCCCTGTAACTTGGCTTCTCGCAGCAAGGAAAGCACCAGAGGGCCCTCGGCACTGGACCTCAGTGTCTGGCAGAATGATGGGGATGGAGATGCCACATGCTGGCAATCACAGGTGGCCAGTCTGCTGTTGCACTCCTGTCCCACTTGCAAACTTCCCACAAGCATCTGGTTGGCCAGTGCGAGAAAAGGATGCTGGACTAGACAGGTCACTGGCCTGATCCAGCAATCTTGTCTTATGTTTATCATTTTATTTTCTTACCATGTTATGTTCTGAACACCAAAGGAAGATATTGCTACAAAAAAGGCCAACAAATTGGACAGAAATAAAATAAAAAACTACACACACTAGACTAGCCAATATGGGAGACTGAGAAAATTACAAATGAAAGTCAGCAAGAAAAGCTGAATCAAGTGGTTTGGAGGCAAGGAATAAGCTGAGGAAGGGAGAGAATAGCTTTCTTTGAAGTTACAGTGTGTCCTGCCTTTGAGCAGTACAGGAAGCTAATAGCACTTAGAAACATCTGACACTCAAATGAGAAATGAAGTTCACAGTAGGTGATGGATTACAAAGGAGAGATTTTTTAGATGTGTTGTATGTGTATACAAGCAACCCCTATGAAGAGAGAAGTCCTGAACTTTCTAGTTTAAAAATAAGGGACTCATCAGGCCCCTTCAGTCCATGCTAGATGGTCCTGGGGTTCAGAGGGTCTTTTGACCTAAATGAGGGGTGAAATAGGTTGGAAATGTCTAATCATATTTATCAAGAACAACCAATTTCTCATTATTCAAAGATATTGGTAATCCAGAAGAATATAAGGGCAACTACATACAGAGTAAGATAGGGTCATTTCCACTGATCCAGCCACCTGCAGAAAGAATTTCATGCAGCAATATTGCCCACATCTCAACCAATGGAAATTAGAGCATTCAAGTGCCATAGATCACTAAATGGTAACAAGTAGCAAAAACATTACAGCTATTTCAACTTACAGGTATTTCAAACCTTGCTTTAAGCGTCTGATCTTTCTTTATATTCTCTACATGCAGAACTGGTCCAGTTAATATATTTATCCCACCACTGCTGCAATCCACAGCATATACAGGAAGGCCTGGAGCTCCTGAAAACTAAAACAACCACATCATAAATAAGAGTTTTCATATCAATAGGTGGGCACAAAGCAGGGGTTGAGAACCTTTTTCAGCCTGAGGGTTGGATTTCCACATTTTCAACCCTTCTGGGGGCTGCATGCTATTGATGGGTAGGGTCAAGAGGGGAAAAGCAGGCAGGGCAAGGGGCAAAAGTGGGCTGAGTAATGGATGAGACACTTTGTACAGTATGCTATGTTCCACACACAGACATACTGTATCTTCTATCCAAGCAAGCAAGAGGCATTATTCTAATACAATGACACATTTCAGCCGGGCAAAAGCATTTGAAGAAAGCAGGGAGGGAGCCAGTGAACTGTGTGGTGGCCAGGGGAGTGTCCTGAGGGCCGGATATAAAACTTGGGAGGATCACAGTTCCCCACCCCTTGGATAAAGGTACCGAGTAACGGAATAAAAATCTCAGAAATAATTGAAGTACGTTGGGGGGAGTTTTGTCATAAAGAATAGGATGAATAATTATTATTAAGAAATTTTCATGACTGCCTATCACAAAAGCTAATTTGATTCATTTAAATAACATCTTTATAAAAAGGTAAAAGGTAAAGGTACCCCTGACCATTAGATCCAGTCGTGACCGACTCTGGGGTTGCGGCACTCATCTCGCTCTATGGGCCGAGGGAGCCGGCGTTTGTCCGCAGACAGCTTCCAGGTCATGTGGCCAGCATGATTAAGCCGCTTCTGGCGAACCAGAGCAGCAGACGGAAACACCGTTTACCTTCCCGCTGGAGTGGTACCTATTTATCTACTTGCACTTTGACGTGCTTTCGAACTGCTAGGTTGGCAGGAGCTGGGACTGAGCAACGGGAGCTCACCCCGTTGCAGGGATTCGAACCGCCAACCTTCTGATCAGCAAGTCCTAGGTTCTGTGGTTTAACCCACAGCGCCACCTGTATCCCCCTAACATCTTTATAAATTAGGTTAATTCAAACCCATATGTGTTCTTTTTGAGAGATTCATGAAGTAGCCTGAAATAAAGTGCCACACCATATAAAATTAAAACTTTAGTACTTCCTGTACTATAATTAATTAATCTAATCTCAAGTTATTAAATAAGTAGTAGCACCAAGCTAAAGCACAAAGGACACAAGTCAACCCCTGAAACCAAAATAAATCCCTTCAAGCAAACAGGGAGCAGCGCAGGGCAACGAAATGCATCAATGCATAAAAAACTGCATAGAAAATCAGACGCTACTGTTTCCAAGAAACAACAGCAACAAACACCAAACAAACACAACTGAGAACTAACACAACAGCACACAAGAAGCACAAGTCTGAGCAAAGCTGAATAGCGTGAGACACAGCCTCTCCAGAGCGAAGGCAGAAGTAACCTGGTAGGGGCTAGTTGGATATGAGCAAAGCCCCCTTAATCAGCTGTAATCCTGCCTTCAAGCATCAAATGGAAATCTCATTCTACCCGAGAGAACAATTTCACTCGAAGGAAGAAAGTAAAAGCAAAAATCTGCTCAGGGGTTTAAATATATAAAAAAATGTAACTGCAAAGTTCAATTGCACAGTAACTTATAAAAATATTTGGAACATAGTAGTTAACTATGGCATATTTAAAATTACCCTGATACAAAGAATGGATTGCAATGCTATTTTTCTAGAAAAAGTGGTGCCGGAACTTACCACGAACACCTCCCTAGTTCTCTTATAATGGCAATGGGGCCCACCTGAGAGGTGCTGGAACTGAGTTCCGGTGAGTTCCTGCTGAAAAATGAAGCAAGGGGGCAAGGAAGACAATCTCTAATTCATTTCTGAGGAAGGATGGGCCTCTACCCTCGAATTTTTGATGCTCGTATGCAGTGTCAGAGGCAATTTTTCAGTAATATAACACTGAGATAATTGCACTAGTCCAATTGCACTAATGTCCTATTTTTTAAAGAAGAAGAACAGAAGCTGTTGACCTACCTTGCAATGAACTATTAGTTTTGGTTGTGCTGTTATGTTGCCTACTTCATCCAGCACTTCAACCTGGAAAGGAAATGCTGTTCCATTTTCAATTTTCAATGTCTCAGTGTCTGGTTTGACATTTAGCTGCCATGGTGGACCTGTTTATAAACTAAAGTTTAGTTTCGGTTTTCAAAACAAACAATCAAGACAGCTTTGAAAAAGTCAAAAACATTTTTTTTAAAAATTGCTATACAGCAAGTTTTAAGAATAATTCCCAAGTTTTTATTCAATGGAATTGAAATAAAATTTATTTAATATGCAGCTGAAAACACCAATTTAGTTGTACAGAAGGTAACATTTATGGTATCACCACTTAAGGCATAAATTGGATTAATATTATGTTGGGGAGGGGGAAATCTCCCCTCAAAATTAAGTTTAAGAGAAACTGGTTTTGAGTTATACCTTCTGGGATGAGGCCACATAATACCATGTTACATCTGATTATGGCTCCAGAACAGACACCTATTTTTATTTAATTCAAACTTTTAAAAAAACTTCCATAGAAACTTTCATTTTTTAATAAAGCATTCAACAATCACCTGAGTGGAATACAGAAATGAAATATAAAACCTGATATGGATCATGAAATAGCATTAAATAAAGAACAACCAGAATTAAACCTGCAGAAACAGACTCATTTGGAAAGGGTTGGTAGAAAAGAAAATATTCCAGCAAGCATCAAAAACAACATTGGGGCTTACTTCAGTTCAAAGGAAGAGAATTCCAAAAACCGGGTACCACAACTTTACTGTAGGGGCATCTTATATCATCAATAGATCTTCATCAAGACATGTAACTAATTGGGGAGTGATGTAGGAAGATAGATAGCTTCTTTGATACCCTGGTCCAGAACTATAAAGGGCCCTATATAACAGTAGTAAAATCTTGAATCTAGCTTATTAACAATTTGGCAGTGACATGCTACCAATAGGTTGTCCCAGACAGCAGAAGTATTTTGTACTAGCTGTAGCTTCTAGACCAAATTCAAGGACAGGCCCATGTAAAGTGGATCACATTAAGGAAGTCATACATTTCAAACATTTCACTAACCTGGAAGAAGTTTAATTTTCAAAATTTGGGATTCCTCCTTCAGGCCAGGAAGAGTAACTTTCAGATTGAAGTTCTATTGAAAAATATAATTTTAAAAGTCAATGTTAAATAATGCCCATGAATTTTTTTTTGTTCAGTTTTCAAAGTGAATAATCCTGTAAAGCAATTATATATTTCCACCCCCTAGGAAATGACTTAAAATGTTCCACTTTTAATCTTTACTCTTGTCTAATACCCTCAGCTACTTAACTGAGGTTCTTAACTGAGGCGCCTTCTATTTCAAAATCCTACATTAAGACACGCTTACAGTAATCCCAACATAAGTAAGTGGTACTTGAAACAGTGGTAAGGAAATTGCACCCAGGGAAGGTGGACCGGGGGGGGGGGGGCAGGGCACAGACGAAGCTCCCTGAGGCTTGCCTCACAAAATGGGGCAGGGGGCGCACTCACGCACCACAGTCCAGGAGAGTTGGTAACAGCATTGCCACCCACCCTCTTTCGGAGCTGCCAGGCTGACGCCTCACAGCCTCAATCTGCCCCATGGGTCAGGCTTGACCTGGGGATGGCGGTGCCACGGCTGGGCACCACAGGAGCCCAGTCTTTCGTCTTCCCAGGTTAGGGCAGACTTGGGGATGGAGCTGCCGTGGGGGGCACACACGGTGAGGAGAGGGGCGGCAGCTCTGTGTCACAGACTCCCCACTCTGTCCCAAGGTCAAATGTGACCTGGAAGTGGAGTTGAAGCAGAGTTGAGGCTGGGCACGAGGAAGCTGCCTCGCACGCCAAAGCCAGGTTCTGATGGGAGCCTGTTGTGGGGGCACCTAGTTGTGCCCCCTCCAGAAAATGTGAGCCGGGGCAACAGCCCCCCCCCGCTCCCCCTTAGACTTGAAGGACTTCTAGAATACTTGACTTAATAATCTACAAACTAATTATTGAATATAAAATATATAGAACATATTTTAGGTAAATATTTTAATTCTTATGAAAAACAACTATGATTCTTTAGAAAACAAGTATGCAGCCACATATTTATTAAAAGTAAACAATGCATTTTTGCCATAATTCAACTTACCTTCCCCTGGTAAGTGTTTACCAGGCCTTTAGCAGTTACACCCTTAATGGCACAATTTGGTCCTTTATCTATTTCTTCATACTGTAATGTTAAGCCACTACAAACACAAGTGAAAATAATTTTAAGAACTAAAGTGACCATTTTAAAATTGCAACTAAATAATACATAATGTGGAGTTACCCATGAGGGCTCTTTCTGAATATACAGAATATTCTGTGATGATGAGTGACCCTTCTCATTCACTTCAGAAGACTAAAATTCCAGAAGCTTCTGAAACCTCTACTGTGGATCAGCCCTCTTGGTTTTGGATGCTCCCAAAAGTGAGGAATAAGCAAAATGCAAAACTGTGGACTTGCTATTTTAACGTTGCACAGAAAAGAGAGGGCTACTATCAGGACGCGGGTGGCACCGTGGTCTAAACCACTAAGCCTTGGGCTTGCCGATCAAAAGGTTGGCAGTTCGAATCCCCGCAACGGGGTGAGCTCCTGTTGCTCGGTCCCAGCTCCTGCCAACCTAGCAGTTCGAAAGCACGCCAAAAAGTGCAAGTAGATTAATAGGTACTGCTCCAGCGGGAAGCTAAATGGCGTTTCTGTGCACTGCTCTGGTGACGGTGTTCCGTTGCGCCAGAAGCAGCTTAGTCATGCTAGCCACATGACCGGAAAAACTGTCTGCAGAGCAGACAAACGCCAGCTCCCTCAGCCTGTAAAGCGAGATAAGTGCCACAACCCCAGGGTCATTCGCTACTGGACTTAACTGTCTGGGGTCCCTTTACCTTTAGCTTTACTGTCAGGATGACTATGGGGAACAACTCCCCACCAGAGGAAAATTAAAGGCCCAGGGCCCAGGTGTCTGTCTATGATCAGAAATAACTCTTATGGGTCAATCCAACACTATTTTCTTGGTTTGGGAATGATAACACCCTGTCCAGATTGGGCACTGCTGCAAAATATTCAAATTGCCTGGTTTTTTTTTTGGGGGGGGCACTGCACTTTGTACACTGTATAAGACAGCTCAAAAGAATGATAGACAATTCAGTTAAATAGGTAAAGATTATGGCTTAATTCCATATTTTAGGGACACGTCCTCTTAACCCAAGATACCTGAAATATTGTCTCACTCCTGTATATTCTCAATCGATCACTGTCTAGCATCACTGCTTTTCACTGTAGGCAAGAAAAATACTGAGACACTGCTCCTTCTAATGAAATTAGTCTTTTCTCCTAAATTAGATGGGAGGAATCTCCCATCAGCATACAGAATCCTTCCATGTTAAAAATACTGTGAAAAATCCCAGTTTAAGAACTCCATTCATTTTGCATGGGCAAAAAGCCACAGTTGTGATACAGCAAACATCTGTCATCTCCTCCTGCATTAACACCCTGTAACCTCAAAACTGTGTAAGAATTCAAGAGACGATATCTTAGTTTTTGGTGCAAAGGAGACAGATCACTAGTTTCTGAAAAGAAAAGCACCTAGCTGTGTGTGCACAACATTTATCTGGGACCCACTGGATTGGGGAAAACAGAGAAAATACAAATCTTTATTTAAGAATACTAAATAAACAAAATAATTAAAATGACAGTTACCTAGCCTCAAGAATTGGCACAATATCATCTGTCAGATGAGTAGCATGACCAAATTCATCCTGGACATCTAGAGGAATATTGAATGGATGCCCAACTCGAAATGGGGGATCCAAAAGACCTATTGAAAACTTCTGAGGCTTGCCCTCTGAGGTAGATGGGGGGGAAACAAGGTTATTACAATGAAATTGTTTAGTGGTTTAATTATAGTCATTCTTCACCCATCTGAATACAGCCTGAATGCTTCAACTCATTTATATTTGATTAACACTTTCAGTAACGTTTTCAAGATTTAATCCAACTTTAAATAGAAAAATAGTATTTTACTGAGTGTGTCACTGCTAACTTCTGCATGCAAAGAACAGGCACTGACTGGTTAAAATACAACAACAGTATTAACCTTACCTATTATATTAAATTTAAATGTTTCTGATGGAAGAGGTCTTACTGCAAAAGTGTTGGCATTGCTTTCATTCAACATCACTTGCAGTTTCAATGTGTAGGATCCAAGTTTAGTAATATTTTCTGTGTATAATCAGAAACAAAAGTTTAAAATGAAATAATCAAAATATTGCTCAACTGTAAGGTAGATTTAAAGCAAAAACACTCACCCATTTTTTTGAACCAGTAAGGCCATTTCCCCCCATGCTGACTGATAAGAGAAATGATTTCCTTATCTCCATTATGGGCTTAAATAGGGGGAAGAAAGAAAACACATATAAAAATTGTGCCAAGGTATCTTTAAATGCATTAGGTTGCAAACAAATAATACAGGATATATGTGTATTTTAATAATAATATTAAGGTAACTCAGTAAGGGGTTACTCTGCCCACACCAGTGTTGTGTCTACTTAAAAAAGCAACCCCACACTAGTTTTGTTGCTGTCTTCAAAACTGGTGCTCTTGGAGTGTGTGCCAGATAAGGCCTCCAAGTCAGGGGATAACCACCCCTACATTAACAGTTTGGTGAAGGTGAACTGAGAATTAAATTGAAAGTGATGTAGGCTTGATTCAGCCGCAGCCATGTTATTTAAAATGACACTGATTTTGCTTAAATGTCCCCTAAAGGAAACCAACAGGATTAGAAAATTAGGCGGCTGGCAGGAAATGTAGAGGTTCACTACTTTTCAAACGCCTTAGTAGCTGAATGAAAAATGGTAGTTGCTAGGAGCCTAATCTTCCCCTTGCCCCTTGTGCATTTGCACAAGGTCAAAAATAATCCTACTTCGCATCCCAGCTCCATCTGGAACTTGGGGTGAGGAAGGTCATCCCTTTCCAGGTAGGTTGACTGAATTCTAGGAAAATTAAATGAATGATGAATTTTTAAAGCATGACTTAAAAGTTTCCTATTGCTATTTCTTCATGTTTCCTAAAGGTTGGTGCAAATTTGGCTACTAAACAATGTTAATTAACAACTAAACATAGTATTAATGTTGTTTCATTCTCATAATTAAGCCTTGCATCTCTTAGTAATACTGTATACATTTCGCATGCTTTCCTTTTTTTTTTTTATCTACAAAGGATATATTTTAAATATATTCCTATATAGGGTCTTTCTTACTACTAGCACCCATGAGTCTGCAATGTTAACAGCACAATCCAATTTACTTAGAAGTATATCCACTTGAGTTCAATGAGGACTTTCTTCCAAATAAGTGAGCACCAGACTGCTGCTTAAATATGGGAATATAGGAACCTATACAATGCACAATTTTATATTCTTTTTCCAGAGTTGCTCCTTCTGTCCTTACCCCCACAAAATGTAGCAAAGAAAAATGAAGTGCCCATGACTGATGCACTGAAGAATAGTTGATTGCTTTAGTCTGCCCAGAAACAGCTAACACAACCTTGTAAATAAATCCTCTAAAGTTAGTAGCCTGCAAGAAAATTACTAGCCTGAAATGTGCTGGCTAAGTCAGCATGGCTAGTAGCTAGGGAGTGGGAGTCTAACAACACCTGGAAGGCCATAGATCCCCCACTGCTGCTTTAGAGGAATATATTTTAAAATGCATCAGGACTTTAAGTGTTTAACACATGAGACATTGTGTTATCCTAATGCAGAGCTTTCCAAACCGTGTGTCGCGACATGTTAGTGTGGCAGCTGCATTATAATAATTTATTATTTATACCCCGCCCATCTGGCTGAGTTTCCCCGGCATTGTGTAGGTGTGTCACATGAAAGCTCCCCACGCTCCTCCCGGGACTAGAAAGCAGTTAGTTTGGTTTGCTAGTAAAACTGAATTGCTGTGCCACAAAATGATGCATGTCTAAAAAATGTGTCACCAACATGAAATGTTTGGAAAGCTCTGTTCTAATGGCTAGTGTATCAAACCTCAATATAATAATGTTTTAAAATAATCTAATGAAAACAGATTGCATTCTTACAATGAAAAATGACCTTAAGTTCCACAAGCAATTTCTTCGCTGCTCCATGACCTGACCCTGGAAGCTTTTGCATAGGCTCTCCTTTTTTATTTAATATTTCAATTCTTAGTGCTCCTATAAATAAAAAAACAGAACACCCCCCCCAAATACATTAAACACATCCAAGTGTAAGTTCTTTTCAAACTCCACTTGTCCATAAGTAATATTTAAATTACACTACAAATTAGATACACACATGGTCCATAGAAGTGGATTGGTAGAACATGATATTCCAACCCCCTTCTCTCCTTAGCAGCCTCTCCAAAAGTCAGAGAACCCTCTTGAAAGAGCCAGTGTGGTGTAGTGGTTAAGAGCGATAGACTTGTAATCTGGGGAACCGGGTTCACGTCTCCGCTCCTCCACATGCAGCTGCTGGGTGACCTTGGGCCAGTCACACTTCTCTGAAGTCTCTCAGCCCCACTCACCTCACAGAGTGTTTGTTGTGGCGGAGGAAGGGAAAGGAGAATGTTAGCCGCTTTGAGACTCCTTAAAGGGAGTGAAAGGTGGGATACCAAATCCAAACTCTTCTTCTTCTTCTTCTGTGTTGTGTTGGGGGAGACAAATGCTTGAAAATCAGGCAGAGACACTTTCCATAAGTGCTAGTTCCCTTCATGGAAGTTGCCTCTACCTGATTATTGATGACCCCACTTCCTCCTCAGTCTCCTGTGCCATAGCTCATATTATTCAGGAGGATCCTTTTAGGAGGTATGATGAGCTGCTGGTGGAAGGAATGTCACTTCTTTCTAGATCCAGCCCTTTATCATTAACACATACCTATGGTAGCTCCTGCAAGCTTAGTTTCATTTGGTAATAATTCATCTCCTTCGGGCCATGTTACTGACAACCTATCAGGAAGCCTAATTAAAAAAAAAGTTATTATTTACATTTTCTGGCACTGCAAGCTTTAATCAATTAAATCTGCTAGATTAACTCATTTAAACCATGTTGTGAACTGCAGGTGAAGGGCGGTATACAAATTTAATAAATATAAATAAACACAGCCTGCATATTTTTGAATTAACAGATTAGCTTTTCATTGGCTTATATAAACTTACTTGGAAATTTCCTCTTCAATGTATTTCTTCACTGCTTTGTTGGAAACGGAACGATCAAGTTTGCATATTGGTATAACCTTGATTTCATCATAGAGTCCCTCAGGTTCCTGAAAAGTTAAGCTACTTATTTATAAATGACTTCCGATAAGGAAGCATAGAATTAAATTATATCTGGATTCAGATACATAGAACTTTATATCATCATGGGCAGAACAATCCAATGAGGGCTGGAAGTGGTAAATCTGTGCCCCTGGAACCAACAAATCCTGAGTCTACCCAATCTCACGTTGGCTAGGGCAGAAGGTGCAGGGTTGGAAAGTAGAGGAAAAGAATTATGCTAGCATCAGGGCTGATATTCTTTCCCAGTCAGGGGAATTAGGAGGGTCCAAATCCTCCTCAGGTAAGCCTCCACCATGCTCTGCTTTTGCTCTCTCTACCATTGAAGCATTAATTGTGGTTCTATCTACAGTGCCTGTGAGGGGGTTTCCAAGAGACCCATAACATTCTGCAGTGGCTCCCTGCTTGTGGAATGCTCCCCCCAGGGAGGCTCGCCTGGTGCCTTTGTTATATAACTTTAGGTGCCAGGCAAAAACATTCCTTTTCTCTCAGGCCTTTGGCTAATTTAAAAAGCCATAGGTTGTATAGGGGTGGTTATTGCTTTATTTGCTACTGTGGTATGTATTTTTCTATTGTAAATTGCTCTGTGATTCTTGGTTGAAAGCTGGGCTGCCCTCCCCGAGACTGCAGGATTAAACGTTATATTAAATTCAATAGAAAATAATATATTATATAGTACAGTACTTAAGTACAGGGCTGTCACCTCTCTTTGCTGTTATCTAAGAGATATGAAGATCTGGGAGGAAAGTAGGTTAAAAGAACTGTTATGTATAATGGAGGGGCTAAAAGCCTTATTATCAAATAAAATGTGAAATGGGTCAAGTGCAGCTATCTTTTCTCTAATATCTCTAAATCAGACAAATAATAAACAAGCTAATAAAAAGCTGAGCATCATTTAGAGATTTGTACAAATTTTTAACAATTTTAGCTGAAATCGGTTTGACTTGCATATAATTACTGTATTTTTCACTCCATAAGACACACTTTTTTCTTCCTAAAAAGGGGAAATGTCTGTGCATCTTATGGAGTGAATGTGTGGTCCCTGGCAGCAGAGGAGCTGGGGACTTTGGTTCCCAGGGCAGCAGGGGCGTGGCACGTCGCCCGTGCGAGTGTCCTAATGGCGGCGCCCGCACGAGGGGGTAAGGAGAGGTGAGGCAGGGGAAGAGGGCTTTAGAATACGCTTTAGAGTTCCCTCCATCTGAGGGGCTCTGTGACTTGCATGAGAGCAGCCAGGAGCCAGCGCGGAGGGGGATCTTTCTCCCTCGCATGCTCTGTCAAATTGGGACGGGGAGCTTCCGCCAAACAATATATTTGCCTTTCACCCCGAGGCTTAGCTGCCAGATGCCCATGTGTGTCTGAAGGCTCTGAGGGAGATGTTGCCCAGAAGTAGAGGAAACGGGTCTCTTCATCCCTTGGATGAGCAAGCAAGGCTGGCAGGCAACACATCTGGATTATGTTTGCAAGGCAAGGCGTCAACCTTCAATTTTGCTCTGTTTTTGCTTTGCATTTTTATGTTGTGATCTTCGGATGGAGGGCAGTATACAAATTAACAACAACGCCTGATCTAGACAAGTGCTCTCTCTCTTTCCACCCCCCTCCCATGGCATCCTCTCTCCCAGGGAGCGGATGTAGTTGCAGCAGGAGTTTGCTGCGGCTTAATGCCAGGCCAGAGAGAGAGAGAGAGAGAGAGAGAGAGAGAGAGAGAGAGAGAGGCTACCGCCAGAGCCGAGTAATGTCTGAGCAAACATTGCCCAGGGAGACAGATGTTGCGGCCGGAGAATGAGGCTCATTGAAAAGAGCAGTGGAGGCTGTTGGTGCAGCCGCCAGGAAAGCCAATGAGGTTAGTTTCACTGCTGCTGCTGTTGCCGCCGCCTTTGGATACAGGCTGACTGAGCTGCAGGCTCTGTCCGGTTGCTAAGGCTCCAGCGGGAGAAGGTGCGTCTTATGGTCAGGTGCATCTTATGGAGCGAAAAATACAATCTTCATGGAAGACTTTCAAAGAAATTGTTACCTCTAATCTAATTAAATCACTTAATCAGTTTACAACTTTTGACTATTCACTTACCAAAGCTATCTGAACCTCTCCTCCTGTAGCATACACATCTCCATCATGATCTCCATATAGAAAAAATTTCCTTATTCTGCCATAGAGTAATGGAACTGTTTTAATTGTTTTTACCTAAGACACAAACAGAAGTTCTTTTTTTTTTTTACTGTACTCTTTACAGATTTAATTTAATCCTAGAAATAATATTTGGTGGATCCATTCAATCTGCATGAACATACAACAACAACAAAGACTAACTAACATACAGTGGTACCTCGGGTTACATACGCTTCAGGTTACAGACTCTGCTAACCCAGAAATAGTGCTTCAGGTTAAGAACTTTGCTTCAGGATGAGAACAGAAATCGTGCTCTGGCGGCGCGGCAGCAGCAAGAGGCCCCATTAGCTAAAGTGGTACTTCAGGTTAAGAACAGTTTCAGGTTAAGAACGGAGCTCCGGAACGAATTAAGTACATAACCTGAGGTACCACTGTAGTTCTATTTACTGTAATTCTTCAGTAGCCAAAAACAGTATTGGTAAAAGCATCTCCTGCATGCAAATGCAATTTGGTATGTAAAAGTTCTTCTCCAAGTGAGAACCCACTGCATGGTGAAATACAGAGCTTACACTATGTTACGAACTGGAGTTGGGGGTGGGGGTGGGGACTGTTTAAGAGGTTCCAAGTTTATTCCAAAGACACAGTGCATCATTTCTAAAAAAAACCTCTGTTTACCATGCTGGTTCAACGGCACAGAGTGTTTAGGGAAAAAAAGTTGTTTGCGGTCTATATTCTGTTAGGGGATACAGTAAAAACTGTTCTGGTTGGGAATAAACCTTCCCACGTATCATAGTGACAGGCATAGCTTGTTCGTGACACTAGCTGGATACCAACATGAAACTGGAACTTAAAAAAATATCACTGGGAAGAAAGTTTGTGTATTCATTATTTATAAAAGTTAATACTTTCAAAAACACTTATTTTCTCTCTTCTATCTTTTCATTTTGAAATGTTTTAAAAATAATTAAATTTAGTTGTGATTTTGAAACCCAAGCTGTTAGTAAAATAATGGAGCTTTCTGCAGTCTGCTCCAGCCTTGAAAGTAACAGTTCAATCTAGCAAGCCTTAGCAACCATTTATCTGAAATGTGTTTTCCCTACAGAGGCTGAAACAAAGAAGCAAGGCTGTGGGCTAATGGATGGGAGGTGTGAAGGTCAAGCTTCAGCCCGGTGATGCAGGTAATGTGGGCTAGACCCTAACTCTGAGCCTGAAGTATGTTTCCATGCATGTGAAGAGGACAATACAGAGACATTTTTTGTATCTAGAACCAGGATTTAATGCTGCTTTGCCATCTTATGGCATTCTGGATCCTGTGGGATAGAACTTTTTTGTCCATCCCATATCTCCATAAAAGTAGTTCTCCCTCTGATCCCTTTTGGAGAAGGCTACGCCAACCCACAGAGGCAACATGTGTCTTTCTCTCACACCTCACCATTTCCCTGTTTATCACTGCTGCAAGGATTTCCTGGGAAGGATCCTTGGTGTGGGTATCACAAAATCCTTTGTGGGGGATGGGGGTGGGCTAGTCTGCTTAGATAGGAAACTGGAAAGATGAGTTCTCCTATTTCCCTTTTCTGAGGGATAGCATTTCATTAGGGAGAGATACCACAGGCTGTGTAAAACTTGGTTAGGAGAATAAAGCTTTTACATGTTCGTGTTTTGAAAGTTTACTTGTCCTTATGTTCCTTTACAAAGGAAGTTCTGAGGCTGTGTGTCTCAGGTTTGATCACCTTGACACACACAGTGTGATGGCCTGGGATTCAGACTCAGAGGGTGAACCTGAGGAATCCCAGCCTGCACAGGATTCCCTGCCTCCAGAACCAGCTGAGCTGGGGCTGGGGCTTGAGCTCAAGGGTCCTAACCTGTGCTGGATCCTCAGGTGCAGGCACCAGCTGAGTCTGCTCTGGCTCCTGAGGTGATGGAGGACCCATTGCCTGCAGGTGCTCCACTCTCAGCCCTGTCAGGGGAAGCTGAGGTTGCCTCTGGGTCCGGTAACCCTCCAGCCTCTCCTGAACTGCAGAGGCTCAGGGCAAAGAGGCGGAGGGAACTAAGTTCCCGCAGGAGGAGTGCTCGCCTCCAGGCCAGGAGAGGCAAGTCACCTGTGGACCGGGGCCGCCCTATGCCTTGGGGCAGATAAAAGCCAGCCAGCCCAGTCCCAGGTTGTGGGAGCAACATTGTTGGTAGCCTGTTCCTGCCTGCTGGAGCTCCTGACCTCACCCAACTCCCTGCCTTGGACCCAGCTTCAGCTTTGACGGACTTCCTCCCTACTGCACCCTTGATCTCGGACTGGACTTGGACCTCGCCTCACAGTTACCCACGGGACCAGCAAACACAGCAAGGCTGACGCTTTTCAAGTTAACAGTTCAGTTCTGATCCCCAAACTGGGTTGTAGTAAGAGGGGGGAAGTCCTGTTTTGCAAGTGGAAACCCATGTGCTGATGGGGTACGTTTGTAGTTATCAGAGGCAACAGCTGGTAGTGATAATCAATAAATGCCTTGTTGAGACTTTTTTGCTGCCTTCAAAGTCGTCCCAGATTATCCCAACAGGCTTTGTTAATTTATAAAAACAATAAAATGGAACACATTAACACTGAAGAGGGGTGAGCATCAATATTCACCTTGGGTTGCAACACTCACCCACTCACACCTTGTTTGCCAAAACATTGTCTCATTCATTTTCCCCTTGAAGAAGCAGGCTTGCAATTTGTGGCTAGTCCTAGATTCAGCCTTGTACCTAGGCACGCATGTGGCTATTGGGCGCCAGAAGTGCCTTACCCCCTCATAGGCTGATGGGCCACTTATCTGAGATTAGGAGATGCAGCTACAGCAACAGATGTGTTAATTGCATATAGGTTATATTTCTGCAATGTGTTAAATTTGGGCTACGTTTGAACAATCTTTGGAAACTTCGATTGATTCAGAACACAACTGCAAGAATGAGTGAGCATGTTTTGGGGGGTTTAAGATCCAGCAGTGTTCAAACAGCTAACTTTACACATCATCTGCAACAGCTGTGTTGTTTGCTAATTTGTTTCTGGGCATAATTAAAGTGTCTATCTATCTACTGCTTGATTGCAATAAAACCACTAAGCCATTTACAAGGAATATTAGAATTATCAGTAAAAAAAAGTATTGTGACATCATGGGTTCATAATGATACTGTGATTTTAATTGTTCTAAGACACCCAGAGGGATATGTATGCATTACAAGGGTGGGGTAGAAATGCTCACATCAATAAAAACATTTAAAATATGTTTTTTACAGTAGCAATAATTGAATCCTAAATTAGCTTTTTATAACATAAAATAATATGTAACATCAATATTTTTGCCTGCATTATACAGGATAAGCAACAAAGTACTTCTATTTCCCCAGCAAACATTCTTTTAAAAGCATATTATAATTTTATTTATATTAAACTTTAGTTGCATTCAAATCTGTTTTAGGCCATCTTTAAAAAGTGTCATCAACAAGCAATTAACTTACCAGCTGCCCAGCTTTGTATGTCTTTCCATCCCATTCTATTGCCAAATATGTAGACCAAGGCCTCTGCAAGCGCTTAGAGTGCAGCTCAGTGCGTGTAATTATTTCTTCGAAGTGTGTGAATTTTATTTGTTTGTCATGTTTTTCATGGCACTCCTTGAGCCACAATGAAAAGTCTCTGTCAATTTTCATTCTTTGCTCCTGTGAAGAATTTTGAACATGTATTAGAGTAACTGTAGTTCAGCCTTTATGACTGTCTGAAGGTGCAGTCTTGTGCAGGCCTCAGCTTCAATTAGTCATTATTTAAAATTACGAAAGACAAGGTGTGGCAATTTTAATTACCCACAATGTTCCTGACCTAGCATCACTTGGCCACTGAGGGGAATTAAAAAGGTGACTAGACCCATCTGCTCAGTACTACTACTAAAGCCAGGTAAGCCTCCCAAGGTCCATTGATGAAGTAGGGAAGGAACCTACCAGAAAGTACTTTGCCCAGGGCCCCTTCAGACTAGGAGCCAGCCCCAACATTATGGTAACACATACCAAACTCCTCAAATACAATAGAAGTCTAAACTTAGGCAATGTAATTTAAAAATCTAAAGTAAGTCAATAAAAAGACAGAAAGCTCACATATAATGGTTCTCTTAATTTATTTATCCAATTGTGACAAGCAATTAAATTGAACAAGTATTACCTGTCCATTGAAGATTCTTGTAAAAATTGTGTTTCTGTCTTTTAACTTCAATTCCAAATCCATGAAAGTCAGTTTGTTTGTGCTGACCTGAAATCTGTCATTTGTAAATAACACACCAGAAATTCTGTTGTAACATTCAGATGGGGCAAGACCTCTCTTGGGCAGAGCACACCACTCAAAGCTTAGGGAGAAAGGCAATGATTAGAAACTTTTACAAAAATAATAAAAATAATAAAAATGTAAATTATTGCATAGGCATAATCTTACTTCTCAACAGTTGTGTATGGTATTAGTCTTCCATTCCAAAAACATTCAAAAATAGGCCTTTTCCCTCTTGCTCCCTTTTCTATTACATAGCATTCTTCATCATCATCATTGTCATCTTTTAATTCTAAATTGAAAAATGAGTGTCAAATTACAAAGGAATGCAAGGAAAGAAGACATTGTTCTCCAAAACAGAACATTAAACCACTATTTCTAATTATTTATTAATAAACTAATTATTATTAGTTTCCCGTCAAATATGCAGCAAACTAATAAAAGTTATTCAACACTGGTAAGTGAAGTAAAGTAAAGTAAAGTAAAGTTTGTACAGCTTAATACCCAGTGACCCAATAGGCTTCATGGTTTTCTCCCTTGTCATACAAAGCAGGAAACAGATCACCCTAAAAGTTTCTTTTTCTTTTTTAATGATATTTATTACTTTTTTAACATTTCCAACACAACACTACAAACAACAAAAAAGAAAAACAACAACAATGGAAATGCAATACAAAAATGCTACATGGACTAACAAAACAAACAAAAACAAGCAAAAACAATTTAAAAACACCTCAAACATTTTCAATATCTTATATTTCATTCACTTATTTCCAGCGACCTCCTCCCACCTCCCTTTTTGTATTCCACTTCTATTATTTGTTTCAGCAATTCCTTTCCATCTTACTCTGTTTTCTGTTCTATAATTATCTTAACACATTCTTGCCATACTTTTCCTTTAATTTTCTATTAATCTATTTATACTTAATTCCTTATGACATTTCTGCTAAAGCCATATAATTTCATTCCAACATTTTTCTAACATTCCTTAATTTTACAATATTTCTATAAATAGTCTTTAAACTTTTTCCAATCTTCTTCCACTGACTCTTCACCCTGGTCTCGGATCTTGCCAGTCATTTCCGCCAATTCCATATAGTCCATCAACTTCATCTGCCATTGTCCAACGCTTCAGTGTTTTCAAAAAGCAACCATTCTCTCAACCAGCAAAAGCAGATGGTTCACAGCAAAGTTTAAAGGTCTGGCAGGGCAGGTCCCCCTCCTTCTTTGGCATCCATCAATATCTTAAATTTTACTCGAGGCTTCCTGCCCTGCCAAACAACTCTAGGATCATCCCTCTGCCACCTCCTGAAACCCTCCATCCCATCCAAAGCTTGCAATGTTTGAAACAAAAGCAACATCCCCAGCAAAACAGCAGCCCTCATCCCCACCACAATAACTCGGTCCAACAGTAACAACTTCTGATTTGTCCATATTTCCAAATCCCCCTTCTCTTCAATCCAACATCCTTCACAGTTATCCTTAAGCAGATTCACATTTTTGGCGGTCATACTAACCCCCAAATACCTCTCTTTCTCAACCAATGTTAGTATCGCCTCCTGAAACTCTGTCAAGTTTTCCTTTTCCAATTCAGATAGGGCTCTGGTCCTCAAATTCATCCGTTCTTCTTTAAGTTCAATCATAACGAATGTCAACTTATGCTCGTCAAGTTGTCTTTGTATGGATGGGACTCTCCTCTCCTGTTGTATTGCTTTAGATTCAGCAGCAAGGGTTTTTCCCCTAACTTCATCTGCAGCTTGCCATATCGAAGTAGATTCCTGTGTCAGTTTCTGGGTGGTTTCTGAATTGGTATTCACCTTTTGTCCCAAGTTATTTAAACTTTCTACAGTTGAATCAATTTCAATATTTGCAACATCCAATTTCACATTTATCGCATCTGTTTTCTAGTGGAGTTGTTCCAGCGAATCGTTTATTTTCAATAATGCAGCCACTAAGGCCTCCTCTGTCGACATCCCGTCTGTTTTTTCCTTTCCATTTGCCATAACACTTAAGAGATTCAAGGTCAATTCCAAAGTCTCACACTTTTTTATCTTGCAGCTGGCAATTCCCCTAGCCCAGCTCCTATAGAGTAACCAATTTCAAAAGCTTCCACTAGGGGAAAGCGCGTTGTATTTGTATCGGTCAGTATGTCCTCTTTTAAACACAGTTTCAATAATCCTAAGTTAGTTTCATTTTTCAGTTACTTTCCTCCTTTTTTAATAAAGTTCAATAAAGTTGTTTCAATTTTCCATTACTTTTACTCCTTTTTAAGTGCAGACGAAGACAATGGAAACAATATATCTCTCTTATGCTAGCTGTCACTGTACGTTCTATTCGCTGTCAAGGAACCTTCCAAGACACGTCGGTCTTACTAGCAGCCCGTTTCCAGGTTTGGAACGGTGGTATTTTAACTTCCTTCACTCACTCCTGCAGGGATACACAATCCAAAGCCTCCCCCCTCTTCTCCTGCTTCCAACGGGGGTTTAATATTTTTTACTGATGAGAATTTAGTCCTTTACAATAGGCTTTCCAAGACTTTAGCTTGCAACCTCTTTGCCTCAGTCTTATTTACAAAAAGGGGAGGTGGACTTCCTGTTTTGAGCCTCCCCGTTTCGGTGCCAAATTAAGACGTTTAAAAATCCAATTCTTCACTCTACTCACGGGTAGTTACTTTAAGATCAAATTGTCCACAGGAAAAAGTCAGCACTCTCCGGCAACAGCTATGCGGCTTCGCTCCGTGGAAGAAGCAGTCGATCCGAAGCACCGTGCCGCTCACCCCACGTCGCTCCGGATCCCCGAAACCGGGTTTCCCCGCGAGTAGGGGAGGCGCAAAAGGTGCCCGCCAAATCTCACGTTGACAGGCTTCACCCGCCTGTGATTTTTAGTGGGTCTCCGCCTTCGCCGTGGCGGCCAGACCCGAATTTCCATGAGGCAAATTCCTCCCGATCAGAGGAATTCCGCCATTGCCGGTGGCGCCAACCCGGAAGTCTCCAGATCACCCTAAAAGTGATCACCCTAAAAGTTTCAGCCAAACGTCCCCATTAACCTTAGGTGCACTTTACAGCATAAGAATTTCAGGTTGTAGAATTATATATATATGTAATTATAGCCCTGTCCTTCGCCATGTAGCCTGCCCTAAGGCAGGTTACCTTCAAGCTCAATACTACAAGTTAACTAAGTAAAACCTAAACAGTACTAGATCATTAAGCTGAATGAAGAGCGGACAGAAACAACAACATTGCAGTGAGGGATATTCTAATCTCATCCTCCAGTCCCAATTGCCAGTGCAAAAATGTGTGGCTTGACCAGTTGTTGAAATGTATACAGTGATGAAACCAGATGCACCTCAGAAGGCATTCAACAGCCGAGTGGCTACCATAGAGAAGGTCTTCTCAGGTACTGCCACTTCACAAACTTCACAGCACAGCAGAACTGCCAACAAGGCCTCCCTTGCAGATCTCAAAAACTGGCGCCGGGCTCCTGAGGGTCGCGCAGAGCTGCGCGGAGCCCGGGAGGGCAGGCAGCTCTGCGCAACCCTCTGGAGCAGAGCTCCCTTCAGCGAAAGCCTGTATTCGCCCCATAGGACGCACACACATTTCCCCTTCATTTTTGGAGGGGGAAAAGTGCATCCTATAGGGCGAAAAATACGGTACCTTTAACTGGGCTCACAAGCACACAGGCAACCAGTGGAGGCACGATGTGCACCTGACCATTTGTGCCCACCAGCACTGTGGCATTCTGCACTGACAGCAACTTCCAAACCAGCAGCTCCACAGAGAGTAAGTAAAAACTGTCCAGTCTTCAGGTTAACAGAGCATTGAGCCAAGTTACCTCTTTCCATGAAGGACTGTAGTTGACAAACCTGTCAAGACCAGTAAGTAAGACACTTCTATGCACTGAAGCTACCTAGGCACATTTCCCCATACTCTTTTGGAGAGGTGAGACATTGCCATACCTGCTGTGGCAGTATGCTTGTACTGCTCAGTATCAATGAAAAGGTTGCTGGTTATGGTGGAACCCTGGTAGACAAAATTGTCTACCACCTCAAGCATGTTGTCACCCATGCTGATTTGTTGAGTGCTGGCGACGTCCTGACCCAGGATGTTGGTCTTCATCATGCAGGCTTGGGCAAAACAGCTGATGAGACTCTGGAGAGCAGAGCTTTCCAAACTGTGTGTTGTGACATGTTAGGGTGTCAGCTGCAGTATGTAGGTGCGTTGTGTAAACTCTCCCCACTCTCCTCCTGGAGCTGGAAAGGGCTTAGTTTAACCTCTGGTTTGCTAGTAAAACTGAATGACTGTGTTGTGATATGATGCAGGTTTAAAAAGTGTGTCACCAACATGAAAAGTTTGGAAAGCTTTGCTGTAGAGCTTCCTCAGATTGTGCTGTCAAGGTTGTGTCATCTTCAAACAGCATCTCCCAGATAATAACCCACCACACTTTTGTCTCGGCATCAAGATATGCCAGGTTGAACAGACCCTCTTGCTTCTTGAATGGACATGCACATCATCTGCAGTCAATCTGGAGGCATATGAGAGCAACAGGGAGAAGAATATGCCTAAGAGAGCTGGGTTGAGAACACAGCCATTCTACACACTGTTATTATTATTATTATTGGGGAGGCATCTGAGAATGAATTGTCATACTGGACGGTGCCACACATGTTCTCATGGAAGGAAACAATCATACTATAGTGCTTAGGTGGGTATGCTATCTTGTTGAGCAGTGTGAAGTGTCCTTTTCGGTTGACGAGGTCAAAGGCCTTCATCAGGTCTATGAAAGCAATTTACATGGGGCAATAGTTCCCTATTGCTACTCTCTGGAAAAAGTCAAAAGGCAGAAGTGAAACCACTTCAGTGCAGTGTTCCCCGCTCCCAAGCTAAAGAGCTGCACAAGGAGGATGCAAAATGTAGCCTTCGTTATTAGTACATCAATGAGAAATAGTATGAAAGTTACCCAACTTACTTGAAGGAAAGCAAGGATCATCAGGATAGGTTTCTTTATCATACAAGAAAGGGTGATAGCGTATAACACCTTCCACTACACCGTCTCCTTCAACTTTCGCCTTGAACTCAAAACTATCCGCTGCTGTACTTATATATAATGTCTGCATATCATTGTCAATTTCTCTAAGATTCACAATCTTAGGTGTCTTCCCTTTTTCATACATTGAAATCTACAAATAAACAACAAATAAATGCAAGTTCCTCCTATAAATGTTGTTTGTTGCCACGGTCATCAAGAGGCAGAAATAATACAAACTTAACAACATGCTCCAAGATTTGTGCAAACCAGGAATCAGGAGAATCTGTGCTCCCCAGTAACTTATAGCTTATAGGAATGGTAGTGACAGGGCTGTCTAAAGGTTAGAGCCATGAATGGAGCTTTATCTCCTTGCAGGGCAGATGTACACAATATGAAGTGGGTAGGATCCAGAGGTTCCCACTGTTCAGTGGGTAGGATTACTTATGCTAGCAGATAGACACTTCTGTTTATGCAAGGAAGGGACAATATTTTCCACTGGCATCCCACTGCATCATTGCTCATGCTGTTCCCTGAACACCAGAAACAATGCAGGGAAAGGAGGAAATAGGAAAGCCCTGTTTTGCAAGTGTAACACTTTGGATAGTACCTGGTTCTAAGCAAATGTAATTATTTGCAAACCAATGTATGTAGATCCCACCTCAATATCAATATTGTTGAAAGTTCTTGCTTCCTTCATTGGCAAATTAATTTCATTTCCTTTTGGTCCATGGATATAGTAATGGTATATGTGTCTGTAAAAAAATGGTATATGTGTCTGTTAAAAGTTTGAATAAAATACATTTACAAAATTGGTACACTGTTGAATAATCAAGCAGGCATTTACTTCAAGTTAAGTTATAAAATGGGCACCCCACAACTGGCAGCTGGAAACCTGAAAGCAGCACTAAGCGTACTATGCACTAATATAGACTAGTATAAATTTATAGTAAATTCAATTAATAAATGATTTGCAGAAACTGCACAAAAAAATCTTAAGTAATGCAAGATTTGAGTCAATAGCATTTGAACATATTAACTATTTTAACAAACAACTCACGATAGTAGCCTCGTCCAATGGTTAAAATTGTTTTTCAGGTACTGCACGTGTTCTGGCTGTACTCCTGTAATAACTACTGCAGTGAAACCTTCTTTGTCTTTTTCTTCCATGATAAGATTGTGCAGGAATCGTTCATCATCATTAACAATATGGGAAGAGTCAGATGGCTTTGAGAAATAGTTTTAAAATAAAATAAAATAGGTCACTTGACTGGAATTGTAATCATAATCTGGGAAACAACTGCTCTCATCTTTCTTGTCCAGCTGCTTATCAGAAAAGATAAAACTTGTTGGTACAATTAATTTCCCAACAACTGCCTAAACCCTGGTAGCTACTTGTTAAGTACTAAGATGACCTTTTTTCAAGTATTTTGTATAACTCAACAAATAATTTAAGTTCCTTACCTTTCTGTTTACAATGTATCCCTTGTATATAGCTTCTTTGTTTTTCTCTTTCTTTTCAAAATCTTCTTTAGAAAGTACAAGCTCATGAACATCTTTAGAATCTGCAGGTTTGCTTATCATCTGTTCAAGATTTAAAAATTTTAAATAATAAATACAGTGGTACTTCGGGTTACATATGCTTCAGGTTACATACGCTTCAGGTTACAGACTCCACTAACCCAGAAATAGTACCTCAGGTTAAGAACTTTGCTTCAGGATGAGAACAGAAATTGTGCTCCAGCGGTGCAGCAGCAGCAGGAGGCCCCATTAGCTAAAGTGGTGCTTCAGGTTAAGAACAATTTCAGGTTAAGAATGGACCTCTGGAAGGAATTAAATACTTAACCCGAGGTACCACTGTAGAACAGTTTCAGAATCACAAGAGAAGCCACCTCTGTCAAAAGTGCACACAAGATGACAAGAAGGGACCATCAGTATGCATTTCCCCCCAATACAGCACCCAGATATAGAATTCACCCCGTCTCATTACTATGTCGTATTCAAGACAAAGACTGCCTTCTCTCCACCAGCAACACAGAGTATTCTCATTCATTTTAAGTGTGTAATATCCAGTGTTTGAGACCAGCAGTCCCAATTGCCAGACTGTGGTTCATGTAGGAAAACTATTGTTACCAACTAACAGCTGGGAGGCAAAGGGGTCCTGTTCGTTTACCAAAGGCCATGAAGGGTGTGGGTAAGCCAAACCAGTGTTCCCAATAACTGCTAAGTGGACAGGCCTCCTTTCTAATAGCCAATTGGTGACAATGGTCTGATGATTTTCCTTATGACTACTGTATCAGCATGGGGCACACTTTACAGGTATGCTGCATACAGAAGCAGGAAAACACAGCCAGTTGCTAATCTAGGTTAGCCAAGAAGTACCACATAAAATGGCTAAAATTGTAAAAATATAAAATGTTACTTACTCTGGTAGACTGTCCAACAAAAAACACTGCTTGTTTACCACCAACCCCAAAATATGATATGTCACTATTTAAACTGCGGGGTACAGCTGAAGGACGTACATATCCTGAATGGTCACTAATAGCAAAAGAAATAGCAGAAGAAATAGCAGAAGCTGTTAAATATTCAAGTGTGAGTATATCAGACATTACTGAAAACTTTTCCAATTAATAACAATACCAAGCAAGAACACGTAATGCTTACTACTAACTAAACATTACAAAATATCTCCATTATATATTCATTCAAATATTCAGAAACATTGATTTGCTTCCTGGTAATTACTAAAGTATTTAAAGTGGTTGACAAAGTTATCAATGTAAAAACTACATATCTTAACAAAAGATAAAAGACTTGAAATACTGAGACCTCAAAGTATAATTATTTGGACTTTTTGTTAGCTGTTTCAATTTCTCAGCATTTAAGAACTACGGGAACTTTTTAAAACATGTCCTGAGAACACTGAATTCTTACACAATGAAATTCACCAATTTTATACTTAAATACCATTGAAATTAGAACATCCTAACCTTTCCATATCACTTTGTCGTGTAAACTTTGATAACCGATACACAGCCCAATTATTCAGTTGTTTAGAACTCATGCCTCTTCCATTATCAATCACGGCAACGGCTGGTTTCCCTTGAGAGTCATCAAATAACTATTTTTTAAAAAGAAGAAGAAACAGTATATGATGATTCTATCATACAATAACCCTGCAAAACACTGGAGTAGCTCCTTAGTTACTTACCAGCTTTAACTGTATTCTCCGGACGGCAGTATTTTCAGAAGTAGCTGATAAAGAGTTATCAATTAATTCTGCAAGAGCAAACGCTAAACAGAAAAAGAGAGAAATGTTTGCTAATAATTAAAATTATTAACAAAAATTAGAATATCCACTTTTGACATGTTCCTGAAAGGCAACATACGATACAAGCTATACCTTATCTTCTTTGCTTCTGAAAAGAGGAGTATCTTTCTCTCTGACACGAGAGGTAGTGACAGATGGCTATTAGAAACTTGACAGAGACTCATTCATATAAGGATTACACTGAATTTTGGTGTCATACTGTAAGTTCAGGTAATGTCTTCTGTTGGGACAATTTCCCAGTCCCAGTCAGCATTTTAGATCAGCCATCCATAATATAATTAGCAGTATTCTGACCTGAGTTCCCCACATACCCAACAACCCAATGTGAGGTGCTATGCCAATACCAGAGATTATAGGACACTATAGACTGGTACAGCTGTTCAACACATTAAAGTATGTTGTTGGAGAGCTTGAGGGGGAGGCAACTTTTTAGGAGTTGTAAAGTGTGTATGCTATTAAAGGGAAAAGAGGAAGATGGATAGGAAAAGTTTGTTTTAATCCCGATGCTATTTTTTAAAGATTACTTTAAAACTAACTTTATTTTAATTACAGCTTATTTTTTAAATCTATTGCATAGTATTTAATAGCAAAACATTGGTCTTAACAATACAACGTACTAATTGACTGTGTGCCATACAGTTACAGTTCAAAGAATACCTGATATACTTACGAAGAGGATTTTGTCCTTCACTAGCATAGTATTCATACATTCCACTTTTCACAAGTGTATCATAATGTGGCAGGAAATCAATACGCTCTTTTGTTGCAGAGGGGAGTGACTGGTCAACTGATTGTAGCAAATAGAAGGTCATGCCATCTTTAACCATTCCCCCTACAACACATATATGAAATAAAAATCCAACTTCATTTTTCATACTGCTGTTTAAATATATTTTATTTACTTATATGTTTATTTCATAAAATTTATACACAGTTTGAGCGTAAAAAAACTTCACAGCAGTTTACAAAAAGATAAAACACTACAATTGCCTAATGAACAATTTCCAGGGAATGCATTGTGTTCAGAAAGCAGGACCTGCATGTACATTGTTTTGATTACTTAGTACAAAGCTTCTTTCCCCTTAGACTTGCAATATAAATTACTTAGCTTGCATTTTATAAAAAAACAATTTAGTAATGAAATCAGATATTCAATTAACAAGGGATATTAATTTTCAATTGCTACTACATGAAAGTTAGCACGTAACTTTTGTGTTATTCTTTTAAAAAATTGATTTCCATACACAGAGCATAAAAATATTTCCCATTTTTGATTTTATGTTTTAAAATCCTGCTATGTATACAGAAACTAATTAGTGTTCTGATAAAAAATAGGAGTCCTGTAGCATCTCAGAAATAAACAATGATGGGTGAGGCATGAGTTTTCATGCACTTTCGCTACTTTATCAGAGAGCATTTGGGTATAGACTGTAACCATTAAGAAGAACTTACGTACCAAAGTTTTCATTTGTGATCTGTATTCTATTTGTGGTTGTGACAATAAAAGTTTCTTTGGAGGAAATGCCAAATACCTACAAAGGCAAGTTAAATATTAAATTAGAAGGGTGGAGGGAGATAAAGCAGAGCTCAGGGTAAAAACATTCAAAAACCTTAAGAAGTGTCCTATAAACCAAAAAGGTTTATATAGTCCAGGATGCACTTTCCTTTAACAATGCCTTATTGTTGCCCCGAGCAACTGGCACTGAAAGGCATATTGTACTTGAACCTGGAGAATCTGTTTAGCTGCCCTGGCAAATGGATACTGAAGATACTTCATCCATTAATTTCTCTAATCCCCCTTTAAAGCCATCTAAACATTTTTGTAGGAGAAACTCTGTAAGGCTATTGGAGCACATTAGACCCTTTCCATTCTTTACTATAAGCCCAGTATTTCATGTAGGCACTTTTTTGTTTCAGCTTAATTTGTTTTATAAGTTCACTTTTATAAGTCCTTGGTTTTTGAACAGCCTAGTTCTTGAACGTTTTGGCTCCTGAACGATCGAAACCCGGAAGTGACTGTTCCAGTTTTTGAACATTCTTTTGGAAGCCAAATGTCTGACAGGGCTTCCGTGGCTTCTAAATTTTTCTCTTTGCAAACATTTTCATTTCTCCATATGATATTGTACGTTACTTTTATAACCAAGATCTTATTACTTCTTGTAATATGGAATGACACATTTTGTTCATCTCATAAATATCGACAAAGTTTTATTCAGCTTTGCCTGCAGTCTTCTAAACTTTTAAGCTTAAACTACAGACTAGAATGACTAGAATGCAGTTTCGATCTGCCCTAGAGAAAGTCTCTGAGCACCTAATCAAAACACTCTTCCTGCGTTTGTTTTACACTTTAATTAGAAGTATTGCATCAGAACATCGTTGGTAATCATTTCTCAGCAGACCTCTATATTGAACAACAAGTCCAAAGCTGAGATGTAGCCTAGTATTGATAAAGTTGTATACAATTATCTTCACTACTGCAGGAAACAGCATGGTTAAGAGGAATATAGTAGTTCTGGGTCAGTGTGCTAATCAGAAGGTTGGTTGTTTGAGCCCACCCGGAGAAGACTGTCAACAGATTTATTGCACTGTAGGGGTTGGACTGGACTAGACCAACCCTCAGAATCCCTTCCAACTCTACAATTCTATGATCCCCAATGCTGCCACTTTCCCTCCCTCTTATTCCCCTTTCTCAGCTCACTCTTGCAAACAAATCATCCCCTCCCACCATTTCCATGTCTCCTCCTCTCTCCTGTTTTGCATCCCCCTTTGCACACACTTCCAATACTGATGTATGCTGCTGCATCTTTAAGATGAACAGAATCTTAAGAGCAAGTCTGCTAGATAGTTTGTTTAATTACAGAATGTTATGTTCCATTGGTTGACGTCAGGGTGGATTTGATTTAAATCAAATTGATTTAAATCACTAGTCACTAAGACTTGATTTAAATCATTTTTTTACAGAAATACTCATTCTTGCTGGTATAATCTTAATATTTACAACCAGATGAAGGTTTCATTTTTGGAATAACAAATCAGAGTATTTACAGTTATATAAAAAATTACTGATTTGGTTATACTATTAGAAATACACAGACAGATAATTATGAAAGTATTGTGAGGTTTAATAAGTTAACTGTTTATATTTGGACAACTTTCCTGAAGTACTTTATTGGAAGGAGAAAAATAATTGTTTCCTTAATAACAATTTAAACAATTTATTTAACTTAAACAATGACATTATAGCATATGTATCTACGTTTGTTAACTGACGTGGTTAAACTTTTTTTAAAAAGAACTTTGAGTTTTAGCACACATTAAAAAAACTTAAAACGAATCCTTATTTCCAGATGAATAGCCTTTGGACTATAATGTAACTTAAATAGAAAACTATATTTAGAAATATTGTCCATCCAAAAACATTTTATTTTAAAAATCCAATTTAAATAAAAAAACCCAATTTAAATTTAAAAGATCATTGATTTGTATCCACCCTGGTGGATGTTGCACACATGGGTGTTGTTTGTTAATAAAATACCTGTAATAAATTACACACTGAATCATGAACTTCAAACTGAAGATAACACATGGTACCAGGAATGAAACAAATTGTGTGAAAGTTCTATAGAATATTCAAAGTGGGCTCTTCATCCTCCATCTCTTTCACACAAGGCAGCTGAAGTACCAAAGAGTAAGAACTTTGCAGAAGGGCTGCTATCATTAGGCCAACTTAGGGCGCAGATATCACAGGGGCACAGTGCTGACCTTTGAGGGACACAGTTTTATACAGATTAGTTTGTTTTTTCTTATATATTTCTGATATTTTAATTTATATTTATATTTTGAATATTTTTATTATTTTTGAAGTAATTCATACATCAGAACTGTTTTTATGTATATATTAGTATTTTGAGGTTGTTGTTGATGGCATCCGTCTGTCTTGAGATATAATGTAGTGCACCTCTGGGGGTAAAGTCAAACTGCTGTGTTAGCAGCACTGAAGTGACCTGCGTGAACATGGGCATATCCAGGCTTTATGTTGGGGGCACAGAACCTCAGTTAAGTATTTTAATGGATTTACTTGATGGAGGGGGCAGTTGTCCTCCCTGCCCATGCCTTATGAGGTTATCATAAGAGAACACTTCTTGGGATTTGTTCCACTAAAGGAGACTACAGGTGTTTTATGACAGAAACTCTTATTGGACAGTTCGAGCAAATGGATTACCAAATGAGAATCTGTGTGCTCAAAGTTATGTTAATGGGAGTAACATTAAATGCAAAGAAAATGGCATACAAAAGAGTCCTGGACGTAAATCCATGTGCCTTTTTGTGCCCTGCAATGCACACATTTTAAACTTGGTAGTCAATAATGCTGCTAAGTGTTGTCTAGAAGCAACTAGTTTCTTCAGTTTGGTTCAATGGATCTATAATTATTTCTCTGCTGAACTGAAGAAACACAGTTTTCAACAATGGCAGACATTTGATTGGAGCAAGGAGGGCACTGAGGGGGAAAGTGGTTACTTGAAATAAGGCTTCAGTAAAAAGGGAGCTTGACCAGGCTCTGTTACAACAGCTTCTGTACTGAAGCCAGCTCTGATTGTCAAAACATTAAAACAGCGATCTCTCCGGACCTTTCCCACCACTTTCGGTTTCGTGTCCTTCCCTTCTAGCTCCCATGCCAAAGGCTGCTGCGCTCGTGCTGCAACCCGCTTTCTCTTACACCCCCTTCCCCTTGACTTCGTGCAAATCCAAGATGCCGATGAGGCGCTGCAAATCCTCCAATGATGAGATTTTTATTCTTAGAGTGAAAGAGACAAGAAAAACAAGCATCCACCCGAAACAGCCCAACAGACTTCTTTGCCAAGCCGCAAGTTCACAGTGAGGGACCTGCAGGGCGAGCATTTCCTGCTCCTTCTCAACATGACAGCTCTGCTCCTCCCGAGCGGGCCATCCTCCCTGCACGCAAGAGACACTCGCGCTCTCGCTTCACACCGCCACCCGTCAACCTCGCTCAGCCGCCGGGCCATTTCGCGCCTTTTCGCCCACCCGTGTCAAGAGAAGCCCCCACACCCCGCGCGCGATTCGCCGCCCCCACCCCATCCCCGTGTCAGAGAAGCCACCGGGCGCCCTCGAGTCCGGGCTCTTCGAGCACCCTACCAAAAAGCGGGCTGGGTTGCTGGCTCCCCATCCGTCGCTTGCCCGTTATGCCGTGACGCATTTTTGCCCCCTTCTCCCCCCCCCCCCCAGCCCTCACAAGCGCTTTCTCACCTGGCACACGGCGCTACGGAAGGCGCCGTAGTTTCCCTCAGGACACTTCACAACTTTGTCTTCGCCGTCCGAATCCGCCTGGCGCCGGTCGAACACGTAGACAGACAGGACTTCGCCGCCGCCGCCGCTTTCCCTCTCTGCCGTCTCCTCTGCCGCTGCCATGTTGACTGACAGTTCCCTGCGAGCGAGCGAGCGAGCGAGCGCCTCAGCTCAACCACCCAGCCGCCCGCATCCGCCGCCGCGGCTCGCCCAGCTCAGAGCAGCAGCGGCGAAGGCAGAGGAAAGGGGCGGGGCGGGGCGTGGATTGGGGCGGGGCCTGAGTCTGCCCGAGGGGGCGGCGCCCCGCTGCGGGGAACAAAACCCAAAGAGTGAGGCGATTCGGACGGGGGGCGGAGCGAGGGAGGGGGCAAACCCGGAAGCGAAAGCGCTCGCGGGAGTTTCAATCCGGCGGCTGTCAAGGGGGGTCCGGCCCGTTCTAGTTCAAGGACGTCACGTCCGCTGTGAAACGCACCATGGCAACTATTGTTCTGGCCAGGTCGGAACCCGGCTCGCTCGAGAATCGAGGGCGCGACCGCCGCTGACGTGAAAAGGGGGAAACGAAACCGTCGCTATTCCGCTGGCCGTTAAGTTACTCCTGATGGGAGGGAGTGTTTCCCCCCAGGTGCCCTTCCCAGTGATGGAAAAGTCCTTTCTCTTTTCGTAATGCGTGTTGGATCAGCGGGCCTATGCCATAGTGGCCTAGAGGACAGCAGTGGAGGATTTCCCTATTTGTGTGACAGGATCGAAAGGCATGTGGGGAAAGGAACCAGCTCATTTATATTCACAGGCTGGTGTTCTCCTGGATTCACTGCTGTACCTGGAATGTCATGCAGCATGTCATGCTACCCAGCAGCACTTCTCACCAAATTTGGTGACGATTGCACGGCCCTTCTTTCATTCTTAGCACCTTTCAATCTAGACTGGTCTGTTGCCAATCTAATGTAGATTGATTTGCCTTTGCTGCCCACATCATGCACCTTTTGCCTGGTTACGCATTACTCCTTCAATCCTATACTGGCCTCCTTTCTATTTCCATATCCCATTCAAACATGTTTGCTTACTTTCAGAATTCTCCAAGGCCTTCCCACTCTTACCTTTCCGTTATTAAAACCATAAATGTTACCTTCACACAGATTACTGCATCACTGTTAGCTGTTCGAGTTTGCTGCTCCCTTAAATAATTGCTTTCTTCCTTGCTGTTCCTATACCTGTAACTGCTTCCATTACTTCCTTACTTTCTTCCTTCAAATTCCTCCGCCAATCATAGCTTTTCTATGAAACCTTTGACACAATCCCTATTGCCCAGAGGAGTTATGTCTATCTAGGGTTACCTTATTTCCTTTCCTCCCCCATTTGCTCTACTGTGTGAATTTCTACATTAAGACCCTGGAGCCGGAGAGTAGTGTCTCATACTTTAAAGTGCCATTCAACCACATGGCAGCTTTGAAACTTCCTTCCTAGAGCAGCTTGGCTAGTACCAACATGGCAATCCAAGCCTTTCTTATTTATAGGACAAGAATTATAATATATTAAATAAAATCAACTTATCTACCTTTTATTGTTATATTTTTTAATATGGATGTGTGCTACCGAGAAATGGTATCAATCTGTGGGTACTAAGTGCTTGGCTTTAATAACTGTTAGAAATTTATTAGAGCCAATACATTAGAATGGGAAAATAGCCAGATCCAAATGTGTATTAGGGGTAGGAAGAGGTGTGGTGGACCCAGGGATAGGCATCAGTAATTAGCAGATAAAAGCTAGTTAAATAGGCACACTTTCTGGGTTGTGTATTAGACATTATAATCCTATCCAAATAAACAAGTGTTAATGAAGTCAGGCAAACTTCTTTGTGAGGGGACCACCTGGTGGGATTAACCATTAGGAGTTCAAAGCATCAAAGGAAATAGGTGTTAGAATACAAATGAATGGAGTCCTCCCTCTGTAGATAAAAAGGGCTTGATTTAGGGGAGGGTGGTGGAGTGATGTCACTAGAAGCAGGGAGAAACAGTTAAGCTCAGATGTGCCCTGCAGAGGAAGAGATACTTCAGAGAGAGGATGCTGGTACTATGGAATAAGCTGGCACATGTTGGGGTGCTGCTGTCAGCTGGGGCAGGACAGCGATGCTCTAGGGGACTTGGCAAGCAGACAGAAACCCCTAGTAATCATATAAAATCTAGGAATAAAGAAGAATTTCCTATTTCTCTCTGTTATGACTCCATTTTTTTTGTTAAAACTCTATTATTTGATATTAGCTGTGCTCTTTAGCAATCTATAAACTTTCACTAACCCCTCCCAGTAGAAAAAAAGTTTTAAGTAGAAGTTAAGAACATTCTGTGTTCAAATGTGAAAGAATAAGAAGTTGAATATACATGAAAGAAGTATGGCTAGTATTGTTTAATCTCTAATGTAAATAATGGATATATTAGTCATGGATCATTAAGAATAGATGTTTGTAGACAGTTTAAAAATAGAATAATTAATCAGAAATAAATGTCTAATAAACTAATAAATAATAAAATTAGACATTGAAGGATGGCAGTGTGTAACCACACTATGAGAAGGTTGGGATGGGTTAGTCAGAAGAGAATAAGGCTCCGATTGCTCACTGTGTAATACCGGTTTAAGAAAATAGAGCTTTGAACCTTCATTTGTGGTCTGGTTATTTGTCTTAATTGTTGCAAAGAAAGACCACAGGTTGTGGTCTGGTTGTTCATCCTAGTATCTTTGCATCCCCCTTTTGCAAAGAAAGATTCCCAAACTGTATCTCATACCTGATCAACTTGGCACACACAGCAAGGCTGTTGTTCAAAGTTCACTATTCAGTTCCATCCCCAAAGTGGCATATGACAATTGTGCCGCATCCCAAGAACTCATGAATCGATCTTCCTACCACTTCTGCTAAACAAGGAGGCCCTTTTTCTGATTTTACATTCTTGCAAAACCTGCTTAAGGGTAGGAGTCGTCTGAAGCAGCATGAGCAGCTTAATGTATGAAGAAAATCCACACACACAAAAATCCTCCCTATCCTTTTAGCAAGCGCCTCCATTGCATTGAAGGCCCTTTTTGTTCACAGAGCAGTGCCTTAGGATCCTGTATGATTGTACAATATGCAGGAATACCAGAGAACTTTGCATTTCAATTCATCTCTGTACAAACAATGTCATGGGTATTTCTGAAGAAAGCATGGTCACCTTCCACTATGTGCTCATAGCTTATCTTAGTAATAGTGGTTTCACCTTGAAAAACTTTGGTGACCTTCTTAAGGACCAGGAGAGTGGCCATCATTCATATATTTTAAAAACCACCATAGCATATAGCACAGGGTAGCAAGCAACATCTATTTAATAAAGGTAACTATGGATAACACACAAAAATAATACACAAAAATAGGATAATACAAATGATGAAAAGTATAAAATTTAACAAAACATGTACATGTTATTAAACTCTTCAGGGAACTATACAAATTAGTAGTTTAACAGATAATTTAGATAGTGCTAAATAGCTCACTAGACCAAGTCCCAACCCTTAATTGCCTTTTGAAATTACTTAACCCAATATTAATAGGAAAATAGTTATATGTGTCAAAAAACAAGCTGGTATAAGAACAGTCTTTGTATCTACAGTTTGTTTTGTATATTGATTTTGGTATGTCATTATAAAAAACGAAGCCATTTGCCTGCAAGAATATTTTTGAAGAAGGGCTGCAACAATTTACAAAAAGTGAATGAGACAGATAGCATCTTAGAAAAGGTGTAGTGTGTACGCCTATCCATGATGCTAAGTCCCATTCAAGTAAGGACATTAAACGAAGTGAGGGATATTAACAGCATGTGACAACACAGTACCAGATCAACACAGCTTTTTTCTTTTTTTTAAAAAAACTTCATCTTTAAAATACTTACATACCAAAGTGGAATATATGGAAATAAAGTAAAGTTAAGCATAGGATAATGTTATTTGTAAAAGATTCAAATAGGTTTTCACGCTTATTTTTCTGAAGCATACAAAGTCTCGACTTTCTTTTTGTAACTATTTAGGATTTCTTTCAAGTTTGCCAATGGATCTTCAGACATCAGTTTACCAAATGCCCTATCAACTTTTGCATTTTGCTCAGTCAGGTAGGTCTAGAATAAAATAAGAGGTCAGATTTTAGAACTGCATTTTTGAAAGGCATAGCAGCAAAAGAGAAATCTCAACCTTTTACCTTTTATAAAAACAAAGCAAACATTGTGGAGAAGCAACATAATCAAAGTTATGTTGGGAATATGTCTCACCATCGTGCTAGAAGCTCTTGTCCAGACCCAGGTAAGAAAACCAACACAGAGAAACAAGCTATTGCATGCATATCATTTGTTGGATCAGGAACCATAGGCATACACCCAATGCACTTTGTTGCCCTCAATTAGATGTGCATTCAAATAAACATGCCCATGCAGTAAATCATACAGTATGATCAGGATTTTTTTTGAGAAACTAGCATAGCATCATTTTAATAAATTAGTAATCCCGTAGAATCATAGAGTTGGAAGGGACCCTGAGGATCATGTAGTCTAACCCCCTGCAATATGCAGCTGCTTGCCCTCTTTCTAAGCTGCCAGAGAAATACACCTACCTATGAATCTTAACCTATAATATGTAGTATTTTATCAGGCATAATTCCAACACATATATGGAAACAGGAATATACAGTAATATGAAAGTACCAAATTATTTTATCTCCCCACAATTTGCAAAGCTTCCATGTACCCAACCAGGTCACTTGCTCCACCTAAACTCAGTGCTATCTATTCTGACTGGTAGCAGCACTCCAATGACTCAGACTGAGGGCTTTCTCATCACCTATCTCATGGAGATGCCAGGGACTGAACCTGGGTCTTTCTGCTTGCACATCTTTCTGCTCTGTTACTGAGCTATAGCCCCTCCATATGAAAAACACATGCATGGTTATTAAACTATGTATGGTCGCTCATGAAGAAATAAGCACTTAAAGAAAGAATAAGCATTTAAGGAATTACAGATTGATGAAAATAAACAACAGTTTAAGTGTAGAATTAGTTACCTTTACAGACACAAGATGGCTAGATGTCAGTTCCAGACAGAGTTGTAGATTTTTATGCGCTCTCCGTTTCTCTTCCGATGTTGTTTTCATAACCACTTGGTATCTGGGGAGTAAATACATCATGACTACAATCCAAAACTGTTAAGTATGCTTATTCATTTTAATGGGTGAAGGCATACCAAATTTTGTGTTAGATCTTTTCTTGCACATTCATTCAATATAGATACTGTTCACAAATAACTGAGCACTTGCAGAAGAGCAACAAAATTCAGATACATTAGTGTATTTTAAAACACATCCTACATCTACATCTCAATAGACTATTCCACTTACTGGCATTCGAGTTCTTGTAGCTCTTTCTTAGCTTCACTGACACCTTCATTGACTCCACCCTCAAGCAAATATTTATGTTTTTCCAACGATTCCAGCTCTTGGATACCTTTTTCTTCCTCTTCTTCAGTTTTCTGCAATATAAATTATCACTTCAGAATACATTAATGTAATGACATGGTTGTAACATGTATATAGACACTATTCAAAGAGGAAATTGGGAGGAGGGCTATAAATATAAAATATAGTGGCCTTGTTTCAATTCCGGAATATTGCTCTAGGATAGGGAATATTTTTCTTCACCAGCAGATAATTAGCTCCCATTCCAGGTGGAGGCTGTGAAGACTCTTGTGGTGTATCCTCAAGCTTTCATGAAAATTCAGACACACTATCTGTCACAAGCAGTTTGTCTCTTACAAGCCTGCCAATTGAAGTAGTCAACCACTTCCCAATTTCAGACGTCATTTCATAAAAGCAAACATTCATTGTCCTAAATCAGCACTTTAAAGGAATTATTTAGAAACATATATTTATAAATAGATGCAGACTAGCAATACAGTAAACAAATTACTGTTTTGTAAGTGTTCAAACCTGTTTAAGCAACACTCTACCTACCTTCATTATTTGCTGATAATGATCTTCCATTTTTTGGCCTTCTTCTCTTAGCATTTTCAGAGTGCTGTTCTGCTCTGCTACCATTGTGCTTCCCTTTAAAAATATGCATTTAATAAAAAGATATCAATAGCAGAAGAAAGGAACAAAGTAGCCCCTGTATCCAGTCCTTTTCTTAGACATCTACACTTCTAGTGGCAGACAGAACACTCCTAACATGCTGCCTTAGAGGATCAGGGAATGAGTTTAGAATCAATCATATTGTCAGATTTGGCATCTCAAGAATCTAAACCTTCACTACTTAGCCTACATGCAGAACAGGGTTTGAAAATGCATGAGCTATATCTACATTCAGAGAAGTTAAGTGTGTAGCTGAAAAGGGGTTAAAGGCACCAATAGTTCCCTGTCTTTTCTTCATTCCACTATTCATTCAGCTATTCCCTCCACTACTAACTAGCTACCTGTACTTAACCACCAACACAAATCTACTTAGTTTATATTTTTTGTTTTGGGGACAGTTAAAATTTTGAAAGGCAGGGGCTTCCGATTGGAGCCAAAGTATTTGGACACTCACCTGTTCTAAGGCCTCTTCTAGACCAATTTTTCTCTTTATTGCACTTTCAATTTCGTCTTCAGTATTGCTTATGAGGTGCTTAAGTGGGACCTGTAATGATTATAGAGATATTGTAAAGGGGGTGGGAGAGAGAGAGAGACAAAAACTGAGTGAAAGAGATTTCCATGAACTGATAGGATACCCAAGGGGCCAAATTAGTCCTGACTGCTTGCATCCTTATCCCACTGTGACAACTTTGGAAGACCTAGTTATATTTTAATAAATTTATGATAATACACTATCATTCTGATTCATTATCCATTCTATCATAAGGACAGCCAGCATCCTCTTTACCAAGTTGCCATCCAGGAGCCTATGGGAAGTCCACAAGTAGGACAGATTAGTTCTGCTAAGTGTTCTTCATTTGTAAGCAATGTTAAAATCTACCCTCCACACACTTTGCATGGCTTTTTAAAGAGGACTATTTATACCAAAACATAAGCATACACTTACATGAATTTGTTCTCTGTATTTGACCAGACAGTTTGGCCCTGAATCTGGCTTAAACTTAATCTCAAAATCAAGGCCGCCGGAGTTCTCTGAATTTATAGGTATTAGTTTCAGCTTTCGAGCCCCTCTATGGAACTCTGCCAATTGGGCTTCAATCTGTTAAAGGTGGTAGTGGGGGAGGGGACACAAAAAGAGGTACAGCTTTAAAACACTGCAGTTGATAAATTGACAAGAGCAAGGAAACAAAACCTAAAGTATTTGGTGCTTTTTTGGTTCACATTTGTTTTGTGCTTCAACATGGAAAAAAATACCCTTTTTATATTGTCTTTCAGAGTATGATTCAGTAAAAAGTTAAGTAGTTGTTAGACTATAGTGACCCAGGCAGCAGTTGATCCAAGTCAGTTTTGCTACACCAATTCTCAACAAAAATATGCACTGTTGTAGCTGAAACAGGATCCAGTGTCAGGCAAACAGAACTGCAACTACTATTGCTTAAGTTAAAGACTAAAAGCAAAATCGTGGCTATACCTCATGCTCTAGCTGCTTAAGAAACCGTTAGGATTCTAGCAATCACTCTTCTACCACAAGAATCAAGCTCTGCAATTTCATCCAGTTTAGAAAGCATAAAGTAGCAGACTTTGTGAGTGGTCAGAATATCTGATTTCAAAACATTAGTGTAGATTCACATACCTCTTCTTTTCCTCTAGCGTATTTTAATTCCTCATTCCACAAGTGATGTTGCTCTGTCTCCAGTTCCTTGGTTTTTTTATTGACTGTCTGCAGCAACTCCTCTATTTCACTCTTTAGCCTCTCAATATCTGCAACTGAATGCTTCTGATTATCACAAATGTACTTCAGTTGAGCATTCTCTTGTTTCAGGGCTTCCATTTCCATGGCTAAATTTAAGAACATGTAAAACTTTGTTAGGAACCCAAAATGAAAAACAGAACCAGTTACGAAGATGTTGCTGCAGATCACAGTACTCATTTCTACTTCTTTTAAATTAGCTTAAAACGCATTTGTGGATAAAATTCCAGAGTGTTTGGAACTTGAGTTCTCAAGTGGAATTCTGCTTTTTCACAAACTGAAACTTATTGAAAGAAATGAGAAACTTACCAAAATTATGAAGGGAAGAGATAGATAATCTCAGTGTTATTTTTTTCCTGGCACTTGGGAAATACCACAAAAAAGAACCTGTCTTATAGTTTGGAATAAGCCCTATATACTTTAAGGGTACCTTTATTTTAGATCTAAAAATTATCTTCATATGACTACCTTGACTTTGTTTACCAGCTCAGAGTAGTTCAAAAACAAATAATTTCTATGCAAATCCCTCCTTTGGAAAAAGTTCACTACAATACAGAGGTATGCACAATATTTTATTTTAGAAAACCTTAGATGGGACAATGAAATAAGTTATACAGCAAGTTACTGTTGAGCAGTGTTTTGTCCTTACCACCAGCCTCCAACTCCTCCGTAATACTCTTTGATTTTTGACTGAACGCATTTGAGCGAGATTCCAGGTTGGCCATGTAAGCATTATATTTCTGAACATCTGCCTTTAAAGATGATTTCAGTTTCCGTAGATTCCCTAAACGGTCCTTTAAAAAAAGAAAACAAATGCCCACAATAGATAAGTTAACATACTGCAATGAAATCATATCCTGAATGGCAGATAAAACAAATGTGGGGAAGATATTTTAAATAGTATTCCCACAGCCATTTACACACCGGTTCACTTTCTCTCTCCTTCTCACGCTTTACAATCTCCTCATTCAGCTTTTTCAGTTCTGCTTCAAACGCCTCCAAATGATGTTCATTTATCTTAAACAGATCCTCTGAAAGAAAAAGAAAAAAAAAAGTCAAAATAACCTGCTAATAACTCAACACACCAATTATACCAAAACAGGGAGCTCAGAACAAAGAATACATTAGGAAGCAAATTTACACAGGCTTCTGCAGATTTTACAAGCCACTGCTATTTTGCAATGCAATGTCCAAAAGGAATGAAGTTGCTGCATTGCAGAATAGATTGCCCTAACTGCTCTCTGTGTGGAATGCTTTGTCGCTTGTTTACATGAAATACAAGTTGTGTGTGATGAATACAGTAAAAGTTTCAATTAGCACTTATTTTTATTCGGTACATTTATATTCTACCTTTATTTCATCATTGAACTCAAGGTGGTGTACAAAGGGCTCCCAGGTAGTCAATTATGCAGGCTATGTCGGTACATAATTAGCCAAAAAGCTACATCATGGGGCTGAGAGCATGTCCTAGGACCATTTTTAATATATTACAGTTCAACCAAGGCTAGAATAGTTTGGTTGGATAGGGGAAATGGAAACTACCAGATAAATGGAAACACCATATGGAAATGTAAATGGGCAACATATATGGAAACATCAAAAAAGGAATAGATTTCAGGGAAAGATGGAAAGCAAGGCAAATGCATGAGGACGAGAATTTAAGGTACCAAGCTTTCACTAGTTCATCACATATTTCTCTGTCAAAACATAGTGCGCACAGGAAGACTTGATGCCTGGTTGAAGCTGTTTGAGACACTAATACTATTCCCACCACCACGTCTATGGGGCATTAAAAAAAACCAGTCCCCATATTTTTGCTAAAATTTAATCAAGCATCCTATACTCTTGCCCACATTACTCCAGTGTAGCAGCTCTGCTGTGGACCTGGATACTGCCAAATAGCAATATTTAATATTAAATACCTATGGACTATTGACTAGAATGCCCCAACGACCTAAAAACTAACCCATGCCTGTCAGAAAAGACTGATAAAATGCAGGAACTGTAGTTTATCAAGCACAAATTGTTTATTTTTTATAATCAATGATTACTTTAACCAGGGATAGGGTTTCCTAAAGATACCTGGACTGGATTGGACTGTTTTTATCCATATGACTTCTAGAGGCTAGATATAAGTACTTGGGTTCACAGAAAAGGGAGCTGGGCAAAGTGAGAAGGTTTTGAGATACGATTCTTCCATTTAACTAAATGATTGATTATATTTCAACAAGTTCACTATGGGTTAACAATTTTTTAAAAATATGTTAACTATGGAAAAGTGCTGAAGAAACCACAAGATTAGCATTTGCACCCATTGAGTTCTATTTAGTTTTTAAATGAAAACTACTTACTTAATTTGGAGTATATTTCAGCATCGAATTCTTCAAAGCTGTCTCCACCCCTCATAAAATGGTCATAACATTTGATAGTGTAGTCTAAAAAAAGCTGCAAATAAAGTTATTCAAGTCAGTTTCATTATAGGGATTTTTAACCACAGAAGCAGAGGCCAATCAGAACTGTATTATGTAGCAAGTCTATAAAATAATCCAAGATGAGCAACCAAGTTATTTATTTCTACATTTCCTGGAATCAGCTGCATCTTAGCTAGAGCTTTAATGGAACTTCAAACAAATAAAAATTTTTTTTGTATTTTGAGGGACATTAGGCGCATGATTCTATCTGCTAACTACACTGGCAGGGGTGCTTTAGGAATTGGTGCAAATCTTCTGCACTACTGTATTTTGGAAATACACCACTGTGTGTGTGGGGAGAGCAGAGAAGAGGTGGTAATGATACACTGTTGAAACAAATGGAATTATAAAATACTCAGATGGATACTCATCCCTGCCTATTAACAGGAATTAAAGCATGAGATTAGTAGACCTCAGTAGAAATTTTTCTGTTTCTCTCAAAATGTTCTAAACTCTGTGCCTATGTGTAGGCTCACAGATGAAGAGACTGTTGGGGCAGAGTTGGGGAAATCAGGAGGGAGGGGAAGAGAAGATGTCTCTTCCTTTAGACCAGAACATTGCTTTTTTGTGTTCTTGCAAAAATCGCACATTTCCTGATATTTCACGTCACATACTTTGTTATGTATAATTCCATCTTCAGTCTCTCCTTCCAAGGTCTGCCCTTCATCAAATGATGGCATGTTTTCTTTCAAATAAAAAGACAACTGAAAAGGACAGAGAAGATCATATATTAACATGCATGAATTAGTACTATTCAACAGAATACAGCCGATACCTAGCTGCTGCTGTAGACCAGCGCAGTTCATGAATAAATGTGCAAAGTAGATTTCTTTACATTTATACAGGAGTATGTAGGTTTCCTTAGTAACAGCAATGAAGCTGTACAAATCTCTTGTCAATACCACATTTACCAAAATAGATGTAACCAAGAAAATGCAGTATTAAAATTACCTAGATATTATTGCTTTGGCTGAGCCTTCTCTATATCACCTAAAGTCAAAGTAGTTCTAGAACTCTTAAGTTGCAAAGAACCTTGCTGCCAAAATCGCCAGAAGAACAATGAGTCCAAAATGGCTACGAGTTTAAACATTTTATATTGGTCAGGTAGAGTCTCCATGTTTATAAAAATATAAAAAGTAAAAGTAAACCCGAGCTTTCCATGTTTGATTTACAGTACTTGCAAACCCTGTAAAAGTAACTGGAGACTTATTCCAATGGCTTTATTGTACCTTGACACAATCTGTCAGCCAGACCAGAGCTCCTACAATCTGAGGCCACGTATGCGGTGCTCCCACTGTGCACATAGCACTTTTTGACAATGCAAAGGGGTATCTATAACAAAAGCAGAAAATATTAGAAAGTTGTGTAATATATTTTGATTTTTAAAAGATACAAAAATATATGCTATTTAATATTAAGGTTAGGAAGTGTAGTCAGACGTGAAAAGCATTTTCCCCCTCCACTTTGATTATGCATCAACCCCACTAGAGATTAGGATATGGTGGAGGTGTTTGTCTGCAAAACCCAGCCACCTGAGAGACCTTGTTGAGGTTGCCAAAAGCAGTCAGTTGAGAAGCTATTTACTGCTAGCAACGATCCCATCACTGGTAGCCAGTGTAGGGCTCTGATTCAGGGCATTACAGGGGTGGAGCAGAGCTAGCTAAGGATCTGTTGGATCCACGACTGCTTTCTGCTGAGAGGTCCCCTATTAGGACTCCTTAGGTGCACCAGCCTGGTGCTACTGCAGTAAGAGACAGACCACATATCTGTGCCTGTCACACAAACACACTATACCAGTACAAGCAGCAAGGTTTTGGATGTGGCAGTGACTCTACTCTGCCATTCAGTTGCTCCCTAGCCCCATTTAGGATTGCTCTGCCGAAAGTTCAGTTATTGTTATTTCTTACAATCCACAATTTGGCTATTTAAGTTGACTGTGCATAGCATATTGACTATGCCTGTCTCAAAAGATAACAACAGGTTATCAAAGCTAGCAAGACCAGGTTAAAGTCAAGACTTGTTGCATAATTGTCACCCAGTCAATATTTGCAATACACTTACTTTGTGCCAATATGTTAGTGAGATAGACCACATGCTGTATACTCAAGCACTTCAAGAGAATGATTGATACAGAGTAGGAATCTCTAGTTATACATATAATGGACTCAGCTAGATTGGTAAAGAAAATGTGTTTTATGTGTGTTTTACAGTGGTACCTTGGTTCTCGAACTTAATCTGTTCTGGGAGTCCGTTCGACTCCCAAAACCGTTTGAAAACCAAGATGCAACTTCCGATTGGCTGCAGGAGCTTCCTGCACTCACTCAATCACAAGCTGTGGAAGCTGCGTCGGACGTTCGGCTTCCAAAAAACGTTCTCAAATCGGCTAGTCGTTTGAGTACCAAGGTGCCACTGTGTATGGATGCATTATAACAGTGACACCAGATGGCGCTGTGGAGTTCCATCTTTGCTAACACAATTTCTCATAAAGTTCACAATGCATTTAACTGAAATGCTTCCTTGATCTGTCTAGTTCCAGCCAATTATCATTTCCTACACAAAATAGGAAAGATGGATCATATTTCTACATTTTTGATAAATATGAAATAGTATTCTTAATGTGAGCCAGTGTTTTATGAGTAATGAGCCAGTGGACTACACAATGGTAGTTATTTCAGATTAAAACAAATGCCATACATTATGCCTACAGGCTTTGTATTGGGCACAGACGGGGGAAGAAACCTGAGCTACAGAGGAAACTGTCAGTATATGGAAACATCACTGCTGCAGACAGCCAGATTGTTGACATCACATGATGCGGCTATCTGTGGGAAAGAAGAATTTCCCAGGACGTTCACAGGCTGGATAAGTCATTGTGAAGAGTGTAACTTGAAACCTTCCGACTGTGCATGTTCAGGAAGTTTGTCAGACTTGCTAGAAGAACTGAACTGAAAGGACATGTTTTTCTCTAGTGCTGTAATGTCAGAAATAAACATCATGTAAATAGATTTCTGACTTATTTTCTTTCCCCTGCGGAAGCAGGAGGGAGGGGGTTGTGCATTTTACCCACGCTTGGGAAAATGTCGCCTATCAAAATCTCCCTGGTCTGTCTGGATATCAGCCAGAGGAGGTTACCGGTATGCAAGCTCCGAGGACAGTGAGAGGGGCCAGCCTCTGTGGAGGGGGCTTGCAAACCAACAGAAACTGCCCCTTGATAAAAGGTTAAATCAATGTGATGAAGTCCATTGAGAAGACTTGCAATATGTTTCTTGGCTCTGGCACCTAGTGGCTCCTTCCTCCCTCAGTTTGAGGGGCAGAGTGTGACGATGCCTTCACCTGGCAGCATGTCAAAAAGTGTAAAATGCTAATTAGTGTTGCTGAAACGATGTTTTATGACTGTGTTGAACTAATGTAATGAAGGGGTGGGTTTAATGATTTTACAATGCTATGTGCATGCATGTATTGTCTTTGAATCCTTTGTAGTGACTTCCACAATTGGGTTGCTTCTTTGCAAATGCAATCTTTACCTTATTATTGACCTCCAATAAGGGAATCTCCAAATTTTCCTTACATAGGGAGGATGGTTATGGCTTCCCTTAAACAATCTGGTGGGTGAAGTTCGGACCACGGGTCAGAGTTTCCTGTTTTTAGCAGTGTAGACAACGTTCTCATACTGACAAAAATGTGCATATAGAATATTATCCTGGTACTTACCCAAGCTCTTTAAAATTTCTTGGAATTTCTTCTTCAAACTTAGAACTGGGAAGCTCATAAGAAGGGCAAAATTGCCCATAAATAAAAGTGAAGATTTTCACAAAGTCCTTAGTAGATGGAGCCTGGAGTGACTTCACAGAGACGGTAGGACCATATCCATATGTAGTAAGAAACTGAGGGGGGAAAGTTATATTTCTATCACATTTAGTTATCTAAAAATTATACCTCTTATTACAGTAAAGATCTATGAACAGCTTATACATAGTGTATATATGTTAGATTTCACGCCAGAGCCACATGAAACCACACAATCCAAATTAGGGCACCACTCAAATAAAGCTAACCATGCAAGTTAAATGAATTTGTCTACCAAGACTTGTATGAGCAAAAATACTTGTCTTGTATGTTGCTGGCTTTTTAAAAAATCCTTTTTTCAGAAGGTGGCATCTTAGAAAAGGCATCCCCACCCCTACCAGTATAAAAGAAAGGAATGCCTCTTCTAACAGCACCAAGCACTTTGCATTTTTTAAAAAATAAATGTATCAAAGTATTTAGCACTTTAAAAAATCCAGCTGCTCATTTACTTAGGGTATTTTTTTTTACTCTTTTTATCTTACAATGAGATTCCTAAGGTGGATCAATCAGGGGCAACTAAAATCAGCTAAATATTCCAAACCCAGGCCAAATGTAAGTAGTTTAAAAGTACTTCGTAGAGTTGTCGGATACATTGCTGGACGTATGCTTTATCATGAAGTGGCCTAGGTTCCTTGATCTTTTCCATATTCCCGAATGCCCCATACTGGCTGCTTCGTAAGCTTCCAGGGCCACTGGTCCTAGAAACAAAGGAGTAAGATGAGAATCTCAAGTTAGCTGCTACTACGCAAACAGAGCTACTTGGACACAAGTGTTAGGTTACAAGAATAAGTCAGACTCACAGTTGACAAAGTCATTCAACTTGCCACACCACAGTATTCCACCAGAAAATTAAAGTGAAGTGGGGGGTTTTCCTTTTCCTAAGGTATTCTTATTGTTCTTTCTAGCCAAATAAAAGTGTTAAACTGCTCTATATCTGGCTTGAAAAAACAAAGCAACGTAGAGTTCTCCCACATTCAAAGGGTAGTGTCAGGGGACTGCCATCGGAACAGGGAAAGGAAGCAGAGGGGCAGTTGGGTTACAGGGAACCTCCGAAAATCTTGCGAAGCATTCCTCTTCCTGTGGTGGGAAAGCCATACCTCCAGTGGGGAAGAGGGGGAGGGACCAGAAGATGCTGCTGGGAGCTCCAGCGACGCACCTCGCCAGTCTGAGGGTGGGGAAAGCCACACCTCCAGGGTTAGGGAGGGGAAATGCTGCCGGGAGCCTCAGCTCCGCTTCTGGCCAAGCTGGCCAGGAGGGAAGCACGCCTCTTCCGTCGCCCACCCTACGCAGAGGTGCAAAACGCAAAGAAGGAAGGAAAAGGCTGGGGGTGACTAAGCTCTTATGTTGGGGGAGGACTGGAAACGACCACTCCCGGATTCTGCTACCGATTGAGGCAGACATGAACTTGTGGTTCTGCACTGTAAATAGTTTTGCACCAAAATAAAACCTGTAAAAGACAGGTTGGAGTCCTGACTGGTTACTCATGAGCAACCACCATTGCCATCTGACAGGTAGGTATAGCTTCTAAGCTGGTACTTCCAAATATAGGAAATAACAGTGTTGCAGTATTTCCGCTGGCTGGAAATAGCATCACAAAGTTACACTGTTCCAGCCTTCTAAATGGTGCTGTGGCTTAAATAGCCTCATGCCCATTTCTTTTTTAAAAAATTCTGCCAAGTGTAGGCCTTTCAGGAGTTTTTGTCTGTGTGTTCTATTACCTTTTGCCAAAGAAACTGGTTTTCCTTTCCGATGTCACTGATCCACGTTTCCCCACACTCAGCTTTCCAAAGGTTGTCCTCCTCTCTTGTCTTGAAAAGAATATTGATTTGCACACATCACAGTGAAATAAGTTACCTTTAAATTCTGTTCATTTAAGCTGCCAGCTATTAGTATCAAAGTGCAATACAGATGTTGTTAGGCTGCATACACTAAGTTCGATATACATCCACTTAATTACTTTTACTCTTGCTTACCCTTAAAAAAAGACCTTTTACTGTGACTTATGCTTATTTTTAATGTGCTATATACAACACCTTTAATAATCTCATTAAAATAGAAACCAGACACCAATAGGACTCCAATTTTCAAAATGTGTACTTTAAGAATGTAAGACAAACCTTGCTGAAAGATGTTACCAGTGAGAAGCTTATGGGAAGTTTGTGGATGAGATCTGAGTGGAACATTGCTTCTTCCACTTGCAATTTCCAGGAACTGGTATTCAGAGGTATACCACCTCTACTAGTGGAGGTAGAGCATAGTTTTATCCTCCATAAATTTGTCTAGCCCTTTTTAAAAATAATTCATGTTGGTGGCCACCCCTACATGTGGTAGTGAATTCCATGGCTTAACTATGTGCTACGTTAAGAAATACTTCCTTTTGTCCGCCCTGAAGCTCTCAGCATTCATGTTCACTTAATGTCCCCTGGTTCTGATAAAGAGGAAGAAACACTATCCCCAATCAAACTCATCATGTATAACTTTATACTTCCATCATGCCCTTCCCTGGCTGCTTACCTGCCTTTTCCCCAAGCTTAAAAAGGCCCTGATGCTGTAAGCCCAGGCTTCCTCAAACTTGGCCCTCCAGATGTTTTGAGACTACAATTCCTGCCATCCCTGACCACTGGTCCTGCTAGCTAGGGATCATGGGAGTTGTAGGCCAAAAACATCTGGAGGGCCGAGTTTGAGGAAGCCTGCTGTAGCCTTTCTGCATAGCTGCTCCCCACCTTGAACATTATGTTTGCCCTTTTCTAACTCTACAATGTCTTTTTAAGGTATGAAGATCAGAAGTGCACCCAGCATTCCAGGTGCAGGTCACCAGAGAATTGCATTGGCAGGTTTGTTGTTGTTGTTTTGTTCTGTTCTAAGAATTTTAAGGTCACACACACACACACACACACAATGTTCATAAATGTACCAAGCAAACACATACAAATATGTAAACCACATGTCTGAAACCCACAGAAAAGTCCTGAAACCATTTTCTCTTTCCCAAAATGACCTCAAATATTTCTCTGCAAGGTTGAAGGAAATGGGAAAAAACCTCCCCACTATCTCTGTGCTCACAAATCCTGCCTTAAGGGCACATTTAAGGTGTGAACAGGGTGAGCCTGTGACCTGGATTCAGGAATTAAGTAGTTATAATAACGAAAGAGTGGCCAAAACCCAGATAATGCAATTGGGTAACCTGCTAGACAGGAGATAACACACTCAGGATTCTGAGCAGCATCCTAGCACCCCTTTTGTCTTTCAGGAATGAAACCCCGCCACAAGAGAAATTACCTATCTTACTTACGTTAGAGGAGTATTGGGCACCGCCTTGTTGGTATCCTGCACCCTGAGAGGATGGATGGACTGCCGGCAGCTGAGGCGGCTGGTACTGGAGCTGCGATGCATCGTTGTAGGCAAACTGCAGAGGAGCAAGCCTGCTGGAGGGAGTGAAGATACTGCCTGGTCAGCGACAGAACTGGGAAGGTCCAAGCAAGGCTATTCTTTTAAAAGCTGGGCATTTGTCTATGTTGGTTTTTATCTGTGTGCTGCCTTGAACCCCATCAAGGGAAAAGGCAGACTACAAATAAATAGGTCACCATCATCTACCACGAGGCAGGAAGGCGACTGGGGATCTCGGGGGCGAAAGTCCTGCCCCATCGAGAAAAGGGCCTCGAGCCGCCCCAGCAGGAGAGGACGCTCCAGCACCCTCGCCAGTGGTGTAGCTAGCCGCTGGGGTGCCAGGTGCTGCGTCCTGCAGCTGGGGACAAGGCACACTACATGGAGCCTCCCCCTCAGCTGTCAGGAGGCTGAGGGAGAGGAGGAGGGCAAACACAAGTCCCACGCTGCTGTTTCAGGCAGCGCGAAGGCTGCAGGCGCCCAAGCCACCATGCAGGCCCCGCGGTAAGGTGCCCAGTGCCAGCCGCGTTTCGTTACGTTTGTTGACTGAACTAAAAAGTTTTGTGTGCTCAATTTTTTAAAATTATTTTTAAAACCTCATTTTTGTCATCTCCTTCAGGGATGCCACCCAGAGTAGCCTGCACACACCTCCCCAGCCACTGACCCTCACCCTGGGTTAGGCAGAGTAGGTCGAGGGGAACTGCGCCTTTCCTGAGAAGGGAAGCAAGCAGAGAACCGGGAGGGGGGGCACTTTCGTCCCTTGAGGCTGCAGCCCTGGGCAGCCTTTTACCCGAGAGCAATAAATAAAACTCCCGCTTGAACACACGGAGGCCAGAAGGTGCGGTTAAGGGAGGGTTTCTTTCCAATGGAATAGGAGAGGGGGAGAGAGAGAGGAATATTTCCAAGCATCTCATATTAGGAGACGGGAGGCTTCGCAGAGCCTCAGCCCACCGGCGAAGGGTCATAGGAGCCTTAAATTAGGGCGTTCCCTGCATAGGGCGCTGGGAAAAGAAACGGTTCCCCCCGCCCATAGGTCCCCCCCGCCATCACCTCCTTCCGTCGAGTTGAAGAACCCCCGACCCCACTCAAGGCCTGCAGCGCCTGCGCCAAAGGGCTTTCAGCCCCCGGTCCCGTTGTTTAGACCCTTCTCGGTCTAACCGCGGAGCCGCTCTTGGTTGGTTGGTTGTTGTTTTTTTAAATTACCCGCCAATCAGGAACGTCACCAGTGACTCCCTCAATATAAGAAAGCGTGAAGGGAGGAGAGGCGACGTCACTTCCCTCAGAAAGAGGAAGCCGCTCCTCACGGGCGAAATGATCGCAACAGTTTTCATCTCTATGGTTATCTGCGGCCGCCGTCGGCTAGGGCGCCTCAACCACGTGACCGTGCCTTACGTACGACAAGGTGGCTGCGGCCATGGGAGCGAAGCTTCATGGCTGTGCGGTGGTCCGTCGTGGGCTCCCCTGTGGCGCTGGCGTTGTAGCCGTGGCAGGGAGGCATTGGGTTGGGTTGCTGGGCTTGCTCTGATGACCTCTCTGACTTTAATGCGCTCGTTTCCGGGAGTAAACTCTGTTGAGCTCAATGCGACTTGGCTTCCTAGTAAACGCATTTGTAGGTTTCCTGCACGAGCCCCCGCGGCACAGATCTCTCCTCAGCCACGAACTCTCTAGGCAGTCTCGAAATGGTGACAGTAATGCTGTTCCACCCTATGGTAGGGATTAGAATAAGATAATGTATATTAGCCTCTCTAAAATCAGCCCTCGAAAGTGCTTTATGAGTGAAATTGCCACATACCTCTTCCCTTCTGCCCTTCAGTAAAGCAAGCAGTTTTATTCATCCTGCCTTTGGATGTTAGTGATTTGGGTTTGCCTTGCCCAATAGTCTCCCTCTAGGTGTTTTTATTACGATCTCATTGGAAGTTTTACTGTTGCCTGTGCTACAGATGACTTCAGTTAACTAGAACATCTTAAAATGTCTTGTGTGCAGACATTCTTGTAAGTGCTAATGATAACTTTGCTTAAGCGTGTTGGGGCAGTCTGAATGACTTGTTTTGGACAACTTCCGGGGGGGGGGATAGTTTTGCAGGAAAAAGAGCAAGGAGTTTTTTGGTATCTGGAAAGGCCGCAAAAACTTAAGTTTAAATTTCATGTACATTTCCAGCTATTCTAAAATAGGTGTCAGAGTTTGTAACATGATGTGGTGCTCTCAGACTGGATTTGCACATTGTTGCTGCCATAATAGTGCATAACATGTTGCATAAAAAGCTTGGAACATTTTTTTCTACAAATACAAAGTTGACTTTTAAGTACGATTTGCTGAAATGGTTAAAAACTTGAAATTTACTTAAAGCAATAAAGCTGGATAAATGAGGTACATTCTCCCTTGGTTTTTAAACATAATTGGCATCCAAGTGATAAACAATTTACTTCTGTTAATTTCAATGATAGTTGCTTTTAAGTAGGTGCAATTATGATAAACTAGTGATATAAACTAATGCATTACATGGGTTGAGAACACGATTCAGTCTCAGAATTACATTCTCTCTCTCTTGCATATTCAAGGTAAGTGAGGCAACCCTTTCAAATCAATATGGGATTTTTCCTGTTAATTTTTCTCTATCCATGGTGAAAAGAGCAAGTTTCATGATCTGGAGACCCCATTCCAAGCTCACCTGAGTAGAAAACCCAAGTAATGCCTGAGCAGTCCCATTAGGAGGCAGAGATTTAAATAATGTGGTTCCTACAGTTATACAAGTTGTGTAACAAGGGCTAAGTAACAGTATTGCACTTAGAAGCATTAAAATGTATACCACTGCTATCTATGATTTAATAACTTATATTGCTGTCATCAAACTACAATCTTGTAAAGAATTTTAAATCAAAGTCTTTGAATAATTTAACATTGTATACTGGAAGACGTTTATCTGTCTTTGGCTGTAGTCCTAAGTACATTTACTTGTGGAGTAAGACTCATTGGATACAGTGGGACTTACTGCCAGGTAAACTTCCATAGAATTATGCTGTTAGAATGTTGGTATTTTTGGTTAAAAAAACCCCCAATAATAAATTGCAATACTTATAAAAGGTTTACTTTTTTACTTTTCAGAGATACTGATTTATTTATTTATGTTGAATCCACTTGGAAGATCAATACACTGAAAAACAGCAGGAAAAGCAGAGAATGTCTGTTGTTTGTCGTCTATCAGCTGGGTGGCTACTGGACCACCTCTCCTTCATAAACAAAGCTAACTACCAGCTATGCCATTCCCATGATCATTCCGGCTTGGCCTTTGTTGATGATCCTGCTGCTGCTGCTTCCTCAGATGGGGCTCTCGTTGAGGCTGTAAGCCTAGATGCTAAAAATTCTTGCAGAAAAGATTCTATTGATGAGATCAAGGCCCCAGAAGAAAAAGCAAGTCTAATGGTAAAGAATACATATGTTTTTCGGGAAGAATTTTTTAATGTGCTGAAGCCACATGGAGTTGCAAACAATCAAATGGAACTCCAGCAAAAGGGATCTGAGGCTGGTCTAGGAAATGGCGGATCAGAACAGCAAGAAAGAATCAAGATGAATGGCTCTTACTATACTGCTAAAGCCAAAAAGGTACAGTATAGAGGAATTGCTGCAAAGTATCTTCCTTTGAAACGAGTTCTATTTGTCACTGTTTTACAAAGGGAAACATATAACCCCCTAATTTATTGTGAACATTTTATCCACTGCTTTTGTAGCTCAATGATCACCTTTAAACACACATGTTGAACCCTCTCTATAGATGCATAACTATTTTCCTTCTTTTTAATATGTCACAAGTTACTATAAGCACATGTTGATGTTTGATTACTTTAATGAACCGAAGGCTCAATCCCTCTAAAATATTTATAGTCCCATTTCCTTCAGTGCCATTATAATATTCACTAGTTACTTGGAGTAACATAAATAAAATTAACATCCGCCTTAGACTTGAACTACCATGTAGGTTTTTTTATTCCAGTGAGTCAACTAATTAACAACATTATTTAACAAGGTGTGCTTATAATATGTCTGCCTTTGACAGCGCTAAAGTGTTATCACTTTGGGGGCACAATAGCAGCAAGGCTTTGGTTACTTCTATCAAGTTCTAGAGTGCAAGATGCATCACAGAATCTACCTTTATCTTTTTAAGTATAAAGAACCATAGTGTATGGCAATATTTTTAAATGATAGAGGTGCTGATGTTTGTGCATGTTGTTAACTTTAGAAACGAAAAAGAAGCAGTGAACTTAACCATGGTGAACGTGATGCTTTAGAATACCATTTAAAGGTAAGTCGGAGAAATAATTGTGATGGAGGAGTTGCTTGTTTGAGTAACCTCAGATGCACACTTCCATGATTAAATATGCATATACTATTAATTGATAGCTCACTATGCTAAGAGCTTCAAGTTGAACTATAAATAGCACCATTTCAGTATTTAAAGTAGGATAATGAATGCCAGTGTTTTAGAATGACACTTTACTTGGCTTGATATTTAAAATGCAAAACTATCAGAATGATTTATAGTGTGGACTGTTCAGTCATTCATTCAGATAATCCTGTTCACAGACTGAAGATTTGCATGTCTGTGGATATGTCTCTGTGGAATTGTAACAACCCGCCTCAGATATTTTCTCTCTTTTTTCATTTTTCTTTGCTGCACAGATCAGTGGCTTGATTTTGGATGGTACCAGGAGTTTAGTCCAGGAGGGACTTAGATGTGGTTTCCTCCAGCCTAGCTCTTCAAAACAGATTTGTGCCAAGACTCCTGTTATAGAACACAGTAGTTTAGCTGAATTATGTGAGATGGCAAAGCAGTTTCCTTCAGTGAATGAATCAGAACAAAGAGCTGTATGCATGATAAGTGAGGACTCCTGTGTTCCAGAACAAGTTCAGGTTTCCTGTGTTACAGAAAACACCACAAATTATGCAAAGACGATAACATTAATGGGACAGAAGTACCTATTTCCTCCCAAAAGTGCTTTCCTTTTATCTGATATTTCTGTTATGCAGCCGCTCTTGGACTGTAAGTACATTTCCAAGCAAAATTACCCACTTTTGGTTCAATGTTTCATTAATATATTGACAGAGCAAATTGTGTAGATTTTGGAAGGAATTTAAAGAACATCTGTTAGCAGAAATGCTTAGATTTGAGCATCAGTAATTGTTACAAACACATATTCATACTATATGGCAGCCACTCATTTTCACCTGTTATCCAATTTCTAGCATGCATAGTGGGAGAAATTAGAAAAATTAGAGGCTAATACATCCTTTGTGGAGCAGAAACCTCTATTAATAAAAGAGAAACATTTTATGCTAGTTTTGGAACTGACATGACCGCCTCTTAGTTTGAATGAACATGAAATAGAGCCACTTCAGTTTGATCAGAAGTATGTTTATATCTATTTGTAATCAGAGCAGGGTAGCGTTACCACTTTCAAAGACAAAACATCGCATTTCCATGTTCTTTTAAATAGTATGAAAATTGTTTATTAAAACTTGGTGAGCAACTTGGTTTTGTTGCAAAAAAATAAAAATAGACATAATTTGAAATACTGAAAAATGTGTATTCTTATTGCTTTGTTTTCTAGATAAAAAAAAGTTTGGCATAATTATAATAGATCCACCATGGGAGAACAAGTCTGTTAAAAGAAGTAACAGGTAGCCTTTTACCTTCTAAAACATATATTTTATTAAACATACATATTAAATCAGCTCCCTCTTAGATGTTAATGGTGTGTGTGGAATGACAATTTCTGGCTTTACTAGTGCAATTAAGAGTTGTTTACAACAGGAGACATGTCTATTCAGAAGTAAGTTCCATTAAGTCCTTACTCCCAGGTAAGTGAATATAGGGGACTAAGGCCAGAATCTACTGATCAGGCTTGAGGGGTGGGGGTGGCAACTAAAGGCATATTAGCACATTTGTTGCTTTGTTTCATTTCTCTTTTTCTGGTTGATATTCTCAAATGTAATGGGTTCTGTTTTGTAAACTCAGATTACTACATGCATGCATCTAATTCTCCAGTGGATAACTGCAATTTTATGTCAGTAGAACTTCAATTAAACTGAATTAATATGAAAGTTCTACGAGGCAGTGGGGAACCTGGTTTGATAGTTTTCTAAGGTGAAAATATAGTTATGCTGGGGTTGGGGAATGAGATTACAACACTGAACCTTCCCCGCCCCCTTAATGAGAATACTTCATAATTGAAAATATTAACTTCTGAGCAATATACCTCTCTGAATGCTCTGTTATTTGAAGGTTAATCAAAATGAATGGTTTCTGTGCCTGTGGAGCGTTTGCAGAAGTTAAAGCTACTCTGGTTTGCTTCTAATTAATTCATATTTTACGAAAGCCGCTAGGTGGGATGGCCTTACTGTCTGAGAGGGAAGCTGGCCAAGAGCTGTACATTCCTTTTAAAATAAGCAATGGTTGAGACTAGTAAAGCAACATGTTTCCACTATTGTAGGATGATTCTGATTCCACCGCCATTTGCAAGACAGGAAGGGAAATGTTTGTATCATATTCTGGGATACGACATGGGAGGGATGAATGGAGGAAGTTCACATTAGAATAGAAGTAGAAAAGTAGTGGTACTTCTGGAATGGGAGGAATAAAAGGAAGAGTTGTCGCAGAATAGCATAACAGCACTGTGAGTTTATATACTACCTTGGGATGGGTTTCTTTCCCCTTGTTAACTAGACAGAGACAAATACCCCAACAATTATTAGGGATGACTGCTTCCAAGAAAATAAAAAAGTCCAGTTTAAAGGCTTACCATTAATTCCAAATTACTCAGGCTTCAAAGTTTATATGCTTAATGTACAATTTGGTCCTGTGGAGAGTGAGGTATGCCTGAGCCTATAGAAACTGATAAGCTTTAATTTTTAACTGATTTCAAATTCATCAAAATAAGCTCAGGGTTCAGATCTTAGGCATGGAGGCATATCACTTTTCCTTGTTGTCTAAAACTCTGGCTGTAATACTTGGGTCTGTGTCTACCCACGCAGATGGATTCTCAGGTGCTCAACAGGCATGCCTCTTTAAAAAAAAATACAGATTATCTGGGTGATGGGCATTTCACTCATACAATCGCCTGACCTATCACTCGGAAAGCTCTACACTTTATTGTGAAAAGTCGTAGATTTTCATGTCAGTATTTTTCTATTTGTATTATTGCAAATTTGTATTACTGAAGTTTTACTATTAGAAGAAGAGCCTTGCAGAATCAGAGCAAAAGCCCATTTAGTCCAGCATACTTTACCCAAAGCAACTGGTAATCCTAATGCTTCAGGCAGCATATAGCTATCAATACTATTCACTGTTGCTAACATTATCTTCTATGAATTATTGTAATTTCCTTTTAAAGTTAGTGGCCATCACCACATCTTGTCGTAGCAAATTCCATTGCTTAACTTAATTAGTAGCTTTTTAAATACTGTATGACTGCTGTAGATTAAAATGGGGGGGGGGGGGGAAATCAAAGTATTAGATATTCTGCATTGCAGAGAATTGCTTTAATGTAATATGTAACTTTTAATGACCATAAGTTCAGTTTCTATGCATAACAGAATTTGGAAATGGAAGGATATTTATCACTGCACCCAGTGGATCAGAATGTAAAGAAACAGGTGTTCAAATACGATGGGAACAGATTTTACCACTGGGTGTCACTGTTGGCTCAGTTTTAATTTATCTAAATGTTGTTGGTATTGAAAAAAGTTTGCGAAAGATTGCCATTGCTTTGTAAAGGCCTGCTGTTTCCCTTTCGAGCTTTGGTCCAGCTCAGACTTTCTGAATTTATTCATGTGTAGGTACAATTACTTGTCCCATTGGCAAATCAAGCAAATTCCTGTGCCAGCGCTGGCAGCCCCAGGTTGTCTTGTGGTCACTTGGGTGACTAACCGACAGAAGCATTTATGTTTTGTGAAGAATGAACTCTATCCCCACTGGTCTGTTCGTGGAGTGGCGGAGTGGTTCTGGGTGAAAGTAAGTTTGCTGGAACCTTTGGACTTATTTTTATATACGTTTAGTTTTAAAATTATTTCCCAATAACTGTTTTTATTGGTAGCATTTAAAATATTTGAATATTAACGTTTTTGAAGCAAATTTTTGTTATGTATTTTTTATTATTATTATCTCCCAAGGGAAGTTACAGTTAGGGATGACACCCAATAAAGGAACTCGCTCATCACAATCCTATACATATCTGCTCAGAAGTAAGTCCCACTGACTTCAATGGAGCTTACTCCCAGGTCTATATAGGATTGCAACCTTACTATGTTACCTGCATGAGTTCTAATCAATTACATACATTTGTACATGTATGAAGAAAAGGGGGAAACATTGTTTTTTTTTTGAGCAAGTAGCACAAGGAGGCATTCCTTCCTGGGAAGAATTTGTAAATAGTCTTTTCTTTTTCCCCCTTTTTTAAAAAAAGTCTTCCTGGTTAATCTGATGTCGCTTCTTTTTTCTTTTAAATCAAAATATTTTAAATCGGTCAACGAAGTGTTGCAACCCCAGTTGCAATTCTTTATTTATTTCACTATTTCTCCCATAAGTAGAGATGGGAAGGCCTGGAAAAAAACCTGGAAAATTGGGGGGGGGGAACCAGGTTTCCCCCCATTTTTCCCCCAAACGGCTTTGGAAACCTACTTTGCTTTGACCAGTCTTGGGCTGCCCTGCTGATCATATTTCAAATTTGATGTTAGAATCCTTGATCTGAAGCAATTCAGATGATGATTTATAAATGTATATGTAGCCACAGCAGTGTTAAGGCTCATTGGGTTCAGTGGTCTACCCTCAAGCCACCATTGATAGGGTGTAAATGAAAAAGAAAGTGGATTACACAAGCCAGAACACTACCAATCTCTGAACTAGACTTGGGTATAGTGAGAAAACATCCTTAGGATAGATGAATAGAAAATAAAATATTGTAACATTGATTTGTAACTTGCAGCATTGATTTCCGGTTCCTTTCTATCAGATTACAAAGTCTGGAGAGTTTGTATTTCCATTAGACTCTTTTCACAAGAAGCCTTATGAAGTTCTTGTATTGGGAAGAGTCCAGCAAAATACAGATGTGCCATTAAGGTATATGAGTCCATTGATTTCTCTATATTATTAATGGGAATTATTGTTATAAGGCATTCATTAGGAATGCTCAGCTGAGGTTCAAAGGAGGGCGCAATGGCCTTTCTTAACAAAACGATATGAAGACTGAAGTATGCTTGTACTCCAGTTCCCTTGAAAGACTAGCTTTTAAGAAAGCTGTAAAATACACCAGACTCCTTCTGCTGTTCCCTTTAGATATTTAGTTGTCTGTTTCTTACAGTGCTGTGAAATTCAATTTCTCAAGATATGACACTGGGAAATCTTGGAAGCAGATGCCTTTAACTGATGACCAATTATCACTAAAATGGGTGGGATGTCATTGCAGGGCCAAGATCATTAACTGCCTTGAGCATTCATTTGAATTGGAATAGGAGGAGGGGGATCCCAAAACAACTATGTCTCTTCCCCTTTAGCAAAGCGTAATCGGTTTATGTGAATATTGGGGCTGGGATCCAAAGAGCCACTTAGCCTAATGTGAGGGGCTTGTGCAACCCCAGTGGGATATTTTCTTTTTCTTACCTTCTTTCTTTCAACAGGCAATCTCCACGCCATAGCACAACTTCCACATAACTTTCAATTTAGAGTGTTGTGCCTGCTATTAGCAAGATTAAAGCCTCTTTGGGCTTGCAGAACTACTTTCATAATTCTTTGGTCCCTTGCCGAAGTCTCTTTGAAGAAGTTTTGAATTGGTGATTTAGTACAGCTGCTTGGACTTTTATGCGTGTGGTTAAAATAGCAAACATTACCCTATACAGGAAAGTCTTGCCAAAACAGGAATTCTCCTAGTGATATTATATGAAGTGGGTAGCTCCAGATCTTCCTTGTTTGGCTAGCCCAAGCCAGATATTCTCCATGTCATCCATGTTAGCCCTCAGGGCTGTTGGTTTCTGCTGCCAAGTAGACCACTTATCCCCCTGTATTAAATATAGATCTATTTTGTTAAGGGCAAAAAATATTCTAAAGTTGAAACATATATTGGCTGCACTATATTTGTCTTCTTGCAGTCATATTTCTTTATTGGCTTAGTTTTTGAAGAAGCTTAAGAAATTTCATAAGCTGCCCTTTATCTCTCAAGAAAACAAATACACTCAGCATTTAGATATTTAGCTTCCCAGGGGCTTACCATCTAGTATGGCAGTGAGAGAATGACTTTTTCATATTATTATAATTATTCTGTTTAGAGGGGGAAAGGGACCAATGAAGGTTTGGCTCTTTAGCAAGATATTCTCATTTGTGCTCTCACCATTTATTTTGTTTTGATCTATACAATAGGATTTCAGAGGATGACGTGCCTCAAATTCCTGATCAGAAATTAATTGTGAGTGTACCTTGCATCCTTCACTCACACAAACCACCCCTGACAGGTATGTTCCTGAAATCATTCTTTAAGCTAAACATTTTTGATATTTTCAACTATTGATACCTTTGAGATGGGTTAATGACTTGAGTACCTCTGCTCATTTGTTTGTATTGTTAGTTTCTGACCATCAATAACAAACAACTGAGGTTAAAAACTTACTGAAAATTTTAATATTTCATTGGGTTCTAATTGTGGATTCAGTTAGGCACAAATTAGGCATTTTAAGCAGGACAAGTTTCGCCTTTCATACTTGGCTTTACAACTGGCATAACCACTTTAGAAATAACCTTGATCTTGAAGAGGTGAATAACTTGTAGATTGCAGTTGATTGGTTGAATGCAGAGTTCCTGTATATTCAAGGGACATTCCTGCGAAAGGAAGTGCGGGGAGGGAGAGGCAATTTTAGCTAATTCCTTTGCCTTCCTTGTGCCCTCTTGAGAAGCTGTTACGGAGGGTTGGGATCCAACCCAGTACATTTCTTAGTATGCTGCATTTGTGTTCCAGCTAGAGCACTGTAGCATGCATGTTGCTGCCAGTTTGAGGAATTCAGGTAGATATTCTTTGGTTCTAAAATTCCTCTGATATAATTAAAGATGCTGATTCTTACCCATGCTTCTACTAACCTGGACCTTGGGTGGCTGCTTTGAAAGACTGAAACTTTTATCGTCGTCATAGCAAGCAAGTTCACTTTGAGTCAAGGAAGTTACTTACTGAGCTTGTATGTTCTTGGTAGAGGCAGCAACAATGCTTTTCAAGAGGAATATGGGGAGGTAGAGGAAAATGAGAGATAAAGCCTCCTCCTCCCATTTGCTCAATCCCTTTCACTCACTGTGTTTTGGTATCTGAAGCAGTGTGCATGCACACAAAAGCTTATACTGTACCCAGAACAAACTTAGCTGGTCTCTAAGGTGCTACAGGACAATTTTTTAATGTGTTTTTGAGTGCCCACTTGCAGAACTTTTGTTTACAATATGACAGATAGCAAGACCTTTCTTAATATCCCCATGCCAGCCAAATATCATTTGTATCATATATTTATTTATACCCCTCCTTTTCCACTGTCAAGGACTCAGGGAAAAAAATAAATGCACCTTTGAACTTCCATTTTTGGTTGCACTGGTTTGTGGTCTATGTGTACAGCTCAGTTAATCCAGGATGCTATGCCTGAAGGCATAACCCCACATAAACTCCATTTATCTAGGTGTGAGCCCCATTGAATTCAGTGGGACTTACTTCCGAGTAGACATGGCTTGGATTACTGCCTACATTGATTTGCAAGGTCCTGTATTAGTTGTCTGTCTTGTAAGAAGACCCCTCATCATTGAGCTCGTTTCTTTCAGTAGTGTAGAGCAAGTTCAGCTGGTCTTTCCTTTGCTTGGCTCTATCTACTAAACCCAAGCAAGACCGAGCGCTTGCTACATGTAGTGGGTATGTTTGTACATAATAGTTAGCTGATTTCAACTTACATATGGTTCACACTGTATGGTTTTGTGTGTGACTATTGTAAAGTGCATGGTGTTTTTTTATGGACAGCAGTATATAAATATTATTATAAATAGCATTAAGACAGGGTTTTATTATTGGCTTATGGATCAATGATTGCTGGGGACCTACAAACCATAATACCTGGTTCAGGAATAATGGGAACCCAAGGTTTGCTAGTTTGTTTATCGCATTAGCAACATGGGAGGAGTGAATCATTCAAGGTAGGCACAATATGCCCCAAATCCTGGTTTATTGGTGCATGTCATTGTGGCCAGCATGAGATGATTTGAGTTGAGGGAGCGACAGAGAAAAGTGAGAAAGTGGGATTTCACCATTAGTGGAAACTTTGTGTGAACAAGACTTGGTGAACTGTTCCTTAAGTAACAATTATTTACTAACGTACACAAAATACATACCCACCAAGTGTCCTGGAAAAAACCAGGGCAGCCAGTTTTCCCCTGTGATGACGTGGCAGCCATTGTGGCACCCTTGGTCATGTGATCTGATGCTTATCCTTTAGTCTAGCTTCTTTCCAGAGGAATCACAACAGAGAGAGTTGTATCCAAATAAGATACTCAAAGCAGACCCCCTGAAATTAGTAAGCGGATGTTAGTTACATCCAGTAAGGCTAAATTGGATGCAGCCTAGTATTTAGAAATATAAGTAGTTTATGATGTGTCAGTGGTTATTTTGAATCTGTTCTCTGCTCTTACCATTAGTTTTACATTGGGAAGATGGGATATAAATGTTTTAATCGAAAGACTGTAAGGTGCTAACAAAAATGGCCCAAACACCACCGTTCTGAAATAACATTAATTGGTTTAACAAGTTATTTAGTTGCCTTTTCATATGCACATCTTATTTAATCTATAGTTCATTAGATGTATCTGTCTTCAGGCTGTGAAAGTAAACTTGTATTCCAATTCCAGTGAAAGGCTTCATATTTATTAAGCTGTAAAAGATGCCAGTCTTCTCCTTCAATTCACTTTAGGTGAAGAGTGAAGCATGATCACATAGCAGAGGTTGAGCAGCCACATCTTAAATTATTATGTGCAAGGCTCTTCTAAACCAGCTAAGACTTGTGCAAATGTTAAATTTTTATTAAATTGTCTCACCTTCCTGCTGAAGAGATTCCCTTTTCCGGCAACGGTGACATTTTATGCGAAGAAGCAAACTTCAACAATAACATCTTAACACAGTTTCATAGTTTCTGTGTTTTTACAGCATTGGTAGCAAAGGAGATTAAATGCTCTGTTTGTGCAGATAAAATTGGAGGAGTCTGAAGGGAAGGGAGAAACAAAATCTGGTGGAGGCATCTAGAAGAGGGGGCACGCGCAAGACAGTGGCAAAGTGGCAAAGTTAGCACCCACTAGCTTTTGCTGACAGCCCTTTCAGTGGAAATTTAGGGTGAAACATGGGGGAATTTTCCCACTACAGTGGTACCTTGGGTTAAGAACTTAATTTGTTCCAGAGGTCCGTTCTTAACCTGAAACTGTTCTTAACCTGAGGTACCACTTTAGCTAATGGGGCCTCCCGCTGCCGCCTTGCGATTTCTGTTCTCATCCTGAAGCAAAGTTCTTAACCCGAGGTACTATTTCTGGGTTAGCGGAGTCGGTAACCCGAAGCGTCTGTAACCTGAAGTGTCTGTAACCCGAGGTACCACTGTACTCATCTTTTGTAAGCAGTTAATTGTGTGATAGGTAAGGCTAACATTAGCAACAGAGGCAAACCCGTCCCCCTCAAAAATCCCCTATCAGGCAGTGGAAGTTTTCCTGTGACACCTGGAGAACCCCACCCCCACCCCCAGCTTAGCACCTACTTTGCCCACAGAAGGAATCCGCTGGGATCTCTAGCAGAAAAAACTGCTGCTGGTGGTTCTATAGGAGGGGATGGAAAGGGTCCTTGGAGTGGCCTCCAGGCAGAGAGCAGCATGTGTGCCCTATCCAGCCAGGGGAGGTGTGTCCACACAACCTCCTGTCCACACAACCTCTCCTGCTTCTCAGATACACACACACACACACACACACACACACACACACACACATATAGGGGGGACCCACAGTACAGCTCCTTGGCAAGAGCTCAAGTGACCCTAGGTGTGCCTGTGGGAACAAAAAAGCTTGTTATTCCAGACATACATTCTGACTTCTTATATATTATTATTATTTCATGCATTTCTTGTTAAGTTTTCCAGAAATTATGAAAACAAGGTAGGCAGAAGGGAGGACCAGATTCAGAACATATGGACTGGCATTAATGTACATATGAAACCATTTTGTAGTTAATCTGGATGGTAAAAATGTTAGCATTTTGAAACAGTTGAACTCAAAATGTTAACAAGGACATACAACAGCTGTAAAACAGGCTGAAATTCAGCAGGTTGCTGAAGAGAGTCATTGGTGGAGAAAAACGCAGCAGCTGAATTTTTGTCTACTGCGCAACTGTTCAAGTTGCAGATAAAATTGTAGAAACAGAAGTATAGAATTGACTGTGAAATGTAAAGGGGGGGGGGAGAGAGAGAGAGAGAGAGAGAGGAACATAACCTTTATTGACCTTTATGGATAGGACCTTTACTGATAAATGATTGATGGGTTTTTTTTAGTGGGGGCGATTTGGGGAGAATCAAATGCACCTTCATTTTGTTTCCAAGCCTTTTAGCATTTCTGTCATCATGTTTTCAGATATGTCTGTATTCCTGAATGGTGCTGTGTCTTCACTAAGCAAGGAGTGGGAGTGTTGGCCTGGCCATTTTTAGTTGGTGAAATATATGTTTGAACTCAGTTGATGAGCTGGTTGACTGTGCTGAATGCTAATGAAGAGGGATACTAACACCTGATAGTATAGTGCAGATTTTGTGGGGTGCCGGGGAAGGGGGGCCCTTGCTTCATAAGTGAGATTCCACTCACGTAGCATTGGATTCCACCCACACAAATCACTATATAAACTGTTAATCAGTTATTTAGGTGCAATCCTATAACAAAGTTCTGCTGTCTTGCGAGTATAGTAGGGGCATGTCTCCAGGTCATAATGCAAATATAGGATTGCTCTGCGCAGCATCTTAACTGCGTGTCTTAAACAAGTACAAAACTGCTTTAGCTGGCAGCTTCCTCCTAACAATTTCCAAGGAAGTGGAGTTCTGTGAAGGAGGTAATGATCTGCAGCATGCTTAATAAACTGCAGTCTCCAGGGATCCTCGGAAGGAAACCATAAGAATCGGAATGGCTGAAGAAGAGATAGGCCCCACAACAAAACTACTTCAAGCTACTAAGCTTGCAGATCTGCAGTTTCAATCTTGCACATGCTGGGAATAAGTACCATTGAGATGAGTGAGGCTTCTGGGTAAGCATTCATAGGACTGGGCTGTAAACTGTGCTGCGAGGGAATATATTAACCAGTGAAATCAATCGGTGCCTGATGTGTCTACTCCTTTTAAGTTTCTGTTTCAAAGCTTAAGTTTTTAATGAATAAATTTTAATATGCATTGAATATAGCTGTCCATGTGTTGTTGTTTCCCCCCCCCCCCAAAAAAAATAAGCACTCCCATTTGAGAGATGTTATGGTGACAATTCTGAAAACACTATGGCGGTGCTGAAGCTCTCATTCCCTGTCTCCAAATGAATACTGATAAATTAGAGTGACTGGAAGCTTTGACAGTATTGTTCATACTCTCAAGGTCGTTTATTTCATATTCCTTTCTGGCTATAAATAGTAAAGCTGGCTGATGAGATCCTTGAAATTAATTTGCTGTCTCTCTCTCTCTCTCTCTCTTTATTGAAACATTCTTCCCCACCACCCCCACCACCTTCCAACAGCTTTGAGGAAATTGAAGAAATAGAGGTGTGGTTTTTTTTAAAAAAATAAATAAATTAAAATCAATCTCATGATTTTTCCTCCCCAGAGATTCTAAAAGCATATACCAAGCCAGATGTGGAATGTATGGAGCTGTTTGCTCGGAATTTGCAGCCTGGATGGACCAGTTGGGGCAATGAAGTTCTCAAATTCCAGCACATAGATTACTTCACTGCATTCCAGAACAAAAGTGACAAGTAACTGTAGGCTGGGGTTCTTGCGAGCGCTCTAGATTTTGTCCTTGACATCGATGCTGCACTTGGGAAGCAGTATGAATTAACTGTAAGTCTGCATGGTGTTTTTGAAATCTGTGTGATGAGCAGAACAGTGATGCCTTCAGGTATATAATTTGCTCCTGGGTTCATCATATATGTCCTCTGCGGTGGTAGGGTGACTTTTGCAATCATCTTCTGGAGTTTTAGTTGCTTGAGCCACCATATAAACAGCAGCCTTCAAAAATTAGCCATGCCCTTTGCAGTTGGGCTCCAAGGTGTGTCTGTACATTGAATCATATCTCATGGAGATGATGGTAATGATGATTCCTATACCTAAGTTGCCCCCTAAGGCAACTTAGATTCATACACAAATACAGGATGCAATTTATATAAAAAATTAAGACGACAAAATTTCCACATATTACCAAAAGTCTAAAAGCCAAATGCATCCGTATTCCAGCCAAAAGAATAAAGGTCAGCCACCCACAAAATGTCACAGGGTAGGGCAGGTGGAAATGTTATCCCTTCCTAGTCCTATAGAGTCTGTCCTCAGAGAGACACACAGAGAGTGTGAGAAAATGTAAAGAGCCCAAAGTCAACAGTGTTCTTGTCACAACAAAAGCAATAATCATGGCTTATTTGGTTTCTGTGGGTTTTCATCATGATTAACTTCAGCTTGATTTAGGTCTCTGTCTGTATTCTAATGATTCCTCTTTCTCAAATATACAGGACCAGAATTTCCCTGAATATGTATTCTGACATTAGCTCTTAAAAAGATGTTTTAAAATGGTTACTGCAATAATTTAATTTTTTTTTTTAATGATAAACTGCTCTTGTTCCTTTCTCTCCCCCTTAGGGTTTACTTTGGGGGGGGAAATGCTCTAATAAAAATTACCATATGTTTGTATGCAAGACTGTAAGAAAAGGAGTATATTTTAAGAAGGAGTAACCATTATTTAAAAGAGAGCAGAATAAATTTGACTCTGCTACAAATTAAATAAACTTCAGATTGTTCAGTGTGCTGTTAAATTTTTAAATAAGCTCTGGATGTTCACAAGTTGACTGGATTTTTTGTACTTTAATAATAAAAAATCAATTTCCGAGATATTTTTCTTGATACATTATTTACGGGCTTCTTGTTTTTCCAAGTTAAAGTATTTAAAAGATTTTCCTTTTGTACTTTGAGATAAACAAGGTGAAAACAACGCCTTTTTGTTTTGGTTTGTGGAAAGGTGCAAACCTAAAAGAGAAGTAACAGTGCAAAATATATGTGTCTACTCAGAAGCAGGTTTCATTGAGTTCCAACAGGGCTTACTCCCAGGAAAGTGAGTGTAGGATTGGTGCTTTAGTCTTCATATAGGCACGAGGCAATTCTGACAGCAGATACCAAAGCAAAAACCTCTACAGCACTCCCATCCCAACGCTGCCCAGCTTCCCTTTTCATAGCTGATCAAGCTGTCATGATGCAATGTTGATGATGGCCTATCGACAGGCTCTTCAGGCATGGAAATGAAACCAACCAGTGTAACAGAAAGCCCAGCATTGGAGGCCCTCTCAGTACTGATGTCCTCCATGTCCGTCTCAGGTCTGAAGGCATACCTAAAATCCCCTGGACTCTCATTTGTCTTATACCAAATCTATAAGTGAGGCTGGGTTTGATGCAGCCTTCAGTAGTAGTTAAATCAAAACAATCTGCTTCATCCAAGCTCACAGATCCTAAGAAGAAGTGGGCCTTGCTAGTTGAGTTCTAAAATGATGCTTAGGCACAGAATCCCACAGATGGGTCTGCAAAGATGGCCCCTTGGCTTCCCTACAGCAAGACGAATAAGGCAGCAGGGCATGAATGGACTGGTCTTTGAGGCAGAGCCCACAGACTCTTACTAATTTAGTGTGTGACAGGTGATAGTATTTATTTGTTACAGTGACATGGTTTACACATAACACTTTAAGCCAACCTATAACTTAGTGCAAGTGTATGAGCTCCTGCTGTTGCTGTGCTGCAGTGAGCTAAGCCCTAGGTTTAGCTTAGTGGCTCATGGCTTGTCTCACTCCAGACAAACCAGGAGTTGTAGCCAAGGTTTGTTCTTGGGTTTACAGCTCATGGCTTGTCTGGAGGAGGCAAGCAAGGAGCCCACATTGGATGACAAAGTATGGCTTAGTTTACAGCAGGAGCCAGAGTAGCACAGTGACCACAATCTCTCCAGGCACCATCTTCATAGGAGGTTCTGGGGCTTAAACCAGCCTGGAATTACGCACTTGCCACTGATCTAGAATGTTTTTCATCTATATGCAGATAGGTAGGTGCTGTTTCTGGTCTGAAAAAAGGCATTACGCATATGCTCCAATGTGCTCTTTATTATTACTTTATACGTTAAAGGCTGCAGCTTGGCACAGAAAATGAGGTCTGGGGCCTGACAGTAAACATTTTAAGGCTGTGACAGGTGTTGCAGTTGTCTCTGATTAGAAAAGACAACGTCCTGTAAGAATATATTCTAATCTCATATTTAGATTAACTCAATGAATGTTATAATCAAACTTTTTAAAAATGAAAGTGAAGGATTGAGTTTGATTTTAAAATGTCAAATTAGCATATGACCTTTACTTATCTTTGTAGTCTAATAAGCAAAAATATGGCTGGTAATGCTTTTGTGAGATATTTTTGGAATAGATAAATTAATGGAGGCAAATGATGGAATTAGGCTTGCACAGAAATCTGCCAGCAACCCTTGGTTTGAGAAGGTTAAACTGGATGCAAAAAGAAAGTACCTAATGTGTGGTCAGTTGTTCTTCTGCAACTGCATTGCCTGCAGCCTAAGTGAATGTCAGTGATAATAAATAGCAGAAATTGGGGGGGACAGACCTCCTGAGGACATTGCTGTGATGCTCAGGAGATAAGAGGCTTGACGTCTCTATGTTCATCATCACCCTTCAACCATTATTTTGAGATAGATGTGAAATACAAATTAGGAGTAATCTTACCTCACTGTTAATAGATGGAATGCTGGAAGATATGGGGGCATGCGATATTTATTCACATTGTTCAAAGAAGACTCATGGTGATGACTCACTTTACAGATCTTTAAACTTTTGTGTATAGCTTGCACAGTCAGTCTTGACTTTTTCTAAAAGTGACTTTCAACCAAACAGTATTTCCCAAACTGGGGGCTGGGACCTGCTAGAGCAGGGGTCTGCAACCTTTAAGACAAAAAGAGCCACTTGGACCCGTTTCCGAAGAAAAAAAACCTGGGAGCCGCAAAACACCTCATTATAAAAAGAACTTTTTTGTCACTTTTTTATTATTTCTTTGTTTGACCCCTCAGAATAACTCCTCCTCATAGAAATAAATGTTAAATTAACAAGTTACCTTTTTGTGTGTGTGTGTTCTTCACTCCCCTTCAAAACAGTGACCAGCGTACATGCCCCCTTTCAATGCAGTGACCAGCGTACATGCCCCTTACAATGTAGCGAGCGGGCGGGCGGGTGGGAAGATGACGTCGGGACGGTGCGTGACTAACGCACGCACCGCCCCCATGCAACGTCACAGCCAGTACAGCGCCCGCCACAGTGGGGAGTGTCGGGGCGCACAATGCGCCTCCTCCCCTCGCTAGTATCCGCCCCGGAGCCGCGGCAAAGGTGTAAAAGAGCCACATGCGGCTCCGGAGCCACGGGTTGCTGACCCCTGTGCTAGAGAAATAAATACTCAAGGCAGCATCACAGCAGCCATTATCAGCCATGGGATGGGAAGCTAGAAGCTTTCCAGATGTTGGACTTGAATTCCCATCAGCCAGGGCTCTAATGGCCAGCAGTGGGGGATAACGAGCGGTATTCCAGCAATATCTGGAGAGCCACAGTTTTGCCATTCCTGGACTATGAGGATAAATGATTCTGCCATGTTTCTGCATGGAGAGTTATTGAATTAACTAATTATACCATATGAACCAAGATTGCAACGTAGCCTCATAGCAACTCGCCTGCTCCAGCTCTGTGAGGTCCCCTAGCACAGTGACTTACCTGCATATTTCCATTGGGTGAACTTGGTGCAGCCATTAGGTAAACACTGGACGTAATGGTCTTAAGAATTGGGGTAGTCCTTGTTAGGTATTACAGTGGTACCTCGGGTTACATACGCTTCAGGTTACAGACTCCGCTAACCCAGAAATAGTGCTTCAGGTTAAGAACTTTGCTTCAGGATGAGAACAGAAATCGTGCTCCAGTGGTGCGGCAGCAGCGGGAGGCCCCATTAGCTAAAGTGGTGCTTCAGGTTAAGAACAGTTTCAGGTTAAGTACGGACCTCTGAAATGAATTAAGTACTTAACCCGAGGTACCACTGTACTTTACATACTTCAAATGCAGGGCGGCCTGCCTGAGGTGAGCTGAGACTGTTGCTTCAGGTGGCAGAGCCACACCTGAGGAAGATGCTTCTTGGTGCCACCTCCTTTGTACCTGGGTTGCCATGGTAGCAGCACCCATGCGGTGCCTCGCCCAGCTGCACGCGGGGCAGAGCAGCAGCATGGGAGCAAGGAGGGCACAGGGTCATGGGCATATGTCTATGGGGAGCGGGGGAGCAGGATGTTCTGCCTCAAGCGGCACAACATCCTGGGCCAGCCCTGTTCAAATAGTCATATCAGATAGCTTAACTCACTTGTCAACATGGGTAGGCCACACACCTGCATTTGGCAGGGGGCCCTCCTGCGTTGAGTAGGGGGTATCTAGTTATGCGTTGCCACAGTCCAGCAGGAGAGTCATCTATCACCCAAATGTGCCAGTTAGAGGTCAGCTGAGAACACAGAAGGGGTGCCTTGCGTTCTGTTATGGAGAAGTGATTCTTCTTAGCACATGTTATAGATTGCAGCTAGTTATATAATTCTGACAAGTAACTGCCTCTCTCTACCCATACATTTCGCTGCCATTGTTCGAAATAAGCTCTGCGTGCTCCTGAACCCAACATTCCTTGCCTGTGCTTGTGAAAGGACTTTTGAAAACCTGGTGAAGTCAAGAGAGATGGCACAGAATGGAAGACGAGTAAAGCCAATTCAATAGACTGACGTCATTTTTCTCTCTCCTTAAAAGTCTCATTGGCACAGCAATTTGTAGCAACAAATACACCATTTGGAAAGGTTACATCAGTAACAGATGTTGGGGGCTCTGTTAAAATGGAGAACTTGCCTGTTTCTTACTCCTGAAATGTCAGCCTTAGGTCTTTACAGGCAACCTAATTAGGTGTTTGGTTCTTAAGCAGCTCTTTGTTGCAAAGAAGCCTCTTTGAGCCAAAATAGAAAAAAGAACCATTGTAAATAAATTCAAAGGCACTACAGATGTTGAGTCTCTTCAAGCAAGCACAATAGGATATTATCTGTTGCCTAGATCATTTTTACTGTCCAGTCATTTATAAAATGTTTTCCCAGTGAAGATATAATTGTTTTCATTTAAAAATCACGGCACAAGACACTGAGTCTGAGGCCAGCTGTGACACTTAAGTATTTCCTACTCTGATGAACCAGACAATCAAATAATCTAATTAGTCCCCCCATGAGAAGCAGTCAGAAGTCTGATAACTTCCCTATTTATGAATCAATAAAATGGCTACATAGTAAAATATGCCCAGGCATCTGTAATATAAATGCTTTATGGGGGGGGGGGGAGAATAGAGACATCATAAAGACCTGATTAAGGAAGATTACTTATATCTTCATTTGCAGTGGGTAATGATTAGCAAACTGTGCTTAGCATTTTTCATAACGTTAATGTCTGAAAATGAAGGCAAACAGTAGTTACATTAGCAGCTATTCGGAAGGAATACATTACCAGATGTATTCAGTAATACTTGGATACATTATGGGATTCATTCTAGTGATAAAGTAGTAAGGCTTGGGGGGGGGTGTATTTCTTAGTTGATATAAAATGCCAAAAACTATAATGACATCATTGAAACAGTGCCAGTTTACTAGAACTTAGGTTGAAACTCAAAATGGTTCAATGTAAAATTCCACACACATCCACCCTGCTTCGCAACAGCTGCTGTTTATAGAAGAGACATGTCTTCTTCCCAAATGAGAAATAAGACTCAAAACCAAAGGCAAACTATATTTGGATATAGTTTCTTTATTACGGGAGGAGCAATCAGTATTCCTTTTCCATTTTTAGGATCTGTTTAAATGCTGCAGCTCCCACGCCTAGGTATCTCCTCAGAAACAGATTAGGACAGGACCAAACAGTAGATACTTTTTCTCTCCTGCCTCACCATGGGTAGAGATTTTGTGGATGGTATCATTATATACTTTTAGTCACTAGGTGGCACTAGAGTTAATTGTATCAGGGCGGAGTCAGGACTTTCCTGTTCCTGTTCTGTTCTTGTAGGGAAAAGATGGTAACATTCTTGTTTACTTTCCAGACTTTTGTGTCCTTTAAGCCTACCCTAGTATATGCATCTTCACACTCATTACTTGGCTCAAGAACTGCATTTCAAAATTGGGAGAATTCTTTATTTTAATATGGAACACTTCATGAATTTGCTGTTATCCTTGCACGGGGGCCATCCTAATCTTTGTATTGTTCCAATTTTTAATTTTTGTATACAGTGGTACCTCAGGTTACATACGCTTCAAGTTACATACACTTCAGGTTACAGACTCCGCAAACCCAGAAATAGTGCTTCAGGTTAAGAACTTTGCTTCAGGATGAGAACAGAAATCGTGCTCCAGCGGCGCGGTGGAAGTGGGAGGCCCCATTAGCTAAAGTGGTGCTTCAGGTTAAGGACAGTTTCAGGTTAAGAATGGACCTCCAGAACGAATTAAGTACTTAACCTGAGGTACCACTGTATATATGCTGCTGAAGTGAGCACAAAATTTGGAGAACTTTTGAAGGATGGCTGTGCTTTGGTTCATGGATTGTGTAAAAAAATGCAAATTGGGCAAGTTTGCCTTTACATGCAAACTTAATCTCATTTCTCCTCCTTCCCTATTGCTAACCATCTATGCGTTGGAACTGCCAAAACACACACACACACAAACACACACACACACACTGGGGAAAAGCCCCTTTGCCTCTATTTATTGGTTTAATTAATGTTCTTTTGCCTCTGACAGTTTATTGACAACAATTTCTTGCCTTCAGTTATCATGGAAAGATGAGGATTACTACCTACTGTGATGGCAGTCCTGTCTTTTTTCTTTAGCCTTCAGCTGGATTGCCCCTGAAATATTGTTCCATAGTGTTAGCATATTTTTTATCTCTCATTTGCACAACACCATGCTGGTCCTTGTGAACTGCCGTCCCAGAGAGCAGAACTCTTTGACTTCACCAAGGAATCCAAAGCTGTAAACAAGGTCTAGAATTGCCTGTTGCTTTGTATATGTAAAAAAAACTGGGGGTGTCATCAAATCTGATGAGTGAGAGAGATTTAGAGAGGAAGATAGTTGCTTCACAGGGTGGAAAATATGTTTAAGCACTCTGAGAGAGATGTGCATTGGTAGATAAAAAGAGCTCCATTAATAATTGCATGTCAAGGGGGACTACACAGGTTTTGAAGGGAGGCATGCAGCCCAATACCATTTATGACATTAGCCGAGGGAATCATTCCTGAAGCTAAAGCTGATGAATCAGATAAGATTATAAGTACAAATGTTTGCTTTCATATTTATTTTTGAAGTCATTGCTATGGCGTATGGCAAAGACAAAATAAAATTTTGATGATGCTAACAAATGTTTTCCTTATTCCTTATAGAAACTCAAATAGCTTTGCAAAAGTTATTCTCACCTTGAATTGAACTTCCTATAAATGGCTTTGCAAATTTGCACAAATACTCTAATGAATAAACATTTTAGTTTGCATCTGAGAGTGCCCTAGATGTGCATTGTATTTGCTTAAAAATCATGCGGCAAAACACAGTAAACTACAGCTTTTAATTGACAGCACACTTTTAGGGCCTTTTTGAGTTTGAGTTTGACATTTTCCTGCCATTTTAGCACAGTTTTGCTATCTGTATTGTGCTGTTTTGCATCATCTACTGTATGGACTTGCCTGTAAACTACCTTTTTGTACAGATGAAAAGTGTGGGAATGTTCAGGGAGGCAGGAGAGAATATATTGTTTTAGAATATTATGAAAATGATATACAGGTGGTACATGACACCAGTCAAGCTTGCAAAAATCTATCATTTGCCTGATAATAAATGTTGGAAATGTAAAGAAACTGAAGGCACATTCTTTCACCTTTGGTGGACATGCCCAAGGATTAAGGATTTCTGGGAGATGATCTATAATGAAATGAAAAAGGTATTTAAATATACCTTTCTGAAGAAACCAGAGGCCTTTCTCCTGGGCATGGTTGGCCAATTGGTGCCAAAGAAGGATAGAACTTTTTTTATGTATGCTACAACAGCAGCAAGAATACTTATTGCAAAGTATTGGAAGACACAAGATCTACCCACCCTGGAAGAATGGCAGATGAAGGTGATGGACTATATGGAACTGGCGGAAATGACTGGCAGAATCCGAGACCAGGGAGAAGAGTTGGTGGAAGAAGATTGGAAGAAATTTAAAGACTATTTACAGAAATACTGTAAAATTAATGAATGTTAGAATGATGTCAGAATGAAGTTACGTGGTTTTAGCAGCAATATTACAAAGGAGTATGTAAAAATGGATTGTTAACAGGTGAGAATCTAAAGTTACAATATATTAAGTTAAAGGATTAGGATAAAAACAAAGAGGGAAAGGATTTGCTGAATTAGCTAACTGGATTGGAATACAAAAAAGGGAGGTGTGAGGAGGTCAGGGAAACAAGTAAATGAAAGACAAGACATGGAAAGATTGATTTGTTTTTAAGTGCTTTTATTTTTCTGTATTTTGTATTTTTTCTTTTTTTTTCTTTTCTTTTTCCTACTTTTGTAACCTTTTTTTGAAACTTCAATAAATATCATTTTCAAAAAAAAAAGAGAATATTTTGTTTAATGATATCCTTCCTAACTTGTGTTAGCAAGTTCTATATCTAAGCAGAGTTTAAACATTCCCCTTTAAATGCACAGCGGTTTGCTTGTTGCAGGCTAGTTTTAGCCTCTAAATATAGGATTCCTGGAAAGATCCCTTCTTGTCCCTCTTAAAAAGAATAAACATGACAATCTTATTAAAGTAAATATAAAAGTAGTTTACTCACATTCATTCAGTTCACAGTTGGATCCCTGAAGGCAGACTTATGTTACAAAGTATATACACATGTGGAACTATCCCATAAGGGAGTTAGTTCCTAAGTGACTACGAACAAGCAGTCACTCCTCACACATAGAAAAACAAAATGGAAAAGAGCAGAAAGAGAGAGAGGTATGCTCCCTGCCTTGCTCTTGTTCCTGGGCAGAGAGAGGGCCAGATTATACCATACCTGCCGTTGGTCACATGCAGAGGAAGTTTGTCCCAACTCAGGAGGAAACAGGAAGTTTTCTCCTGGCTGGTACAAAGCATCCCCTAGCATGTCCGCTCTAGGAACATGTTGTACTTGACTGCTATGTGTTTCACATCCCACAAAAAGGTGAGCTAGAAATCCTTTAAATAAATGGGGCTAGAATATTGCCTTGTGCCACCCCAATCTCTGAGCGGTGCGAGATTCAGGAGTTCCAAGCACTTATATGTTTCCTTTTGGAAATGAGGCACAGCAGAGACTGTGGGGTCTTTTTGATGTATGGTTTATTTACACATGTAGACAACCTGAGCCTATGATGGATGGGTTCACAGCACTGACACCCCAAAAGGGTCTTGTTCCTCCCAGAGCCAGAGCCCTGGAGCCAAACAGAAATCCAGCATTGCTCTCAAATATTGCTCTCCCCCTCTTTCTCCACCTTACTGCTTTACTTCTAGATCACATCCCTGCAAACTCTAAACTCTAAACCTTGCTTCATCCTTGTAAGTTGCTGTGAGCTGGGGAGGGCCCCCACCCACATGCCATCTCGCACAGAACCCCTTTCTTTTGTTTCCCTTAATGGCCCTTCACCCAGCCTATCACTTCAACACAGGAAATCAGCCTAGCTTATATTTTAACACTTGCTGGATCCAGGGTTTAGAAGGATTTTGCATACAGCCTACTCCCTCTACCCCAAATTAATACAGTCGTACCTTGGATCCCGAACGCCTTGGAACTCGGATGTTTTGGCTCCCGAATGCTACAAACCCAGAAGTAATTGTTCTGGTTTGCGAAAGTTCTTTTGGAACCCGAACATCCAATGGGGCTTCCAAGGCTTCTGATTGGATTCAGGAGCCAATCGGAAGCCGCACTTTGGTTTCCGAACGTTTTGGAAGTCGAGCGGACTTCCAGAACGGATTCCATTCGACTTCCACGGTACGACTGTAACAATATAGTTCCCTTACTTAAATGGATCAGATTCATCAATGTTTTTAAAATGTTTTGTGAAGAGGTTTGGGCAGCCCCAAATAGAGCGTGTTGCAGTAATCCAAACAGGATGTAACTAAGACATGTGTCGCTGCAGCCAATAGGACATTTCAAGGAATGGGAACAGCTGGTGCATTAGCTTTAACTGTACAAATGCACTCCTGGCCACCACAAAGACCTGGGCATCCATGCTCAGGGCTAAGTCCAGGAGCATGCCCAAACTGAACCTGTGTCTTCTGGTGGAGTGCTAGCCCATCCAGCAAAGGCTGAATCCCTGTAACTTGTTCTGCCTTCTGACTTACGAAGAGCATCTCTGTCTTGTCCTCCAATTTGTTCACCCTCATCCAATTCATTACTGATAACAGACACTGGTTTAGAACCGATACATCTTCCTTTAAGAGGCATCTGAAAGCATTTCTGTTTACCCAGGCATTTGATAGCCGAAAGATATTATTTCAGGCAACTCAGAAACTACTGGTTGAATGTTTCTTTAACTGTTTTCAGAATGCTTTTCATAATGTTTCATATTATTGGTGTGTTTGCCACCCTGGGCTCCTTTGGGCATAAAGGCAGGAAATAAATTGAGTAAATAGTGATAATAATAATAATAAAGAATAATATAGAGAGCCACAGATTCCTGTTGTAGTAGATGCTGCCCCAAACTCTAAAAAGTTAAGAGTTTCATTTTCTGACCATTCTACAATCAGTTGTGATGCTGCCAGGTGAAGAATACACTGACTAAAACATTCTTAATGAAATATTGGGCTCTAGGATCTTCTTTTTGTGGCTATAACACAATGTAGAAGCCATCAGATGTTGTCATGGAAACAAAGTTCTGCAAGTGCTTTGTGCAAAACCCAAAACATCAATTACAGTAAGTTATAATATCAAATCAGTATAGATCTAAATGGCCCTTATGCAATTTACTGTCTACACACACACACACACACACACACAGAGAGAGAGAGAGAGAGAGAGAGAGAGTTCAGTTAAGACATTCAAAACACCAAGAAAGATCCTTGGGGGAAGCAGCTAGTAGATATCTTTAGAAAGCCATTGAATGATACTCTAGCTTTCATTCTTCTCTGCAATACAATCCATAGTCCTTTCCACAGTTATTTCACATTTTTATTTTAAAATATACACTTGGTGATGGCAGTACTGAGTTTCACATTCATGAGTGATATTTCTACAACACTTTCTCATC